CCATGCCTCGAGACCCAAGATCCAAGAGATGCAGCTGTCAAGTGGATTGGCGATCCGATCCAATCCAGATCTGATTCTGATTCGGACTCAGGTGGAAGTGAGCGGTGGATCTAAGGTCATGGCGCAGCGAAGGTAATCAAGCGACACGCAAGGAAGGTGAACAAGCTCCATAGAGTCAGTAGGTACAGATGGGATGACAGGATCCATAGGAAGATAGGACTTTGGGATGGGATTGGACTTAAGCATAAATCAGACTCGAATTTGCCTTATACATCGCAAGTGCCTTCGCCTTCGCCTGGAAACGGGAAGTACATTGGCCCCACGGCTTAGCAAGGTTCTGGTAGTGAATCTAGCGTTGGTTAAGACTGGATAATAAATTGGCCAGTTCTACAACCTTCCTAGTGACCTACTTGCAAGTGCAGATCCCCGATCCACCCGGAGTTACTACTTGGCCGGGTGCATCCTCGACTCTCAGCATCTACGGATCCCGCTATAGGAAGCGGCGAGTACGGCAAAGGAAGACCTGCGAAGGCAAAGGAAAGGAACAACAACAACCCGCAGGCAACCCCACGACCGGATCCAGATCCAGGCCGCCCGATCCAAGTCGACTACCACTGGATTGGGAGTAACTACTGCGAACAGAGTGAAGATTTCCGCGCTGCTCCACCCACATCCCCGCGTCTCGCCCAGACTGTTCTGTCTTCAAGGCTCGGACGCTTCAGCATACACCAGAGGAGCAGATCCAGCCCTACCGACGGGTACACAAGGTGACCAGTCCAGCACACAGATCACGGATCATCGGGGGACCCCCTCCGTAAGTCGGTGTTCGGGCGCAGTTGGTAAGTTGGATTGGCAATCTCGCAGATTTTGCTGATCCCGCTACGCCACGCGGCCACTACGCTGCTCAAACGCAGAGTCCAACTAGAAGGAGCAGGCACTTTGGCGAGAGATGGAGCTAGGTCAGAGGCGTAGGTAGAGACCGGCTTAGAAAAGGAGCGTCCTTAGACAGCCGACAACCTCGGACAGGTCTGTGGGCCTGCTCCTACGCCTATCATCCGAACATGTAAACATGCAAGAACGAGGACCCTTCCTGTTTACGCTTGACGCGCTCTAGGTCCACCGTCCACTCGGTCGGGGCGTCACCAATAGACACCTCGCACCCGCGCGGTTACTAACCATGCTCCCAGCCACTCTAGACGCTACAGCAGTCCATCTTTTGACTCACCTTGCAATTGCTCGCACGTTCCACCGGCGTCCCACGCAGTATAGGGCCACCGCCGCAGAACAGAACGCTGAGAGACCTCTTGTGTTGTTCGGAAGGGCCGGCACTCCTGCCGCAGAACCCCTCGCGTAGTAGATTAGCTGCTTAACTTAGACTATTCTCGTCTAAATCGCAACTGGGAGGTGGAGCGGCCGGCCGCACGTTCCAGAGCTCCCCTGGCTAAGCCTATACTAAAATCTAGACTACTGCGCGATCTTCAAGGGGACCCTCACCCGTCGTGGCCTTCCATCCGCTCGTTTTGGATCCAATGTCGCCTCTCCTTGCCCCCATAGTCTTCTTCTGCTTCTCTCCACCGTGTCCTCTCTCCACGACGATCTTCCACGGTCGCCGTCAACACTTCCAGCAACTTCAATAGCGTTGGTGACTGCAGCACCTCCCGTCACCAGCCGCACCGCCCTTGTCACCGAACACCATGCTGTGCACCACACCGTGCACACTACGGTCACACTGCTTGCCGCTATCGTCGAACTGGTGCTCCTCCCGACCAAAGAGCACGGGTTGCCTACAGCTTCTATCGCTTACTATTAGCTGCTATCGCTTACTCTCCGCCGCTATCGCTGCCTTATGCGCTACTATCGCTCACTGCCATAACGATTATCGTAGAATGTGTTTATATGTCGCTACAGCGCTATTATACTAAGTAGTAAGGTGCCCGACCCCAGCGATATCTGCTACTACGCGGTGGGCCCATTTTAATTAATAGCAGGTGTTCCAAAAAGTATTATATTAGGCCAAGCGTCACGGCGGGGGTGACGTAATCGCCCCCGTTCCGCTCGCCTCGTCGGATCGCTGCACTACTCGCCGTGTTATTAGTACATAATTGTAGGGCCCCGCGGCCCGCTAGAACGCACGCGGGTGCTGCCTTCGCTGCGCTCGGCAGCTTGTAATGGGGCCGCCTTCGGCGTCCAAGGCTGTCTATGTACGATTATGTGGGCCACCTTATTATGTTGTCACGGGCTTCACACGGACGGACACACTGGACGGTCTCTCTAGTAGATGGTTAGGATTCGTTCTCCTGTGCTAGACGGTAGGCGTCGATATTACGCCCGCCACGACCTCTTACATGGGGGACCGTTGGAACGGTAGAAATAAAATATATGCTAGTAGGACTGCAAAGCAGCAGAGAAGTAGGTGTGTGCTATCCGTTTAGCGTAGATATTACGTAAATACTGGGTGATTCCGTCCTTGCTTTGATATAAATTGTATGTTTTCTTTATATTTCCTTCCATCTAAGCACTAGCGAGTTCAGGCCGAGCTTTAGTGAGATCGTTGCGCTTTCATCATTGATAATGCAGTTAATGCCACGCGACCTTCGCACGTAAGGAGCAAGTGCTGCGGAATCTCTCATAATCATAATATGTCCAAATGTGTTGGAACTTGAGTAAATAAAGCGTTTCAGTCGTACATCTCACGAATAGGCTGGAGAGATAGCGTCTTAGGTCTCATAACAGGTCATGAAGACAGACCGGAGGAAAGCGCGAGATAGATACCCTATCATACCGCTCAAAATATAATTTCAACGCTATCGGAAACGCCACTGTGCACATCCGAGTATTTATTATTATTATTTTAAACGACACAAGGTAGAGCAACCTGGTGGGCCACACTTTCGAACAGCATGGAATTGGTTAGCACGAATGCGCATGCAAATGCTGTATCCGTGATCAAAAGTCGTATTGTTAACTACAACATGCACGAGCAGAAGTAAATCCTACTCATCAACACGCCCATGCTGCTGCTACGCATTACCGATGTCTCCCAGCGTATCAGCATCCTTCTAACCGAGGACCGCCGCCTACAGTAGCCACTTCGCTTGGAACATGCAGTTAAAAACACACAGCAGTGAAGAGATTTTCGATTTTACATTTTGTTCAAAATAAAATGACCTTCGATCAGATTAATCTAGACAATCTATCCAAAATAAACTGACCCGGTCAGATTATAGCGAACGATGAACGCTCCATGAACCTTAACTGCACTCATGCACATCTCCGTGCATGTTTGCTAGTGGTCAGTAATGTGTTTGCCAACGGCCACTTTCCGCGACAAGTCTTTGGTCGTGTCAGTTTGTGTTTGCTAGTGGTCAAAAAGTGTTTGTTGTTGGCCAGAAATGCGTTTGCTGTTGTACCAGACTCGCTCGATACCACTGGTTCACACGAGTAAAGGACGATAACAACCTCAGATTTGTACGACAGCAACCACACCAAACGGGCATGAGCAACCATAGCATGATCGACGATTGGGAAATGGACAGATCGGTAGCTACATGCAGAGCGACCCGCTCTGGGAAATGGACTGGTCAAAAGCTAGAGCGACTCGCTCTGAGCGAGACAACAATATTATTGAGAGCATGTGCGCGCAGGTACATGTAACACCTGCGCAATAAATGTAATAAGGATGCCACGGTACTTATATTTATAGGATTTACTCCTCTTATTTGCTACGTTGGCCGCGCGGATAATACGCTGATGTAGAAGCCCACGGTAGTTCTCGACATTGAACTTGTCGGAACACAACTTATCCATTGATCCACGTAGCATATGCGGGCGATCTTTCATAATCGCTGTGGATATCTTTTTCGATGAAGTAGAGCAGATAAATTTCACAATCAACAGAGTTTTGCTGCTGAGGCTTGGTAGGGCAGGCGTGAAAACTCCATTTAACCGACCCCACCGAAGCTGTTTCTAGGGCCCGCTCTTTCGCCAACCACCACTGCATCAAGGAAAACACGTTTGCCGTATCGTTCTCTTCTGTAGGAGAATTAACGTCATACAGCCGAATGACGCCCCCCTGCAGGGGATTCTCAACCACAAGAAAGCTCCACTGGCTATTACCGTTGACTGGAAGAATAACAAACCGGTACGATACCCAGTCAAATTTCCCTATGTGACCAGCGAGGCGCTCGTCCCTTGCAGTTTTCCCTTTCGTTTTTTTCACGGCTTGCATCGTTCGGAAAAAAAAAGTTCCGCGGCAAAAAAATTAAGCCATTCTCCCGAGGCATGAAACCATGCACAAAATAATCAACGGTGGACTCTGTCAAAGTCTGATGCGGCATTAGGCTGTCCAGGTCCTCGCGATAGATCCAGCTCGTATCATCACCACGCGTCCACTCCAATATTGGCTTCTGCCTCCGCGACCTGGTAGCAGACTGCCTCCGAGGCAAAGAAGTCTTCTTAGCAGCTGTAGGCATCTCATACTCGCTCTCTTCGGACTCGTTACAATCCATACTCTCGCTACTGCTATCGCTTTCATCCGATCCAGCGCTATCGTAGCTGTCTTCATCGCTGTCTTCATCTCCACAGCCATCGAAGTGTACAGCGCCGTCACCGGGAGTTACACCATTATCTTGCTCGTACTCACTGTCCTCACCAGGGGTTACGCCGCCATCACGAGGGGTTACTCTATCATCAGTAGCGGTTACTCCATCATTTTGACCGCTCTCACTGTGGTTACGCCGCCAGCACCTCCATTCTCCTCGTGCTCACTGTCATCGCCACGGATTACACCGCCACCACCTGAGGTTACACCGCCGTCAGTAGAGGGTACACCGCCATCATCAGGGGGTACACGTGCTGTGTAGCGTTGGATAAACCGTTTTACCCACGTTACTTGGGACATCAAAATCCGAGTTGAACTCTTCCAGGCTCCGGCAATAAAACATCACATCGCCAAACGTCCTGTTGTCCTCCATAAGCTCATCAAGGTATTCGATTGCTCTCTATTCGTACGGCTTCATCTTGTGTTTTCGTCCTCCGCCTTCGTTGCGCTTGCGATCTGAGCCAACCTCTTTGTCACAAACATCCCAGTAGCGCTTCACCCAGCCTCTCAAAGTCGATTCCTTGACCTCAAGCTCGACAGCGGCTTCTTTTAGAGTCCAATCTGGGTTATACACTTTCCAGCGCCTAAGAAGCGCAAGCTTCTCCTTCTCAGTGCGATTCACACACACCCGCCTCTTCATTCAGAAAAGGGGGGAAGGGAGGGGAATTCTCGAATGATAGTCAGCCGTATATGGCCAATCATTTTAGGTTTCATATTTAATCAGATCAAGAGTAAATATCAAATAAACTCGCGCGAATTATTCTGAATCCAGCACTTTGAGGTTAGTATGAAGTACTTCGGGGTTAGTATGAAGTAGTGCGTAACCGACCTACAGCAGGCCAGGGGCTGCATGAGGTTCGAACTGCAGTGCTTACATTCCCTAAGCCCGCATTTGTGGCGATACGCTTATACTTGAGCAGTGGTCGTGAACTTATCCGGTTAACACGAACGCCTACTCAGCCAAGTTGCCTTTCCGTCCATTGTAGCTAGTAGGGGGTTGCATGTACAGGATGACAGCAGCGAGGCCCAAGACTTATTGACGCCTGAACAGGACAAGCGCGAAGCGACAAGTGCCGAGCACGAACTAAGTCAAGGGATGATCCAAACTACACATGTGGGCTTTATATAACTCAATGGAAACCTCCATTTTGATATATGGAGAGTAACACATAGTGACCATGTTGCGTTGGCGGCACCAAGTGCTAACAGTTAGCAGGTGCTTCCAAGCCGATGAATTCTAAATTATTTTAACACGGAAAACGCTGTTGAGAAATCAAGATAGATTCCGGGAGAGCTCGAAAGTGATTTCGTTACGCGAGCCTGATTGTTCTACTCACAAAACCAGAAACACCTACAGAGTGGCATTCGAATACATACAATGTGATTCATCAATTATATCGCTTTGTGACGTAGATGTTTATAGATCTTGCGATATAAGCAAGGTCCAGGAAACAACTACATGGTATCGGTGGCAACAACCAGCGTCCATTTCAACATTCGAGAAGTACTTCAGACGTAAAAGATGTAATATTCCTATAGACACGCAGGTAACCTCTTGCCGGGAACTAATCTTACAAAAATTGCATGTCGAGGGCCGCCATGGCCAGGGGGGGCGCCCAACTTGGCGTCTGATGGGGACGGGCTCGGTTGGAGGTGGCAAATTCTCAGATGTGGTTGACGTAGACCATACATATGGCCCAGAACTGGTAAATGTTTCTTGCCAAGTCGCCAAACCAGTCTGAAATGAATATGGGGGAGCTGCAGGACTTGGCTGTGCAATCGGCGGGTAGAGAGGCTGGAAATACTGTAGATCGAGCTGGAAAGCCACCGGGTCTGGTAAAGTCGCCGTGAAACCAGTTGGTCTGTAGGCATATGCTGTGTATCTGGGGTGATCTTGCGGTCAAAAGTTGAAACCAGGCGCGAAGCCAATATCGAACCCGACTTCTGCCCCGACCACACCAAGACTTTGAGCTGGGAAGTTATGCGCATGTCTCCTGAGATCGGACCCGGTGTGATTGCCATGCAGCGACACTTCGTTCGCTGCCAGCAGTAAACCGGTAGCTGAATCATCTACATGCATTGTAGCCGCACTGCTCACTTGTGGACGCTTCTGGTGCACACGCCTATCCTTGAATCTTAAATTGGACCCATTAACTCCAGGCACGCTGCGTCCGTAAGCCGCACGTCCACAGATTATGTGGGCACAAGACAGGAACTTCTTATAGAAAAGACATGAGCACTCAAACGGACTCAGGTGCACCGCCCACCCGCAACGTGGCATGCTAACGTGGTGCGCGCGGCGTACAGACCATTTCACAGCTTCTCGATAGAACTTGGCAGCGGTAGCCTTTTCTGCATCTGTTAAACACTCGGGCGATATGATGACAGGAGTTTTGGCGTTGCTAGGTTCTTTCAACTCGTCAAAATCAGACAGTTCTTCCAAATGATCACCGCAATGACATAGCACGCGAACAACCGACTTCGCGGTCGTAGCTTAAACGACGACTCGGTTGGTCGACACTAACGTTCGGGCCAGCTGCTTTGCAACTTGAGGCGGGGCGTTTGGTCCAGATGCCATGGGAGGTGGTACACACAGCGAATAATCTTCTGCAATCGTCAGTAGCTTCATCAACAAACGGCGCCTTCCGCTGCGTGTAGCGCTTGATGCTGGTATTGAACACTTCACATGGGTTGTTGGTTGTAGCGTACCCCCCTGGAGAGTGATAAATCTGCCATCTCCAGAAGCGGCTATGAATCCATTGTGCCGCGAAATATGCCAAAAAGACGTGCGACCTTCTATCGCATTGCCACTCTTGAGATACACGCCCCCACACCTCCCAAAATTCGGTTTGGTTGAGTGTGTAGTGCATGTCAAGAATACCACGATACACTATAGCTCGCACAGAATCTGGCAAGTGTCGCACTCGCTTGCGTACATTGTACATCACGTGGAAGAAACACATCAGGTACGGGCAGGTTGCATATTCTGCAACATCCCGCAGTCCGTTCAATTGGGCCTCTTCGGCGTCGCCCATTGTCACGTCAACTCGTAGTGGTCTTTTCATGTGGGTCCTGGAAATTCGTGCGAAATCTCCAATCGATTTGTAATATTCGCGTCGGGTCCTTTGGCTAACAATGAAAAGCGCGGCTAGGTGGTAGCTTCGGTGGCGATCGGTGAAACCGCACGTAATACCAGGGTAGCCGATGTCGCTCAGCTTGAAAGTAGCATCCAAGTGAAAAATGAGAAAAGCTTCGCGATCCTGTAGCGAACTCATGTTTTGCATTAGCTTCAAACTCGTGATTCCAAGTATCAACGGGTCATCATCTTCCCCGTTACCGACAAAAGGGAAGCCGTGCTCGTCTTCACGATTTCCAAACACAAACGGGGTGTCGGGATCCACTCCAGCAACGAAGGCCTTCGCCTTCACTAACTCCTTCGTCCTGACAATAGAGATTTTAGACCCCTGCAGCCATCGAATGTACTTGACACTACGCCGAACTTGAGGGCACGACGGAAACCCAAGCATTGGAGTCGGTATTTCAGGTGCACGAAGCATGTTGCTCCAGATTAAGCGTGGTGGTACCGCGTTTTCGTCCATTCGCTGGATGTAGTCGCGCATTTCACGTGTCACCTTGGCGCGAGGAGGTAACGAACACGCTATGTCTCCACGCGCGTGTGGCTGGCTATTTGTGTACGCAATCCACCGCTTCGAAGTCGGGCACTCATGCACTTTCCAGAGCGTTGCAACAGTTCCTTTGCCGTCTGGACTCTGACAGCGAAGGCGCCGCTCAGCCATCGAGTGGTCTCCGGGACAAATCATACACCAGCGCGTCCTCATCCAAAATATGGCAGAACAGCAAAATCGCTCCCAGCGAAACTTGACGAACGCATCTTCGCCTTGGAACTCGCCTAACTTCGTCCAGGTGTGGTTTGGAGACATCTGAGGTGGGGACAGCTGCAGCTAGGTACTCCGCAAACTCTCGAAAGGTACGGGCTTGTTGTGTTGTGTGGGGAGCTGTTGGCCGACAGTAATCTCGTGTAGATTACACCAAGGTTGTGATATTTTGAATATTTGAAAGTCTGAGCGTCAGATTAACTCGCGCGAGTTATTGTGAATCAAGGAATTCAGATTAACTCGCGCGAGTTATTGTGAAGCAAGGGGTTTAAGCTGCGCCACCTACGCGTTAGCGCTGGTCATCACTGCGGTCAACGTTTTGTATGGTTGCCGTGCTTTGAAATACTGTACCGGTAACAGCTCTGGCAATGAGATCAGGCTTGGGAACTGACAATCTGGTTACTGGTACCGGTACCGGTACTATACTTGAGAAAGTACTGTTAGAAAGTGCTGGTTGCTAGTGACTGGAAAAGTGGTTGTTGACGATCATTTTCCAGCTGTTGTGGTTGTTCTCGTCTTTTTTAGGTTGCCATTGTCCCAAAGTAAGTTGTTTGTGGTCCAAAGTTGGTACACTGGCGACCCGGACCTCTGGTTCACAGAGGTTTTCCGGCGAACAGCCGGGAGCTGCTCCAGGAGCTGTTCAGGATTTGAAGGCAGTTTCTGATTGTTTAATGTATGCACTGCGTACGGTACATTGACGAAACCTCGGTATGTTCAGCAAATGAAAAAAAGAGCGTTGATAAAGGCGCTGAGTGGGAATCACATAACCGTACCAAGGTACCAAATGGCACTGAGTCAGGTGATATTGGTACCGAGGTTAGAAAAGAGGGGTATTATTTTCAAATAGATTTCATAAATTTCACCAAGTGTAGAGATTTTGTTGTGTGGCTCTAAATGCTTCAAGAGCTCTGTGTTGCACGAATGTTGCAGGAAATAGGAAGTGGTGGCAACGGTCGTTCGAATGAAAAAAGCACTTAGCGAATCTCATATTGACCAAGAAAACAGTATGGTTACCTTTTCGCCTGCTAGTACGGGAGTTGTTGAGGACTAGGTCGCGCCAATCGGGTGTAGAGTTGCGCTAGCAACATTGACGTACCTACTAAACCACGTTATAAACCTGACAATAATGTGCTACTCTACAAACTGCACGTTACACTAATGGAGAAAGAACACGCGTATTGTCAACTTCTATTTAACGACGCACCGAAGCGCTTAGTTACGATCTTCGCTCAGTTGGCCAGGCATCCGACTGCCTCACCCACTGTCAAATCGACCCTGAAAAGGCGAGTACGCATACCATTCTTAAAGTGCCTGTAGATACATCAATCGAGCATGCATAGTACCTATAGGTACCCGTACGGTATCTACAGACACACACACACCAATAGGTACCCTGTTGGTATCTACAGGTGCACAGACTATCAGGAATGTACACGTGTGTATTATACGATACGAGAGTCACCCTGAACAGCTTGAATAAGGCTCTGCGCCCACGTATACATCTCGAGGAAGCACCACCGCGTCAACCCTTGATGCTCTTGGTATCCCTGGTCTCAAAGTTTCACCACGTCCGTGCGGCCTAGCGCAATCTATCCAGCCATAGGTCCTGGGCGGCCCTTGCGCTTGCGCGGCGCTCTTCGAGCATCATGTTGTGGACATCTCGGAGCGTCACGTCCTGGCCTAAAGGATAGGCAGTAATACATTTAAGACCCCCCCCCTCCCCCCATCGTTGCGATAGCGATAGCACTAACGCGCCTGTCACATCACGCAAACACCGCATGGTCTGGCAGTTCCAGCTTCGTGTACGTTAACCTCCGAGCAGACGCCCAGGCGCTGAGCAGCGCCTGAGCGCGTCTCCCAGTCATCGCGCAGTCTGAGACACCGACTGCCGTTCTGCGCAGCTCTGGTCCGCTCTCTCTCTCTCTCTCTCTCTCAAAGCCGCCTGTACCATTAGGGGGAGTCGAACCTGGAAATTCCCTCCCAAAAAGTGAGCCAAGGGATTCCCAATATCGGAGCAAGAAAATGACCAACAGATAAGCTAAAAATGGGTGGGGGGGTGTCGGACCTTGCTCAACTAATACATCCTACTTAGAGAAAAATCAACACGATGGAGCCCCCTTGACGGCGTGGCGCGACGAAGCAGGAAAGGCTACGTCTCGGGCGCGCTAGAGCAGCATCTGCAGTGCTGCCCCCCGCAGTAGCGTAGGCGCCCTCGATGGTATCTCGGAGGTGGCGTTGGTGGCCGCTAAGGGAGAGCCGAGCGAAGGAAGCACGCGACAGCAGCACATACGTAACACTCATGCTGCGGGTCTCGTATAGCTAGCTTTCACGCCCTCGTAGACAGCTTCGAGAGCGCCCTACTGTCTTTGAGACGATACCTAATGCGCACAGACCTACTGACATTCCTTATATGTTCATGCCCGCCGCGGCATGCTGCTGTGGCACCGCGGAGAGAGCTACGCTTCATCGAGGCGAGCTCGCAGCAATCCGATCCGAGGCCTGAAGGTGTCGGGGGCCAAGGACACTTTCGCAACGTCGAACTTGAACTTAGAAATGAGCAGAAAATATCCAAAAAAATAAGCAGAGCAACTCCCAAAAAGTAAGCACCGTTTCTGCCAGGTTCGACCCCCCCCCCTATTCCGTGTATTAACCTGCTAGCGATAGACATAAACATGAGAGAGCAGGATGGGGAGGAGCAGGAGGAGGAAGGGAGGCTCGCTCACTATACGTACACGAATAGCTGCCCAATCAGTCACTTGAGGTCCAAACGTGCCAAACTCCAAATGAGAGCCAGTATAGCCAGTGGTTTTTTTTGGAGGATGGGAGAAAGGGGGGAGAGGGGCTGTCAAGATTTCGATTTTTGAAATATCGAAAATCGTCTGTAATTAATTTGCGTAATTTACCGGGCTCATACTGTATCACTCCTTTTCAATACGATCCCACTCAGTGCCTTTAGTCAGTGTCAAAAAAAATCACCCCTACATCAATGGTGCATGAGCTATGCAAAGTGTTGTCACCTTACACTATCACATCGAAAACATCTATAATAAAAGCTACCTAGCTTATCGTTATTAGAACCCCAAGACCCATTGCTACCGTTGATTATGCGTGAGCATGGGCTGATAAGTCATATTGATTATTATTATTATTACTAGTATTGCAGCATCATCACGGCGAATTTTCGCCCCGGTTGCTAGAGGGCATTGCTTCGGAAAATGTTGTATCTTAGCTTCTCAGCACCGCCCCCAAGTATCCTTTACACACTCATACTTTTACCAAATTGGTTTCAAAAATATATGCACGAAGTGCCGGGTTTGCTTCAGATTTTATTAAAAGGACCGGGCTTGGAGTTTAATATGGAAAACGGTATAGGCAGCACGGGGACCGATGCCACGAGCAAGCTCAGCGAGCACTGGTAGACAGCGCGCGTGTTCCCGACGTTGCACACATGCTGACCAACTAGAACTTGCATGCCCGAGTCTACGAGAGTCTGGATCCCATCAGCACCAGAGTCGAGCTTGAGTCTGGGCACGGCACTTAGCGTAGAAGTTGGAGGCCACTTGAGCTTCAGGTTGAGAATTCAAAAGTGAGCCGAGTTGTGTTTCATTGGGGAAAGCCCGCAGGCGAAAACCCCCTTACGGTACCCAGTGACTACTTCGGCCCACCCAGTGAGCAATGGAGAACCAACGTTGGCCAAAATCGCGCAGAGAGAGCTCCTCGGAGACTTTCTCGGACCCATCCTTCTCTCCCATAGTCACAACCACTCACAACTTGACGTTTTCTTAGTCATTGGCACCTTAACTGGGATGACACTAACATCAACGGCCTAACCTGCTGCTACTCGTATGTGCTCCCGCCATTGATGTCTCGTAGAGTCATCCGTCGCCGCCATAAATGAAGACAGGAAAGAGGCTTGACGTAACAGCAAGGGATCTCGTGCCGCATCTGGTAGTGCCGTCGTAGCTTTCGACCAATTTCAACCGTAAATCAATGTATAGTATTTTGCTTAGTCCTGGTTTCCATACTACAGTAGTAAATAAACACTTTCCGAATCATTATAAGTGTCTTTGGTGTTTCCACCGTTGGCCGCTGAATCGATTGCAACAAATTTCCGGGTGGACATCGTTAAATATCCCCCACAGTACCAGGCTAAATCGTGCTCGAGCATTCAGCAAGCCAATATATCAGTAAAATTGTAACTCATGACGAAAAATTCAGTCACATCACATTCAACAACCACCGGTATGCACATTTGCTCTTACATAACATTAATTTAAAGCTCATTGAAACAGCGAGACCAGCAGTGTGTCCCCCAATACGTAAGTGCTTTTCACAATAACACGAACTCACTGTAAGTGATTTAAAAGAGCTTCAAGATGAACGACTACACGTCTCACTCCACATACATGTTCGCCAGATTCACTATGCAGTAACAAAGAATTAACAGACGCTAGGGGTAGCTATACATTTGGCGTTTGTGTGAACATGCAAGACCAAAAGTTGGTGTCAGAATTGCACATTGCTACTTTAAATTGCTCAGGAAATAGCATGCGATTTTGGAGAGCAACGACGTCTTACTTCCTCCGCAAATGACAATATTTCGTCTATTTATCAAGGTTGTCAGAATAATATACCAAATGTCTGGCAAAAAGAGAATTCTCCACGTTTTCTTCACAGCTACAGAGCATACATCCTGGCTATTGTCTCCACTATATGGCACGTCTGGCCTAGTCACCGCTTTCTGTATCATGCCAATCTTCGTACTCGGTTGCCCCCGCTGCTGCAGAACTGTATGTAGCAAGCGATTTATAGATTTCTTCAGTCAACGATTGCAGCAACTAGTATGCCATCTAATTTTAGTGCTGCCTTCTTGCTTCCGCATGAGTGGTTCGTAATAGTTAGCGGTAGCATAGTATTGCCTTTGGGTTTAGACTTCACTGCTCCATGCCCGTTTTGCCAAGGATCTATCAGTGTACTGACCGATACCTTGAATTAGGTTATCTATGAATCACTTAATCCAAACGACTCTTCGGTACATTGTTTCGTACGTTAGCGGAGACTTTTTACGGAACTGCCTGACCTCTCATATGTTTTTACGGCGGGCTCCACTGTCATTTGCCTCCGTTACCACATTTAACCGGAGTTCAGCCACCCCTTGAAAAGGGTTCCACGGTCCATGTGCATAAATCATCGGTCGTCAACTCTTGTCTTAAACTTTAACGATTAACGCAATCGTTTGTTTGCTGATACAAACGGGGCGATCTCCGGTTCGATAAAAAGTTGACCTCGGTTTAATCACTTGTTATACCTTCGAACAAGGTAACATTTGAAGGGTCGCGTTTGAGCGCCGTTCAACATTAGTTCGTGTGTTCTTAAAAAGAGGTAAGATTCGATCGAAAACGCCCCCGGGCAGGCTATGATAGTTCATTTGCCCTACTCCATTCTCAATTGTAATACAGGGGTTCATAAATTGGAGTAAAAAGTACCTGTAAAAAGGGTAAAAAGTCTTTATGCACATTTCTTTATAAGGGGGGCTATGCCCCAATTAGGTACTTAGCTACAGCAAACGGTTGGTGCCGCGTCGAACAAGATGACGCTTACGAACCATTCGGAATTCCCCCTTCGAGATAATCGATTCGAGGTATAAGTTGACAAATCAGATTTCGGACATGATCGGAAAAATTGAAAGTGAAAGTCACTTGTAGAAAGCCTTACACGTTAATTTAACTACATTTGTTATGAGCTTTCCGATAATGTATAATAAGCAAAAAATGACAAAGTAGTGCTGAGGTGATACGTCCCAGATAAAAACCCGGGATTTCGGGATCGAAAAAGAAGATACATGTATTTCTTTTTTAGACTGAATCGCTCCACGAGCGCTCCGGATTTTGAAGAGATCCGTAGCTTATAAACTCAGATCTAGCGATTTATGTGGTTAGATCGCGATTCGTACATACTTAGGTTCGTAAGCATTGTTTAGTTCTTATCAGTCTCATTTTTGTACGAGCCACCTGCGATGATTGCACTGTATTTGTGCGAGGTATGTAATTTTCTGATCGCGGGGCAAAAGCTGGTGTCTGTAACCGCACTCATCAGCATCAGCCTGATGAGTGCGGTTGATGATTTGTCGCGCTAATCATCATTTAATCCTGGACGGGTTGGGGTGACGCCCTCCCGGGGAGCGGCGCAGCGGCGTCGTTCTCGGGGGCGCTAGTGCGGCTCCGCCTCAGCGCCCTCAGTCTTTCACGGACAAGGATGTGAGGCAAGTGCCTCTGGACTGAGATCTCGACGCGGGTACGACTCGCGGCGGCGGGAGCGGACGAACCAAGCGCGCTCAGTGCTCAGCCACCGACTTCCCGTGGGCTGGTGACTACGGCACCGCCCAGGAAGCTGATTCGGCGGTGAGGCGCGAGCGTCCGCGAGGGGGGAACGCTGCGGAAGTCAATCGTCAAGGGAAGGTGCTCAAGGGGATCAGCATAAGGCGCAGGAACAACACAAGACTGAAGAACAAGGGCGTGCTGGCTGAGACTGTGTGGTTGGTCGGCCACGATAGCAGTCGCCGGGGAAAGGAGTACACCATTTCCGGGTCGTTCTGCACAAATGCTCGATTCAAAACGATCACGTAGAAAAAGGGTGAGTATACTTATGGCGTATACTTGGCCGACTTCTGATCAAATTCTCGATTCAAAATAACCACAGCCATTTTCAAAACGATCAGCTGCCCTTTCTGTGATACCACAGAGGGAAGCAGATCAACAATTGGCCTTTTCGAGAAAATTCTGGCTGATCTCAGTATTAATTTGAGAACATAAATACGACGCAGTGTCAATAGTTGATCAGTCTTTCCCACAACGTACCAGAAAAATGGCACATGTTCATTTAGAAAATGAAAGTGATTGTTTTGAATCCGTGTACTGTTCTGGTCGGAGTCGGACGTGTATACTGCCCTTTTTTCTACGTGATTGTTTTGAATCGAGCATTTGTGCAGAACGACCCGGAAATGGTGTAGTGACCCTAGTTGAGCCAAGACTACAAGACCGATGCGGGGGACGGAAGCAGCGGACATGCCGCCACCAAGGCTTAGCGCGTCTCCGCGAAGGGGGAGCCATTCAGTGCCGACGTATGCTGATCGTGACGGTGAAAACAGTAGGAGCTCAATTAGTGGCCGCCCACTACTAGGGGTAGTGTATGTGGACCACGTTTGGAGAGTGTAGATCACTTATTCCCTGAGCGTAAGGCGCACTAACGTTCACAATACAATACACAATCATCATTTACGGAGTGGATCCAGCCACTTACTATTCCACGGGAAAGTACGAAATATGTGGCGATTATGTGGCGAATTCTGATTCTGATTCTGCCTCGCTCCCAGCCACTCTTTTTCATTTTGCAAATTGCAGGCTTCACGGCAAGCGGCGGAGTGCGCGGTGGCGGCGCTTGGGCGATGGCCCCGCAGCGTACGTGCGTCTTAACATGCAGCCGAGTGACAAGGAGCGCTTGTGGACTTCTGTGGCTGGTTAGGAGCGCTTACAGGCTCGTGAATATGGGTTAGATGCATTTTGTCGCGAGTGATAGCGCTTGAAAGCCCCCACATGCCCTTAGCTGTAGAGTAGTTGCACGGGGCGCGACCTTCGCGACGTGCTAAGGTATATCCGCCTCAAAACTGCGATTTAGTATACATTAGTAGTGCATCCGCCGCGATGGCGCTTGCATATCCCCCTTAACACGCTGCTCATGGGGTTACAGGCTGCATGCCATTTTTCACAAAAGCCACGTGTTTGAGGTTGATTTTCGAGGCACCAGACGCTCGTTGCAAGGGTTTTATATGCGCAACGGAAGGTGAATATATACTTCTACATGACAATATGACTCGCTCGTACTAGCGATCAATAATGCAGGCACACCTTCACCACGAAGAACAGCTCAGGCTTCCATTTCCATTTTTGACTTCGTCGTTTGGAATGAACGCGATGCAAATCCTCGCACTCATGTAAGTACGATCTATTCGACACATACTCGCCACATATTTTGCCCTTTCCCATGAAATAGTATGTGACTGGATACTCGTCTCATCATTTACTCCTCTGATTGATTAGTGGGTGTATGTTCCTGTCTAAACAACGACGCAATTCGTTGTTTTAGCAAATCACGGTGATTAACCCATCATAGAGCTATGTACATGTAGAAGGCTAACTCGTCGATTAATTTAAGATAAAATATATGCTAAGACAAGGAGTTAACGTTGGGTTATGTCTAACTCGTTGAATAAATAAGACGAATTGTATTGTAAGCTTTTGAGACGGTTTCAAACGAAAAGATGCGAAGTACGAATCGCGATTAAACCGCATCAATCGAAAGAGGCGTGTCTTGCACTTCGTTTAAGCTATTGAACGCTCCAAAATGTTAAGAACTCGCGGAGCGACATCGATCTAGAAAAAAATCTCCATATTCGGACCCCCTAAATTCTTGATTTTATTTGGGGCGTGTGACCTCAATATTTCTTTTCAATTTTAACGTATCGTATATTATCGGAAAGCTTGCGCTAAAAGCAATCGAATAAGAGTGTTTTTACACTTTTTGTGTGCTCCTTTCACTTTCTAAATTTTGATGGTGAAAATTGATTGGTCAACGAAAACTCCAAATGGCGCCTAAGCATTATTTCGTTTGAAACCGGATTGAGTCCCCTGGATTTCACTTGATATTTTCGGTATCCACTTTTTTCCTAAAAAAACTATCTACGCACAGCCCTCGCGAAAAGGGATACGGGATAAGACCAGCTCATACGCCAAAGATGCTAGGGTTGCCTACGGGGAGACCGTCACGGCCAGCAAGTGCGCGCAACGGTTCTTGGAAGCATATTGCCCAGGGTGCAGCGTATCCTTAGATATGATTTTTAAATGTTTAAGAAAAGAGTGAAGCATCTGTTGGGTCATAACCCTGCATTTAATATGCACCTATTCAACAGTAGAAGAGCAGCAGGGCTCGAAAAAATAATTATAATATCATAATTTGAGTATTATATTGACGGAATAACTGATTATTGGATTTTCCGGGTTTCCGTAAAATATGATATTGTACCAATAATAAGTATATTAAGTTTTCACCAGATTTCAGTCGTTAAGACACTAACGTTTCCGGTTAAAACCCATTTATACGCCCCAAATGTTAGTTTTACGGTTCAGTATTGCCCGAATAACACACAAAAATAATTATAATTATTATTGTGGGAGCCTCAAGAAATGGAATAACGGATTATTTTTTCTTAGATTCCCAATTTAATTTTATATTTTATTTTCCGAACAGCAAAGTCTCAACTTGTACTGCCAAAGCAGTGTGGGCCTCATTGGTAGTATATTGGAAGATCTTTACACGAATGCTAGGTCGGCATCAGGATGGTTCATAGGAGCCCATTGCCAAGGGTGTAGGATCGTTTAGCGAAGCGAGCGCCCCGCCATTCCAGTTGGGGCGAGGCTCGAAATGCTGCAGGAAATCTCAATGAAAGAACGCTTGGCTGGGTAACCTGTCTTCCACACTATCAAAACCCACACAAATTTCATCAATGAATGGTATCTTTTCCAGGATTACGACACTAACACTAACTTTGAGCGCTCGACAAAACCACTTAACGAAAAATGCAACATACAAGTCACTCCGTAGGCTCAGTTCTGGGTGACGCTCTCATCCCTCGAGGGGACAGGGGCAGTCGAGTTGGATGCACCGACAGCGTCCGTGGGAACCGACGGGGCGGGCGTAGCGGCCCCCTCCTTGCGCGGCGTCATGGCTTGGCCACCACTGGTGTTTGAGACCGAAGGCGTGGCTCCATTCGAGTCGGTCGTAGTTGTGGGGGCGTCGCCACCCGTCGAAGGGCCAGCAGCTCCTGACGCCCCCATGGGTCCGGCTCCAGCACCTCCCGTGGCCCCGGATACGTCAGCGGGTCCCGTGGACGCTGATGTTCCTCCCTCGCTTGCCCCGGTCGTGGGTGCAGCACTATCGCCAACGTTGGCGCTGATCGGTTGGCCGTCGCTCGTCTTGGAAACCGTGCGTGTCTGTCCATTAGAATCCGTGACGCTCGCGCTCACGGACGCTCCACCTCCAGTCGATGGGAGTGGAGCTAAGGCCGTTGTCGTCGCCGTGTTGGCACCCGTTGGTGCGCCAAAGTTGTTGCTAGCGTTGTCGCCAACATTGACGTTGATGGGCTGGCCGTCGCTGCTCTTGTAGACAGTGCGAGTCTGTCCGTTTGAATCGGTGACACTTGCGCTTACGCTCGTTTGACCTCCCGTTGCTGGCAGCGGTGCCGAGGCTGTCGTCGAAGTGGCGTCGACTCCCGTTGGGGGTCCGACATTGTCACCAGTGTTGCCGCCAACGCTGGCATTGATGGGTTGTCCGTCGCTGGTTCTCGAGACGGAGGTGGTCTTCCTATTTGAATCGGTGACGCTGGCGCTCACAGATGGTCCTCCTCCCGTCGACGGAAGCGGTCCTGAGGCCGTCGTCGTAGCAGGACTTACTCCTGTCGGCCCACCGACGTTGTTGGCAGCGTTATCGCCAACATTGACATTGACAGACTGTCCGTCGCTCGACTTGGACACGGTGTGAGTTTGTCCGTTGGAATCGGTGACGCTGGCGGTCACGGATGCTCCACCTCCCGTCGATGGTAGCGGAGCCGAAGCCGTCGTCGAGGTGACATCAACGCCCGTGGGCGTTGACGTGGTTGTGCCAGCATTCACATTGGAAGTCGCGCCATCCACCGGGTTCCCGACACCTCCGCCGACATTGGTCGCAGCGCCACTGACATTGTCTCCGGCACCACCGACTCCAGCTCCCGGGTTGGTTACAGGGCTTGTGGCAGCACCGCCCGTACCAGTCACACCAGTCTTGCCGACGCCAGTGCCGGCAGTGATCGCATCACCTTTCGGATAACTAGCGCCAATGGTTTGGGCAGTTTCGACGCGCGCGTTCACTCCCCCGGAGAGCACGAGTCCGGCGACGCACAGAGCGGCCAGAGTTTTGCAGGACAGCATTGTGGATCGTGGCTTCTTGTATCGCTATCGTAGCTTGTGGACGTGCTCGCAAATTGGAGAATGGTGTTCGTCAGAGTGTTCAAAATGGTGCCGTTGGGCGAAGAGGGGGTGAGATCATACAGACATTGAGGAGAGGCAAGCTATCGGTGGTCAAGCCAAGACACGGTGGTTATTCGCACATGTTTCCACCACGTCAGAGCCTTGATGGATTCGTGTAGAGTAACATGAGGCGATGCATACAGTGTCGATCGGGCGTAGCTAGTGAAGCCACACTTCTACAACTCGAGCGCCCGCGCAGAAAGACCCAGGGCCACTAGCGATATCGGGACATAATGGGTATGCGGTGAAACAGACTGACGGGTGAGCACCAAACTCGTTCAGTTATGATACGACAGCAGCGCCAACGACAGTGTTTACCACCTTTTTGCAAGCTGCAGCATCCGGCTTGCACGGGGCGTTTACTACCCACCTTTGTATTGGTGAAGTTGAAGTTGTACAACCTGTTGACCAGGTTTCGTAGCAGATATGCGGAGGACAGTGAACGGCTGCTTCATTTTGCGAACCAAGCGAGACGTCTATTTGTAAGTCGGACCAATTGGAATCCTACCAAAATCTCGCTTTAGGCGAGGAGGATGTCCAAATCTATACCTCAGCGCATGACGTTCCCCTTGAGAGACTAACTTAGTCAATGCACCGGTGCGAGCTTCTTAGCACGCTCGGCGCTTTCCGACGGCTCTGGTGCTGTCATGTCCTATCAGAGACTACGCACATGTATTATTAAGGTTCGATAGGCTGGCTCGTTAAGAACGAAAGATACTCTGTTTTCACGATTCAGGTGGATTTGCTTCAGCTTAATACTGAATGCTGCTTCAGTTGGATACCTACGCCGTCCTCTGGCCAGTGCGGCTTCTTGACTACGTACCCGGAGTGCAGCGCCGCCGCGATAATCTTCAGGTGTGCAGCAAGACTCGAGTTTCCCATCTTCAACGCCGTCTCGCGCGGTCGTGCCGTTGTCCGTGACGTTGTCCAGGCCAACGTTGGGTGAGCTGTTCTTCGCGGCCGCCAGCTTCAGAGTCACGAGGAAGGGGCCCACTGTGTTGGCCTCATCATCTCGGTCTTGGTGGCCTGGTCGATGCCGCCTCCGCCACCGCCACCTACGTTGTTGATCAGCAAGTCGATGGGCTGGCCTTTCATGTCGATATGAGCAATCTTGTCGTTCTGAAAAATTCAAGGTAGAGGTTGGTTGGCTAAATGAATGGCACATGATAGCAACGTGCATTGGTGGTGCTGTGCAGATAGCGGCGGAGCGATGACCTTCTAGTCGTTATCCTCGTGATCCGTGATGAAGGCGCCGCGGTTGCTGCCGGTGAACTAGACAGAAAGCATCGCAAGGAAACATAGAATTACACTTCGAACGTTGCGTGAAGATGAGTGCCAGCTTAATTCAATGTTCATCAACCGATTTTTTTATTATTTTACTGGCCTTGGTGTAGCCTCCTTGAACTCAGAAGAGAACGCTTGTGCTACTGAGCTGAAGGTTGCAAAAGAATGCACATTCCCTGCTCTCGGCACTCCTACAGCATTACCAGGGCAGCTCCAACAGAGCGATCTGAGCGTCCAGGTTGAAGAACTTGCCCGTGCTCTCGGGCGTCAGCGTGGTGATGAGGCTCGTCATGGCGGCCACGCTGTCCGAAGGCTGCAGCGTCGCCTTGCCTCCGGTCATGTCGGTGTCCACATAGCCAGGGTGGACCGAGACCACCGCGATGTTGCTCTCGCGCAGCTCAACAGCCAGCGCGCGCGTGATCATGTTGAGCGCAGCCTTGGAGGATCCGTAGCCGTAGATTGCATCCTTATACGAAGCCGCAGTCTCAGGTGTGCAGCTGGTGATGCTGCCCAGCAGCGACGAAAGCTGAACGACGAAGGCAGCGCCGTGGACCTTCGCGGCGAGCTGCAGGTTGGGCAGCAGCGAGCGCGTGACCAAGAACGGTCCGACGGCGTTGACCTCGAACTGGCGCATGATTGATTCCTTGGTAGTGGAAGTGAGGCCACCGGGCAGACCAATCCCCGCGTTGTTGATGAGCAGGTCGATGCCAACGCCCTCCAGTTGATGGGCCGCTTCAACGATGGAGGCCTCGTCGGCCGTGTCGATGGTGACGATCTTGAACGGTGAGAGCGCCGACAGCTAGGGGAGGAGGCAGTCAAAGTAAGAGAGGGTGAGCAGTAGCACTGGAAGCGAAGTAGAGGGCCATACCGTACCTTGTCCGTGTTGCTGTTGGCGCGAGCCGTGGCGACGACGTTCCAGCCGGCCTTGACGTAGTGCTCGACGAAGGCGAGGCCGATGCCGCGCGTGCTTCCCGTGATGAGGACGGTCTTCTTGGCGGTTGCCATGGCTGCAGAGAAATGAAGGGGTTCTTGGCGAAGGTGTTCGGGGCTTGGAGCTTTTTCGAAAGTGAGACTTTCGTCGCTAGTGACTACGGAGCCCTGACTGTCTTCGTTGAAGTACAGTAGCGCCAGCAAAGAGCTCAGTAACGGGGGAGTGCATGTAAGAGGTTTGCTTACGATATCATCAGCCCGAAGGTGTCAACAATACGTTGACGGTGTCTTGACAACCTCCAGCGTTGCCGTCAAGCAAACTGTCTTTTGTAGCCATCTTGCTAAACGCGCTTGCAAGTCGAGATCACTGACGCGCCCAAAAATCGACAACAGGGGCAATGTATCCATGCACGGCACAGTGTACCACTCCCGCCATTTCCACCAATCCAGCCGGCCGGGCGCCGCTTTTCAGCCAACCGCGGCGCCTTTCAACGAGCGCCATCTGTCCTCGCCGCATTCTTGACGTTGACTCGCGCCGCCCACAGCAGTTCACGCCCCCTCGACGGACACCATGCGCTACGACCAGCAGCAACAGAGCGACCGCCCCAAGCTCTTCATGCCGCCCATGACGCACATGAACATGCACGTGCCCGCGCAGCACGACTACAACCACCTCATGCAGCAACACCACGCGCAACACCAGCAACACCAGCAACATGCCATCAAATACGAGCCGGGCGCGCACTACTACCAGCCTGCGCCTCCTGCCCCTTCCGCCCAACACGCGCCGCTGCTGCACGTGTCGTCCTCCGCGTACCAGCCGCAGCCCACGCCGCCCAGCGCCGGCTCGAGCCCCGCGGCCAAGAAGCGCTCGCGCGAGGACCTGAACCTCAAGGAGAAGCAGCGCATGTTCAAGCTGAACGAGCGCATCGCGCAGCTCAAGACGCTGCTGGACGACGCCGGCGTGCAGACCAAGAAGAGCAAGCAGAGCATCCTGGACAACACGACGCACCTGATCGAGAAGCTGCAGAGCGACCTGCTCATCGCCAACCAGAAGGCCGAGCGCGCCGAGCGCCAGGCCGACAGCTTCCGCGCGCAGGGCAGCCGGGCCGGCTCCGCCAAGGTCGACAAGCTGCTGCGCACCTGCTTCGAGCGCACGTCCACGCCGCGCGTGGTGGTGGACTTGGGCTTCAAGACAGTCACGTTTAACGCCGCCTTCGCCAAGTTCGTGGGCGTCTCGGAGCCCGCGCTCAAGAAGAAGAAGACGCTGCGCCCGTACCTCTGCGCGGACAAGGAGGCGCTGGACAGTGTCTTTGAGAAGACGCGCGACTCGAAGCAGTCGAGGGGCGCGCTGGTGAAGACGCCCGCTGCAGGGGGGAAGAGCGTGGCGGTGAGTCTCGTGGCAGCCGCTGTGACCGACGACAGCGGCGAGGTCGTCAACATTGAGTTCAGTCTCATCCCGATGGACACGCCGCAACAGTCGACGACCGTCAAGAGGCAGACGACTGGGGACGGCGAAGACAAGAAGAGCAAGAAGGGACCGGCTGGCTTTGAGCTGCAGCTGTAGCACCGACGGAAGTTAGTCAGAACCACACAAGTAACTTCGACCCCACCCACCACCACCACACCGTTTTTGATCCGAGTCGAGTTCGCGCGCCCAAGAGAGCGCCCAATGTGAGCGTATGTATGAGAATAAGAGTAGTAACCTTCCACACAATGGTCAAGTATTGATCGCAATTCGTCGCAAATACGTCCTATCCAAGCAAAAAAAAACTCGAGGACAAGAATGAAAAATAACAACATGGGACGGGGAAGCGCGTTTTCTCTACCAGATACTGCCCCGGAGACTATGAAGCACCAAGGAAAAAAACTCAAGCCGTCTGCTGCAGGACTTACAATAAACCGGCGACCTGCCGGGGTGGACACCAGCGAGTGGCCTGCGCTCCCAGTGTTCACTGCAGCGCGTCTCGTTTGCCGCGAACAGCTTCACGTTATTGGAGACAGCAGCGTCCTCCGGGAGATCGACAGCTTTCTGGATGAAGTTTCCGGATCATGGAGTTTCTCCACTGCCTACAAGGTGTCGGGTGGCAGTCTGCGGCTGCTGCAGTACCTGGCGACCCATGAATCCAAGACGAAAGACTCCTTTCTCCGCCGCTGGGACGTTAACGCCGTCACAGGCCAAGCAGCGGCTCGTGGGGATTTGGGGACGCTGAAGTGGGTCGCAGAGAGCTATTTACCCGGAGAATTCCTCACGGAAGTCGTCGCTGAAGCTGCATGCAATGGCCACATGCAGATATTGACATGGAATGTGGGAGAACTATCGCAGCAGAGGCTACTGGGGAGGAGTTGAGCTGGCGGGGGCTCTACGTAACCACCACCAACACATCGTGGACTGGCTACGAGAAAATGTTGCGGTTCGGCCTGAATGTGCCGGGTATTTGATCAAGGCAGCGACCGAGTGCGGAAACTTGGGGATCGTGCAGTGGATCTACGACAACTTTGAGCTTGACCTTGTCGATGCGTTCAACGCAGCTGTGTTGAAGGGTCAGCTGGGAATCATACTATGGTTTCTAGACCACGCTGAGCACGAAGGCCTGGATGCTGCTCTTCGGGACGAGAATGTCTACATGAGCCCCGCAGAGTTTGGCGACCTGGGCATGCTAAAGATATTTTTCGGTCGGGGGCTAGTGCAAGAGCCTGCAGAAGTTTTGGAGGTGGCTGCTGGACACGGTCATTTGGACATCGTCAAATGGCTAATCGAAGAGCAAGGAATAGAAGATATTGGTCACGCATTTGATCGAGCCGCCGACCATGGACATCTGGACGTGCTGAAGTACTTGCGCGAAACGAAGGCTGAAGCGTGCATTGACTCGCTTTTGGATGGTGCTGCCGTCGCCGGATACATGGGAATTGTTCGGTGGCTTCATGAAAACACGCGAGCTCGCTGTACGGTGCAAGCCATGGACGAGGCTGCTGCCAATGGGCATCTTGGAATCGTGCAATGGCTCCATGCCAACTACACGGAAGGGTGTACCTCGTTAGCCATGCACGTGGCAGCCACACGCGGCCATATTGACGTAGTTAAGTGGCTACACGAGAATCGGAGCGAGGGTTGTCGCCAAGATACCATGTACTTATGCGCCTGCCGTGGGGATCTAGAAATGGCCAAGTAGTTGCGTGCTAACCGGAGCGAGGCTGTCGATCCGGACCGAGCTATTAACATGGACGTAGCTGCTGCATTTGGCTACTTGGATGTCGTGCAATGGTTTCACGAAACCCGCGACGAAGGATGCACTAGCTGGGCGATGGATAGAGCGGCTGGGAATGGTGAACTTGATGTCGTCAAGTGGCTGCACGAGCACCGTCGAGAGGGGTGTACAACCGACGCAATGGACGACGCAGCTAGCAATGGACACTTGGAAGTGGTGAAATGGCTTCATGATAATCAAGAAGAGGGCTGCACTACGAAGGCGATGGACGGCGCGGCTGCGAACAGTCATTTGAAGGTGGTCAAGTGGCTTCGATCCCATCGCTCCGAGCGGTGCTCAGCGTTGGCCCTTGAATGGCTTTCAGCAACTCAACACGCCTCGACACAGCGGTTTTCATGTTCTCGGAATTTCCGGAGTGCCGTAAGTTTCGATTGGGGTCAAGTTTTGAAGTCGCAGGGCTCGAAGTTGTGGAGTGGCTGATTGAGCATGCGCCTACCGCTCTGGAAGGTTGTACACTCAAGGTGAAGTCGTGGAACTGGCACGTTTGCGACTGGCTTCGGCAACATGACTGGAAAGTAGTAAGCCAAGACAATGCTTTCTCGCAATTCGTCTGGGGTGCTTGAGTTAGGCGGACGGACAGTACCGTTTCAACCTAATACTTGGTTTTGCTGCGTTTGGCTTCCTTCACCAATGTGTCACCATTTTTAAAACGTTAAAAGGTTGCCCAAAAGCTGCTACGAAGTATTAGTCGTTGTAGATCATAGTGTACGCCGATATGAAACTTGTCCGGCAAGCGCTTGCCGTCCGTACGTGCTCAAATGCACTAGGTCGGGGATTTCGTGAAAAGATTTCATAAACATAGCAAAGATCATGTGTTACTGTAGCCGGTTGAAAGGAGGTAGCAGCGGAAGTGTTCTAAGCTATCTAACGATCCGCTCGTGATGGAACAACGCGCGCTTCCATGGTCAGTCTGCGATTCTCTAGCAACCGTTGCGATCAATAGCATCGCGGTCTCCTTACCGGAGCTACGGCGACAGCGACGGGGACGACTATACCCCACACTAATCCTGCGACCGACTCCGTTCATTGGGGACAGCAACCTGTTGCTGCCGCCTACGCCGACCCTTTCGCTCATAATCGAGTGGTCGGCGGCTACGCGCTGCTCCAGTCGTTCGGCTCGCTAGATTGAGGCGTTGTTCACGCCACAAAACTCAAGCGTCTCGGACAATGCTTTTCTCCAGCCGACGCAATAACCGTATCAGTTGCTCACGGCTTGCAAGTTCGGTAGCTGTGGAGCGAACAGGTATAAGCTGAATATGGGACGGGGACCCCATATCTTTCTTCGTACATTGTCGATTTCCGCTCACCAAGACAACAAACCCAAGCCGTCTCCTCCAATGAATCGGCAGGTCGCCCGTGTGGATACAAGCTAGTGGCCAGCGTTCCCAGTGTTCACGGCCACGCGGCTCGTTTGCCTTCACGCAATTGGAGACGATCGTGTGCTTCGACTGGTCGACTCCTTTTTGAACGAACTCTCCGACTCGTTAACGTTAACCGCTGCGTACGAGCTTTCGGGTGGCAGTTTGCGCCTACTCCAGTATCTAGCGACTCACGAGACTGTATCGAAGGACTTTTAGCTTCGGCGGTGGGATGTTAATACCGTCACGGGTCGAGCCGCAGTACGTGGCGACATGAGACGCTAAAATGGGTTACGGAGAGCTATTTACCCGGGGAATTCCTGGCTGAAGTCGTCGCTGAAGCTGCGTCGAACGGCTACCTGGAGATTTTGACGTGGATGTGGGAGAAACACCACAGCCGAGGTTTTTGGGGAGGAGTAGAGTTGGCTGGAGCTATCTTGAATTCCCATCAGCACGTCGTCGACTGGCTACGGGAAAATGTTGCGGTTTGGCCTGAATGTGGCGGGTATTTGATCGAATCAGCGGCGGGGGTTGGAAACTTGGGCATCGTGCAGTGGCTCTACAAACACTTTGAGCTTGGAATTGTTGATGCATTTCATGCAGCGGCGGCGAAAGGCCAGTCGGAAGTCATGCTTTGGTTTCTGGATAATGCTGAACTGGAAGATCTGGATGCTGTTCTCCAACATGACAGCGTCTGCATGAGCCCCGCGAAGTTTGGTGACTTGGACATGCTAAAGGTTTTATTTGGCCGGGGACTGGTGCGAGAACCTGTAGAAGTTCTCGAGGTTACTGCTGAGCACGGTCACTTGGACATCGTCAAATGGCTCGTTGAGGAGAAAGAGCTTCGAGATATTGGTTACTCATTCTATCTAGCCACGGTCAGCGGCCACCTGGAAGTGCTCACGTAGTTACACAACAAGATGCAATACGGTTCCAGCGTCGCGTTTGTAGCTCGCGTTTCCCGTACTACATGTAGAACCTTGGAGGTTCAGTGGCTTTACGAGAATACCCAAGTTCTCACAATATATGGGGTGGAGGACGCCGCCGCCAATAACGACCTTGAGATGGTGAAGTGGTTTCATGCTGATAACAGGGAAGGAAGTAGCTGGTCAGCAATGCACGAGGCAGCTGTACACGGCCACCTTGAAGTGGTGAGGTGGCTTCGCGCCAACTGGAATTCTGATTGCCAACCAGATACCATGGAAATCTGCGCCAGACGTGGTGACTTGAATATGATGAAGTGGCTTCACGCTAACAGGCACGACCAATTCGATCTTCACAGAGCTATGGACACTGCCGCTGCCCATGGCCACTTGAAAGTGGTGCAATGGATTCACGAAAACCGCGATGAAGGATGCACTACTCAAGCGATGGATGGAGCAGCAATGAATGACCATCTTGACGTCGTCAAGTGGCTGCACGAGCACCGCCCAGAGGGGTGTACAACCGACGCAATGGACGACGCAGCTAGAAACGGACACTTGGAAGTGGTGAAATGGCGTCATGATAATCGAAAGGAAGGCTGCACTACGAAGGCAATGGACGGCGCGGCTGCAAACAGTCATTTGCTGCGATCCCATTGCTCCGAGCGGTGCTCAGCGTTGGCCCTTGAATGGCTTTTCATCGAGTCAACACGCCACGACACAGCGGTGTTCATGTTCTCAGAATTTCCAGAGTGCCGTGGATTTCGTCTGGCGCCGTTCCCTAAAGTCGAATGGGTTGGCGTTGTGGAGTGGCTGATTGAACGAGCTCCTACTGCCTTAGAAGGTCGTGCACTCAAAGTGAAGTCGTGGAATTGGCACATTTGCGACTGGCTTCGGCAGCACAACTGGAAGGTGGTAAGCCAAGACGAAGGATTTTCGTATTTTTGTTCGGACTAGCAAGTGAGGCGGACGGACAGCTTCCTTTTCAATGTAGGGATACTTTTATGCGTTGATATCGTTCGTTAACGTTGTGCCACCATTACTGTAGCTGATAGGGCGTCGGTAGAATGGGGAACGCTGGTATCGCTTTCATGAATCCTTTATTATTTTTGCTTGCAGCTAAAAGCTGCTAGGAACAGTCTAGTTGTCCTTGCCGTTCGTAGGCTTGTACGCCGGGAAGTCGTTGTAGCCCTGTCCGCCCAGCGACGAGTTATAGTACACCTCGTGGCCAGCCTCGGGGGCGATCGGCCAGTCGTTCTGGAAGCGCTCGGCCAGGTCGGGGTTCGAGATGTACAGACGTCCGAAGCCCACCAGGTCCGCAGCTCCCGTGCGAATGGCACCCTCGGCGCGGTCGCGCGTGTAGTTGTTGTTAGCCATGACGATGCCCTTGAACGCCGTCTTGGCGTCGAACGCGGTGGTGTGACGGCACTTGTCCGTAGCCATGGCCGATAAGTGAATATGGGACGGGGGCGGTGGATTTCCTTCATTCATCAATTTCCGCTAGTTCTGATGCATCAAGATAAGAAATTCAAGCCGTCTCCTGCTGTAAGAGCAATGAATGCCCGAGAGGATACAAGTGAGTGGCCAGCGTACCCAGTGTTCACGGCCGCGCGGCTTGTTTGCCTTCACGAAATCGGAGACGATAGTGTGCTTCGAGTGATTGATTCTTTTCTGGACGAACTCTCTGACTCGTTAACGTTAACCGCTGCGTACAAGATTTCGGGTGGCCGTTTGCGCCTACTCCAGTACCTGGCCGCTCATGAAGCCGTGACGAAGGGTTTATTTCTCCGTCGTTGGGACGTTAATGTCGTGCCAGCCCGAGCAAACAGCACGTGGGGAGTTGAAAACGCTAAAATGGGTGGCAGATAGCTATTTACCTAGGGAGTTTATCGCGGATGTTGCATCCCAAGCAGCGTCTAACGGCCACCTGCACATTTTGAAATGGTTGTGGGAAAATCATGGCAGCAGGGGCTTTTGGGGAGGATTAGAGTTGGCTGGAGCTATCCGGAATTCCCATCAGGACGTAGTGAAATGGCTTCGAGAAAATGCTGCGGTTCGGCCTGAATGTGCCGGGTATTTGACCGAATCAGCAGCAGAGGTCGGAAACTTGGAGATTGTACAGTGGCTCTATGGCAACTTTGAACTCGAAATTGTTGATGCGTTAAATGTCGCGGTGTTGAAGCGTCAATGGGAAATCATACTATGGTTTCTGGATAATGCTGAACTGGAAGATCTGGATGCTGCTCTCCAGCATGACAACATTTACAGGAGCGCCGCAGAGTTTGGTGACCTGGACGTGCTGAAGATTCTATTCGGTCGGGGGTTAGTGCGAGAGCCTATAGAAGCTCTAGAGGTTGCTGCTGGGCACGGTCATTTGGACATCGTCAAATGGCTCCTCGAGGAGAAAGAGATTGGAGATATTGGTCACGCATTCTTTCGAGCCACGGACAGCGGTCACCTGGATGTGCTGAAGTATCTACATACAAAGATGCCAGACGATTGCAGCGTCACGGTTCTGGCTTGCACTAGAAGTTTGGAGGTTGTTCAGTGGCTTCACGAGAATACTCAAATTGAATACAGCATGTTCGCGATGGAGAACGCTGCTGCCAATGGGGACCTTGAGATGGTGAGATGGCTCCATGAGAGGACGTATCTGGTCAGCAGCAATACACAAGGCAGCTATACGCGGCCACCTTGACGTGGTGAGGCGGCTTCACACGACTCACGAGGCAGGTTGCCAAGGAGATACCATGAGAATCTGCGCCGGACGTGGGGACCTGGACATGGTGAAGTGGTTGCACGCTAACAGGCACGAAAGATTCGATCTTCGAGGAGTGATGGCTGCAGCTGCTGCAAATGGTCATTTGGATGTCGTGCAATGGTTGCACGAACACTTCAAGGGGGTATGCAACACTAAAGCTATGGACAAAGCTGCTGAGAATGGTCACCTCGATGTTGTCAAGTGGCTGCACGAGCACCGCCAAGAGGGGTGCACAACCGACGCGATGGATAACGCAGCTAGAAACGGACACTCGGAAGTGGTGAAATGGCTTCATGTTAACCGCGAGGAGGGCTGCACTACGAAGGCAATGGATCTAGCAGCTGCAAAGTGCCACCTAAAAGTGGTCAAGGGGCTTCGATCCAATCGCTCCGAGCGGTGCGCTTTTCAGCAGGTCAGCGCGCCTCGATACAGCAGTGTTCATATTCTCCGAATTTCCAGAGTGCCGTGCCTTCCGTTTGGGGTCAATTTTTGAAGTAGCATGGGCTGGCGTTGTGGAATGGCTCGTGGAGAGAGCTCCTTCTGCCTTGGAAGGTTGTACACTCAAAGTGAAGTCGTGAAACTGGCACCTTTGTGACGGCTTCGGCAACATCACTGGGTGGTGGTGAGTGGGGAGAGGCGAGCAATCTGCAAACTTTTTTTCCACTACAGTCCGTACTGCAGTAGTGGTATGCCGAAGTTATGCGTTGTCATCTTGTTATCACGAACAGTTTATTATCAGCTAAAAGCTGCTACAACTTTAAGCATCCTGTCTAGTTGTCCTTGCCGTTCGTAGGCTTGTACGCCGGGAAGTCGTTGTAGCTCTGTCCGCCCAGCGACGAGTTATAGTACACCTCGTGGCCAGCCTCGGGGGCGATCGGCCAGTCGTTCTGGAAGCGCTCGGCCAGGTCGGGGTTCGAGATGTACAGACGTCCGAAGCCCACCAGGTCCGCAGCTCCCGTGCGGATGGCACCCTCGGCGCGGTCGCGCGTGTAGTTGTTGTTAGCCATGACGATGCCCTTGAACGCCGTCTTGGCGTCGAACGCGGTGGTGTGACGGCACTTGTCCGTGAAGCCGAAGCCGAAGCCGTCCAGGATGGCCAGGTAGCCGAGGCCGTACGTGCTCAGACGCTCCATCGTGTACTTGAACATCTCGTAGTTGTCCTCGCTGCCCATGCCGGCAAAGGCGCCGTTGGGGGCGAGACGCACGCCGATGCGGTGCGCCGGCACCACCGTCTTGACGGCCTCCACGATCTCCATCAGAAGACGCGCGCGGTTCTCAAACGAGCCGCCGTACTTGTCCGTGCGCTTGTTGGTGACGGACTGCAGGAACTGGTCGATGAGGTAGCCGTTGGCGCCGTGGAGCTCGACGCCGTCAAAGCCGGCCTTGAGCGCCAACTCAGCTCCGTGGCGGTAAGACTCAACGACACCAGGGATCTCGTCCGTCTCCAGCGCACGCGGCGTCTCGTAGTCGGACGCGACGTAGTCGGCGTTGCGCGTGTGGCCGCGCTCGAGACGCAGCGCCGACGCGGACACGATCTCGCCCTTGGGGTTGAAGCTCGAGTGGCTCTGGCGACCCATGTGCCACATCTGCATGAAGATCTTGCCGCCCTTCTTGTGCACGCGCTCGGTCACGCGCTTCCAGCCCTCCACGTGGGCGTCCGTGTAGCAGGCCGCGGCGTGGTACCAGCCGTAGCCCTGCTCGGAGATGGCGGTGGCCTCCGAGATGATGAGGCCGGCGCCCGCGCGCTGCTCGTAGTACAGCTCGTTGTCGGCGGACGGCACGCGGTCGGCGTTGGCGCGGCCGCGGCTCAGCGGGCCGAACACGACGCGGTTCTTGAGCTCGAGGTCGTCGCCCAGCTTCAGCGGCGTAAAGAGCTTGTAGTCGGCGGTGACGGCGGCCATGGCTGTGGAGGGGATTGGCTTGACTTGAGCGAGGGGAGGCAAATTCAGGAGTGACTGCCAGCAGGCACGTGGGGGGTCGATGTCGATGTCTCTTGGGAAGACATCTTTGATCATGTCCTCACAGCGGCTGACGTCAGCAGATTAATTAGCGGAGCTCTACGCGGTGATTGGACGAAAAGGGACTGTAAGTTGAACACGTGACATGTGAGCACGTAAGCTGAAATGTCGACCTGTGACGTGTGAGCGCTGATGAGCTTCTGGTTGCAAACATCATTCTTGCGACTTACATGAACATGTCGACGTGATCCCGGTTTACCCGGTCGTGTGATGACTGAAGTGGTTGGAACGTCTCAATCAAGCTCCGACGATGACCAGCTCGGCAAATGACAATCAAGGGCGACGATTGTTCTGGGCGTCATCGCTGTTGCTGACTCTCCATCGAGCAGAACTACAGCTTCCTAGCTGTCTACATGTAGTAGGAAGTTCCTTCAATCAAAATGCAACCTTCGGCGGCAATTTTCGCTTCATGCGAGTGGCTGGTCGCTGCTGGCCGAGTAGGCAATCTCACTTTTCAAAAAGCTTCGTAACCCCCAAACACTTCACTAAGACCCCTTCAACGCAACTATGGCATCCACCAACAAGACGGTTCTCATCACGGGAAGCACGCGTGGCATCGGCCTCACCTTCGTCGAGCACTACGTCAAGGCCGGCTGGAACGTCATCGCCACGGCTCGTGCGAACAGCAACACGGAAAAGGTACTCAGTGCATTGGTAGTCTGCATGATCAAACCTCAGTCTAACAAACACTGGCAATCCTGTAGTTGACGGCGCTGTCTCCGTTCAAGATCGTCACCATGGACACGGCCGACGAGGCCTCCATCGTTGAAGCGGCCCGTCAGCTGGAGGGCGTCGCCATCGATCTGCTCATTAACAACGCCGGGATCAGCCTACCGAGCGGGCTTTCGTCCGGCACCAAGCAGTCCCTGATGCGTCAGTTCGAAGTCAACACCGTCGGACCGTTCCTCGTGACGCGCGCGCTGCTGCCCAACCTGCAGCTCGCTTCGAAGACCCACGGCTCCGCCTTCGTCGTCCAGCTATCATCGTTTCTGGGTAGCATCACCAGCTGCACGACGAAGACTGTTGCTGCCTTTAAAGATGTCTTCTACGGCTACGGCTCCTCCAAGGCTGCGCTCAACATGATCACCCGCGCACTGGCCACCGAGCTGCGTGAGAGCAACATCGCCGTGGTCTCGTTCCACCCTGGCTACGTGGACACCGACATGACCGGAGGCAAGGCGACGCTGAAGCCTTCGGACAGTGTGGCCGCGATGACGAACCTCATCGCCACGCTGACGCCCGAGAGCACGGGCAAGTTCTTTAACCTGGACGCTCAGATCCCCCTGTCGGAGCTGCCGTGGTAAGGCGCCGAGTTGGACTCGCTGCACAGCATAGGACAATGGTCGTGAGCCTACATGCATGCATTCAAATGAAGCACAGAGAATGAGAAGATGCAGAACATGTATTCATTGGTAAGGCGGCAGCAAGCACCACGAAATCAAAAACACCTGAACCAGTAAGCGTGGTTGAATAGTGTAGCGCACCTCTTGTCCTCAGCTGCGGCTGCGGCTTCGGCTGCTGCTGGGGCTGCGGCGTCGACCGCGTCCACGACTGGAGCTTCGGCTGCGACTTCTGCTGCTGAAGCTTCTTCCCCGACTTCTGATCCTGCTGCGACTTGCACTTCGACTGCGACTTCGCCCACGTGCGCGACTGAAGCTGCGGCTGCGGCTCCTGCTGAAGCTTCTGCTCCTGCTTCTACTGGGGCTGCGGCGGCGTCGGAACGGGCTGGGCGAGCGTCGACGACCTCCACGGAAGGGCGGGGGCGGGCTGCGTCGTCCACCTCTGAACGGCGACGCCCCGCGCCGACGGAACGCCGGCGAGCGCGAGCGGGAGCGACCTCCGCGTCGGTTGTTGCCGAAACTTCGGCTGCGACTGCGACTTCTGCCGCGGAACGGTGACACGCCGCGGCGTCCGCGTGCTCCTCGAGGCGGCGAGCGCTGGCGGCTGCGCGCGGTTGGGGACGGTGAGCGTCCGCGTCCGCCTCGACGGCTGCGGCTCCTGGGGGACAGCGAAACTCTGCGCCGGTTGTTGGGCTCCGGTCTGGGGGCGTCCGGCAGCACGCGCAGCTTGTTGCCGTCCAGCCAGCCGTCATGCATGTGGTCCTTGGCGCTGTCGGCGTCCTGCTGGGAGGCGAAGACCACGACGGCGCTGGCCTTGCCCCGGGGCACGGCCATGTCCACGCGCACCACGAGCCCGAACTTGCCGAAGATCTCGCGCAGGTGGTCGGCGTTCACGTTGCGCGTGAGGTTCTCGACGCGCAGAGACACAGGCTTGGGCTCGGGTTTGCTGCTGCTGGAGCGCTTGGCGTCGGCGGGCGAGCGCGCGTCTGGCACGAAGAGAGAGAGAGAGAGAGAGAGAGAGAGAGAGAGAGAGAGAGAGGAGTTAGAGGAGTTAGAGGAGGAAGGAGATCGAGAGGAGGAGGGACGAGGAGAAGACACGCACTGGAGGCCGAGCGAGAGCGAGAACGGGGCGCCGAGCGCGAACGGGACGCGGAGCCTTTGCGCGCATTGCGGCTGGACGAGCGGCGGGATGGCGACTGCGCCGGCGAGCGCGAGCGGGAGCGCGAGTTACGCGAAGGCGAAGCCATGGAGCTGCTCGGCGTGCGAAATGACTAGGAATGGATCGCGAGGCGGTCAGACCATGCTCGATCATGCTATGATGTATGATGGGGGGTTGATATGTGAAAATTAACGTAAGTTAGCGGGTGAGGAAGGTACTGACTAACTTGCCTCGAGCAACGACGCACCCGAGCTGAACAACCCATCGCTTGACTTCATGTGTCGATCAGGGCGTTTGCCGCTAAGTCGTTTGACCTGAGTGAGTTTTCTGCAGCAAGTCTGTGCATGGATTCCAGCCCGCCCATGGCATCGTTTCTTCGCCCAAACCCTGCATTCGACGTCCACCTTCAGTTGCTACTCCCTGTGGGCTGGTGACACTACTGATAACCAGCGGTAGCAGACGCTGTATATTCTTCAGCTGCAGGGTGTGTTCCCGGGTGCGTTGAATTATCAGTGTAACTATGCGATGGGTATCGCAGCTCATTCAGGGGGATAAAGCTCGACGTCGCAATGCTACCCTTGATCTCCTCCAACAACTACCACTTACCACAGCAGGCCACTGCCGTTGAAGTGGAAGAACTTGCCGCTGTCTTCGGGAGTGGCCTCGGCAACGATCTTAGTCAGGCCAGCCACGCTGTCCTCGGGGGTCGTCTGGCCGGTCATGCGGGTCACCACGTAGCCGGGGTGCAGCGCCAGCGCGATGATCTTCTCGTCCTTCAGGTCCGTAGCCAGACTCGAGTTCACCATGTTCAGCGCCGTCTTGGACGCGCGGTAGCCGTACATGTTAGGAATCGGCTCCGGTTGCAGCCGTTGGCGCAACGGAGGTGTCGCTAGCAGCGACAACAAGAGCGTGAGTCCAAGCAGGATGGACGAGGACAGGAGAAGCTGCGGAGCAGCAGACAGGTGTTGAAGTAGTATGAGTGTCTGACAGACTAGCTACAGCCACACTGCATTGAGTGAGTAGGAGATCAGTCTCGAGTCCAGGAGCAGACTAAGTGCGGAAACAAGTTGCGTGTTGCATTTCACGTGACTGGTGGCGGGCATCTGGCGGCGTTCACTCGGTGGCGCTGTGACCGGACCCACCGCGTAACAGTACATGCCGCCCGAACCGTTGTCCGCGATACTGCCCATGCGCGAGGAGACATGGCCAACGGTGGCTGAACCCTTTTGGTCGACCGCAAGCTTCAGGTTCGGTAGGAACGCGCGCGTCACGAGGAAAGGGCCCACCGTGTTGACCTCGAACTGCTTCATCATCTCGGTCTTGGTGGTCTGGTCGATGCCGCCTCCGCCGCCAATGCCAGCGTTGTTGATCAGCAGGTCGATGGGCTCGCCCTTCAGCAGCTCAGCAGCAGCCTTGATGGACGATTCGTCGCTCGTGTCGATCTGGACGACCTTCTCGAGCTTGAGCTACTTGAGCTGGTTATTAAAAAAAAACATTAGAGTTAGAGGTTGTTCGTGTAAATGAATAAAGCAATCTGAGCGGCTTACGTCGATGGCGCTCTGAGGATCGCGGGCGGCAGCGATGACCTTCCAGCCGTTAGCCACGAAGTGCTTGGTGAAGGCGAGGCCGATGCCGCGGTTGCTGCCGGTGATCAAAACAGTCTTGGCGCTCATACTGGTCGTCGGGAGCGGAGAGATGTGCTTTCTTGGCTGCGGTTTTGAGATTGGTTCGTGGTTAGCAGTGGAGGAATTTGACAAGGTACAAGGTTCGTCAACATCCATGGCTTGACGTCATCGTAGTTTACAGCGACCAATGCGATTCACGCAATCACAAATGTGTTGGCCGGGTCTTCGACCTCCACTAAGCCGACAAGTGATATATGTAGCTAGTGAGATCGGTTTTCTTGTACGGTGTTCTTCGATCCTAAGTAACATGCAGGAAAGCAGTGCTGTAGCTTACATTTCGATGTGCAGTTTGACTCATGACGTGGTATAAGGAATAAAAATGTCAATTCCCGTAGCAAACAGATATGTATGCACTACACACCATTGGTCAAAACTTGATTTATTTTGTCCAATGACTCATTGGACAAAATTCTCATTGGCAATGAGCAGCAGTACGTTTTTGTCCAATCGAGTGTCATTGGTGCATTGTACCATATTTTACCAACTTCAACGCAACGCTTGACTCGCACATCGACGATCTTCCTGCTCACCGGAAGCCACCCCATCTCGAGATCTAGAGATCTACCTGCTCTCCGCCGGAGAGTCTTCGGTGCTTGACACGGAGGGAACGCTGGCCACTTTCATCGCTGCCTGCGAAATGTGCACGAAAGCAGTTGCCACGGAGCTCATTATGGCTCCTTCCAATGCCTCGTGTGCGAGGGAGGGCTCTCATCTTCGTGACTTCCTGCACGCATTTTGCTCTGCATTTCTATCGGCGCGGCGGCAGTTCTGCACTGTCTTGGTCTCCAGGCCGGGAGACTCGGAGCACGCGAACTTCTACAAGGACCGGGCGCGTGCTTCCGCCTCTGGAGAAAATCGCAGTCTCGGTGAGGAGTCCTCACCAAACCTAACGATGAAAACTCTCAGCGGAAATGAGGGCTGCTGGCTGCCATCACGGAAAGCGTAGCAGTCAACTGCAGTGCGTGCAAATGAACCTCTATCAACCATGGTATGGTGAAACATATCCACCGCTCGAACGAAAGTCAGGCGTTGGGAGACGTCGCTGTTCCCTCTGAAGCCTTGCAATGCTACGACCTCGTCCACGGATCACCATAATCATCGAATGTAGGAAACTGTAATGCTTGCCTATGATGAACATGGCGCGATCGACTGCAAAGAAGGACTTGCAAGGAGCTGGTAGAGACGGGCTCAGCTAGAGAGCTCGGACTTCTGCCCTCAGTTCACCAGAGCGAAGGTCGGTCGGGCTCCGATACGCTGACAGCGTTTGCAATCCGAGCTCATTTCCCAATTTTCCTTGCCAGTCCAAGCTCGTCCAAGTTTGCTCTGGCATTGATACCCGTCTGCTATCCATGGTATCTGTTATCCAAGCTACCAAGGCCGCCATTGCGCTGCTGGCACTCCCCGTGCTCGCCACTCAAGCTGGAACAAGCACCTGTGAGGTCACAGACTCAGACGCCTGCGCTATCGATTCGCTCGCGGCCTCCACCGACGATGGCAGCGTGCTCATCTACCCGGGAGGCGACACGCGCTGCGCCTTCGACGACTACACGGACAGCGTGACGACGTTCGCGTCCAACTCGACGTACTTCTTCCAGGTGTTCCCTGCGGCGGAGGCGAGCAAGAAGAAGCTGCTGCTCTTCTTCCAGGGCGGCGGCGCCTGCGTCGACAAGTACACGTGCGACTTCGCGCTGCAGTGCCAGCTGGGCGCGAGCTCGCTCATCACTACCAAGGCGTCCGTCACGGACTCGGGCATCATGAACCGCACGCTGGACGGCAACGTCTTCAACGACTACAACATCGTGTACCTGCCGTACTGCACGGGCGACCTGTTCGTGGGCAACAAGTACCTGGAGCCCTACGAGAGCGTGTACAACCAGGCGCTGGGCAACAAGCAGTGCCTGGGCCAGGACCAAGGCATGTACATGAACGGCTACAACAACACGATGGCGGTGTTGAAGTGGGCGCTGGCCAACTACCCGGACCCGGAGCAGCTCGTGATCGGCGGTTACAGCGCTGGGTCGCTGGGCGCGCAGATGTGGTCGGCGTACGTGGCGAAGACGTGGGGAGTGGAGTCGAAGGGCACCAAGTTCCAGGTGCTGGCGGACAGCTACGTGGGTGTGTTCCCGGAGCACAAGACTCCTGCCAGCGAGCTGATCAACTACTACGGCGGGTGCGGACTGGTGGGCTTCCCCGATAGTATGGCGGCGGAGTGTGAGGCCGAGACGGCGACGGTGATCGAGATGGTGAGCTCGTTGATGAACGAGGCTCCGAGTGCCGAGTGGCTCTTCATCGACAGCATCGCCGACAAGACGCAGCGCAAGTTCTACGAGCTGGTGTTGCTGGGCATCGCTGGGTATCCGTTCACGAACCTGCTGCCGGCGGACGAGTTCTACGGCAACATGACGGAGATCCTGGACGCGTACTCTGCGTTCATGAACGTGACGCGCTTCAACATCGATAGTGACCAGCACGTGTGGCTGACCGGTAATACCTACGAGAGCGCGGTGGATCTTGAAGACCAATTGCTCGGTGATGTTCTATTCGCGTGGTTGTCGCTTTCGTCGGCGAGCTCATCAAGCGGTTCTTTCGCGGCTTCGTCCAGTCGTTCCTCTGTGAGCTCTTCCAGCGGCTCCTCGGTAAGCTCATCGAGCAGCAGCCACTCAAAGCCTGCTTCTTCATCGAGCAGTTCGTCGAGCGGTAACAGCCCCACCGTATCTAGTACTAGCAGCTCGAAGGCTTCGTCATCGAGCACCGGCAGTCAAACGGCAACTCCGAGCGAGACGCCTGTTAGCACCACAGCTACTCCAACTCAAATCCCCGCCAGTACGACGTCCACTCCTACCGTCATCCCCGCAAGCACGACGGCCACTCCTACTGAGACTCAAGTGCCTTCCACCGCCACGCCGGCATCGACCCCGGCAACAACGGGTTCTTCAACTGAAATCCCCGGTAGTACCACAACAACCCCGACTGAAATCCCCGCCAGTACAACATCAACACCAACGGAGACCCCCGTGAGCACGACGGTGGCGCCTACCTCGACTCCAGTGGTAACCACGACCGCACCGACAACGGCACCGGCAACTACCGAGCCCACCGTCTCCATTCCTACCTACTGCTAAACTGCGTTCTGGATGCGAGTCGCGTGGGCATATCAGTACAAAGCACCTGCTATAAAAGACTCCAACACCAGAAGCAATTGGTTTGTACGTACAAACACAGTAATCTTGTCGTTGCGGATGGGTCTAGTGTAGTTCACAATGTGAATTTCACATCGATTCCACTCGGAAGCTGATAATGCATCCCAAATATGTGCCCAAATCGCCCCAAATGTTCCAAATAATGAATTGTCTCTGTAACATTTAGGTACATATTTGGGGCCAAGTATATGACTGCTTTCTCGTAAAACTATCCCAAATATGTACCAAAACGGAGTTGACTGATTATGGTCTATAGTCGATGGGCGAGGGCGAGTGGACGCGAGCGCGAGCCTCACTCGATGCATTCACTAAACGCCAACACCCGCCGATTAGGCGGGGGCGTGTCTGTGCGAGCGAGCGAACGCGAGCGCTGCAACCCGATTTTTTTTTTTCTAGACACCGCGCCTGGCCGAGACGAGGAACTTAGCGTAAGGGACAAGGAGGTGGGGCAGGCCGCGCAGCGGCGCCCCCCGAGCGAAGCGAGAGAGGGGCGGCCCCCGCAGACCCGTCGCTAAATCCGCAGACGAGAGCCAACGCGCGAGTGTCCGCCCTGTGCAGCTCTTTCATACTGAAGGTTATTCTGTCCTAAATCCAAAACGTTCCCATGGTCTTAAATCATTTGGGAAAAACTTTGGGATTTGGGGCGTTTTCGGGGTGCATTATCCAGTACCTTCCACTCGACTCAACGAAAGTGATTCACGATTCAGGTGTTGGACCAAACGTCTCAGTTAGAAATCATGTTATTGTCTGCTATTCGATCTAGCAGAGAGGGGCATGGAGGTTGAAGTGGGGCAAAAGGGAGCACATGAGCTGCTTCAGCTCCTGCAGTTGTTGAGCTTGTGGCGAGAAAGCAAGCGGCTTAGAGGTCTTCGCGGACACTGTCGTGGGGGCTGGCTTTGTAGTCGGCGCCGGCGTTGGAGCAGCAGCAGTAGAAGCTTCGGGTGTTGACGTCGAGGTAGTCGTCGTAGCTTCAGGAGTCGAGGGGTGTGCGAGCCAAGAACTCAAAATATCGCCAAGATATCCACCCTCCAAACTCTCCGCGCTCTCATAGGTATTACCGGTCAGCCACACGTGCTGGTCACTATCGATGTTGAAGCGCGTCACGTTCATGAACGCAGAGTACGCGTCCAGGATCTCCGTCATGTTGCCGTAGAACTCGTCCGCCGGCAGCAGGTTCGTGAACGGATACCCAGCGATGCCCAGCAACACCAGCTCGTAGAACTTGCGCTGCGTCTTGTCGGCGATGCTGTCGATGAAGAGCCACTCGGCACTCGGAGCCTCGTTCATCAACGAGCTCACCATCTCGATCACCGTCGCCGTCTCGGCCTCACACTCCGCCGCCATACTATCGGGGAAGCCCACCAGTCCGCACCCGCCGTAGTAGTTGATCAGCTCGCTGGCAGGAGTCTTGTGCTCCGGGAACACACCCACGTAGCTGTCCGCCAGCACCTGGAACTTGGTGCCCTTCGACTCCACTCCCCACGTCTTCGCCACGTACGCCGACCACATCTGCGCGCCCAGCGACCCAGCGCTGTAACCGCCGATCACGAGCTGCTCCGGGTCCGGGTAGTTGGCCAGCGCCCACTTCAACACCGCCATCGTGTTGTTGTAGCCGTTCATGTACATGCCTTGGTCCTGGCCCAGGCACTGCTTGTTGCCCAGCGCCTGGTTGTACACGCTCTCGTAGGGCTCCAGGTACTTGTTACCCACGAACAGGTCGCCCGTGCAGTACGGCAGGTACACGATGTTGTAGTCGTTGAAGACGTTGCCGTCCAGCGTGCGGTTCATGATGCCCGAGTCCGTGACGGACGCCTTGGTAGTGATGAGCGAGCTCGCGCCCAGCTGGCACTGCAGCGCGAAGTCGCACGTGTACTTGTCGACGCAGGCGCCGCCGCCCTGGAAGAAGAGCAGCAGCTTCTTCTTGCTCGCCTCCGCCGCAGGGAACACCTGGAAGAAGTACGTCGAGTTGGACGCGAACGTCGTCACGCTGTCCGTGTAGTCGTCGAAGGCGCAGCGCGTGTCGCCTCCCGGGTAGATGAGCACGCTGCCATCGTCGGTGGAGGCCGTGAGCGAGTCGATGGCGCAGGCGTCGGAGTCGGTGACCTCACAGGTGCTTGTTCCAGCTTGAGTGGCGAGGACTGGGAGTGCCAGCAGCGCAATGGCGGCCTTGGTAACGTGGGATAAGTGGACCATGCTGGTTGGGGTGAAGTGGAGCGTGAAGGTACCAGTTGAACTGGTGGGATCCGGTCGATGGTGTGAACTCTCGACGGAGGATTCAAAAGTGAATTTCTCGTAGCGGCGCAAGGCGGAGGTGTGACGAGACCAAGGCGTAAGAAGGAGAACGTAGGGTCAGGGAGTTGTGCAAGCATCCAAATGTTTCTACAGGCTGCAACCTCCCTCGTCGATTGGATCTGCTGGAGACCGCAAGACCACTGTTGTAACGCTACGCGCGGCGAGAAGTTCAGGAGGGGTCAACGAACCTGAGATGTTGCGCAGTTTCTACAATCGATCTTCGTCCGATTGACGGATTCACCGAGGTCCGAGTCCTTGCGCTTCCAGCGTGTGACAGCATTAGTGATCGCTTTGAGGTTAACAACTTCTGCTGCGTCGGCGACGCTGTTGACGCCGTCGGCGCCTGCCTTGAAGGCGTCTGCATGGGTCGCTGGTCGTCGAGCGTCGAAGTCTGACCAGGATGTGCGTCTTCACATCTTTTGGGATCGAAATCGTCAATTGTTACCACTTCAACTTGGCTGCGCTCGTGACTTGGGCCTGTGCAGATGACACCCAACGAACCTGGAGCAGCTCCGAGCACAGAGTGGTTCTTCATGGACATAGTTGCTGGAGAAACCCAGCGCAAGCTCGGTACGGATACGAAGCTGATGCTTTTGGGCATTTCTAGATAAGTATACGGATACTTAAGTAAGGTTTATGAATGTGACCACTGCAACACTCGATTGATAGTCGCTTCATTCATCGTGGTTATCTGCGCACGAGAAGTGGCCTCCTCTTCTCAGCGCTCTCTCAATCTACGTAGTTCCTGGGTTCATTCTCGAGTTGGTACGCCGGCTAGTCGTTGTAGAGCTTCCCGCCGAGAGCCGAGTTGTAGTACGCCCCGTGACCAGCCATCGGCTCCACCGGCCAGTCGTTCTGGAATCGTTTCGCCAGGTCGGGGTTAGTGATGTACAGACGACCAAAGACCACAAGATCGGCGGCTCCGCTACGCACAACTCCCTCGGCAGTGTCGCGCGTGTAGTTGTTGTTGGCCATAACAACGCCCTTGAACGCAGTCTTGGCGTCGAATGCCGTCAGCGTGCGGGTCAAGAAGGTGTTCCCATCGTATCGTATCGGCGTTCGCCTCTCCCCTCACGGCGGCTTCGGTAGCATGGGCAGCGAGGACAACTACGAGATGTTCACGTACATCATGGAGCAACTGAGCAAGTACAAGCTTGGATACCTAGCGACTCCGCTCTCCTCCACTACTCCAACAAGAGCTGACTTGCGGTAGTCCTCAACGATGCTCGGGATCTCCTCTGTCTCCAGCGCACGAGGCGTTTCGTAGTCGGATACGACGTAGTCGGTATCGCGCGTGTGGCCGCTCTCACAGCGTAATGCCGATGCCAACACGATCTCGCCCTTCTTGTTGAAGCTCGAGTGGCCTTGACGACCGATGTGCCACATCTGCATGAAGATCTTGCCGCCCTTGTTGTGAACACGGTCGATCACGCGCTTCCAGCCTTCAGCACGAGCGTCGGTGTAGCACGCCGCGACATGGTACCAGCCGTATCCCTGCTCCGACACGGCGGTGCCTTCCGAAATGATGAGACCAGCACCCGCGCGTTGCTCGTAGTAGAGCTCGTTGTTCTCCGATGGCACGCCGTCGGCGTTGGCGCGACCGCGAGTGAGTGCGATGCGGTTCTTCAGCTCGAGGTTGTCGCCCAGTTTCAGCGGCGTGAAGAGCTTGTAGTCGGCGGTGGGGATTATTGTAGCCTGTCGGTGGTGCTTGGGAGGGAGTGTTGGTTGGCTGCTGAGTAGAATGCAAAACGCAGAATGAGAACTCAACTCAAACATGACGTGAGTCCCATGGATAGAAGTTCGCGACATCGAGTCGACACATTTCTTGACTGCGATTGGTACGCGCTGCCTTCATCTTAATACATGTCGACAGGAATGTCGAGTAATCCTAGAGGCCCATAGTTCTCTGCTATTCCTCTTTAGGTGACTTCATTTCCTTCGCCATCCCCTTCATCTTCTGCAGTCACCTCCAAGACGCAAGTGCGACTCAGTTCTGTAGGCAGCTTCATCGGGTTAGGAGTTCAGCGTCATGCCTTGAAATCCGTCGCCGATGCGTGCCGCACACTAATAGAAATCAAGGTGGTTCTCCGTGGGAACAAGGCAGCGCTCCAACTCCTTCAGCACATACGCCGAATCCACCGACATGAACCAGGCCGATGTAGATGTATAATCGTCCGGGTTATTCGGATCCAGCACGTAATGACGGCGAAGTCGCTCAGACGGATCGGTTCTAAAATCCGTGCACAGCGCGAATGTTTGCGTTGCGGCCACTCGCCGGAAATCCATAGTGATCCTGTCCATCAACTGCGCTCGATCCATGCAGAATAGACGCATGCTGCCTCCACTCAGAGCGTACTGTTGTGCCGCCAACTGCTTCACTGTCGCTCCGTTCCCCATGTTTGCGTATCCTGCCGCGTCCAACCAAGCTCGATTGAGTTGCGCGTATTGCTCCAAACCGCCGTACCGCCAAGCAGGGAGCACCACTAACTGCGACGGATCATTCTCTTTTCGATCGTACTGGTAGGACGTCGCTAAGATATCAAACATCTTAAGGTGTCTGCTCATTCTGATCTCGTATTCTGTGAATCCGTCAACCAATACAAGAAGCCCATCGGTTTTTCGGATCCTTGATATGTTTTCGAAAGGCAGGTTGATAGCTCGCTGTATTGGGATTTTTGTCGATCCATCAGGTAGGGTGACGCTATTCGGACCATTCAGCAGCACAACCGCTTCACCTCTTCCGTTCCCTTTCACACGACGAATCACCAATACCTTCCGGTGAGCGACGCATGCAAGATGAACCGCCAACAGCATCAAGAAGCACGATTTGCCTACGCCATGAGAGCCCAGAATCACGACTGGCACGAAGTCAAGTGACGGGATCTGCTGTTTAATCACTGTCCACAGCATTTGCTCCTCTTTACGGACGTAATAGCTCGACGGGAACTCACCAAAATCAGCCCAGAGCTTGTGTAGAGTAGGCGTATCGACCAATGTGCCATCCTTCGCCCGCAACTGATCAAGCTGAAACTCGGCAGAATCGATCTGCACCTCCAGCTTCTCCATACCGGGGACGAGTGCATCTAACGCCTTCGACGCGACCACGACGATCAGCGGGTTGTTTGAGTCGCCATAGGAACCGATCTGCTGTCCTGTGTCGAGCGGGGTGTTGCTTCGGCGCGCCGAGTCTGATGTGTAGATGGACAGGTCGTGAATGTTTGTGTCTTTTAGCACGCTGGTGGAGTTGTTGATAATGCGAGTTCGGAGAACTGCGACCTTTGTCGAGGTGGTTGCAAGTACCGCCTCGATATCGTCGATATCAGCGGCAGGCGGCAACAAAGCGCCTTGCTCGTCGACAAGCCTGTAGTACACCTCCTTGGACATCGTTGGAATGAATTTACTGATTGAAAGAAAACCCCCGCTGCCTACTGCACAACAACTTTCGTTCAACCACGTTGTAGTTTACGCCCGTTATTGGCTGAGTCCGTGCGTAAGCCTTTGGATCACCATCGCTCCGAGTTTACGCAGGACAAGTCTGCATGGTGGCTGATGAGCTTCAATCCTACCTGCCAACTCGACCTCATTCTCCAACACTTTACCAACCTCTCAAGCCACAAACTCGCGCAACCAACCTCGTGCACCATGTCCAGCAACAACAGCAGCAAGACGGTTCTTGTCACGGGCGCCACGCGCGGCCTCGGTCTCACCTTCGCTCAGTACTACACCAAGGCTGGATGGAAGGTCATCGGCACGGCGCGCAACGTTGACAAGGCCAACGATGTGAGTGTTTCCTGCCTTGAGGTCTTCTCGCCATCGTACCAACTACTAACTCGATATACCTTGCCGACAGCTCAAGGCGCTCTCGCCGTTCAAGATTCTTCAGCTGGACACGAGCGACGAGGCCTCGATCATCACCATGGCCAAGCAGCTGAACGGCGTCCCCATCGACCTGCTCATCAACAACGCCGGCATCCTCGAGCCAGGCTCGTACGCGAGCGTCTCCAAGGACTCGTTCATGCGCCACTTTGAGATCAACTCGGTGGGGCCGTTCCTCACTACGCGCGCGCTGCACGCGAACCTCAAGCTGGCCGCCGACGCCAACGGCCTGGCCATCGTCGCGTCCGTCACGAGTCTCCTGGGCAGCATCCAAGCGAACCTGGACGGCGCGCTCGGCAGGCCGCTGCAGAAGGTCTACTACGACAACCACAAGCTGCCGAATGGCGAGATCTACAGCTACCGCGCGTCCAAGGCCGCGCTCAACATGATCAACGCCAACCTGGCCATGAACCTGCAGGAGGACAAGATCGTCGCGGTTGTGCTGCAGCCGGGCTACGTCAAGACGGACCTGACGCAGCACAACGGCGTGGTGCTGCCCGAAGATTCCATCGCTGGTATGGCCAATGTCATCTCGGGCCTCACGCTGGACGACACGGCCAAGTTCTTTGACTTCCAAGGACCGGAGTTGCCCTGGTAGAGCAGAGTAGGCGGCCTGATAACCTGACCTATGTCGAGTTCGTAGAACGAGGTTGCTCTGGTGCCAAGTGCAGTGCATTCTTGCGCTCCAAGTCTCCAACTTCAATGTTACTTCCGCGTTACATCATTTGGTTAAGTAGCGATAATGTGGTGCACCCAAAATCCCACATCAGTATATCCTGACGTCCAAGTGCGCATTCACTCTGTCGATGGCGGACGCGTCCATCGAGTCGCTGGCGAGCGGCGCCATCGCCGCCGGCTGCCTGCAGGCCGTCATGAGCATGGTGCACCCGGAGCTGGTGCGCTTCGTGGCCTTCCAGAAGGAGCGCGTGGCGCGCAGCGACGCCGAGCAGGAGCGCAACAACACGTCGCGCCACGTGCGACGGCGGCGCCCCGAGCCCGACGCCGACGCCGAGGGCCTGAGCCCCGAGCAGCAGACGGACCTGTCCTTCCAGCTCAAGTACCTGCGGCGCCACTGGCACAGCCACCTGCGCTCCTTCGGGCTGGACCCGGAGCTGCCCGCCGTGGTGCAGCGCGCGCTGCTGTATAGGAACAAGGTCTCGCACCAGAGCCAGCTCACGCTGGCGCAGTACGAGAACGCCATCGCCACGTTCGAGAAGCTGGCGGACATCATCGAGTGCAACGCGCTCATCCGCCAGCAGATTAAGGAGCTCGTGACCAAGCTGCTGTCCTTTTCGCCTCTAGGTAGGAAGCAGGCGGCCGCGGAGGCTGCAGAGCAGCCCTCGAACCAGGTAGAGAGGGAGATCGGGGTGAAGGAGGCCAAGTCCGGGCTCGTGGACCCGGTGTCGATGGAGCCGACACCCCCTCCGGCCTCTTTGGAGCAGATTTTACAGCATAACTATCTCTACGACGGAGACGAGAACGAAGACCCGCTGTGGGTGGATCTGAAGCTCATTGGCAATGATTACTTTAAAGAGGGGAACTACACGGAGGCTATTGAGGCGTACTCTCAGGCGCTGGAGGTGGCGCCGAACCAGACAGTGCTGTTTGGCAACAGAGCCATGTGTTACTTGAGGTTGAAGGATTTTGAGTGTGCGCGCGAAGACGCCGAGGACGCGCTGGATGCCGACAATTACGAGAACGTCAAGTACTACAGGCTGCTGTCTGAGGCGATGATGGGCATGAAGGACTACGATGAGGCTAAGGAGATCTGTGCTGAAGGACTCGAGCTGGACCCGAAAGATGCGACGTTGCTCAGTAGACGGCGCACTGCCGAGGCGATGATCCAGAAAGAGAAGGAGGAGTATGAGAAGGAGAAGAAGAGGAAAGAGCAAGAGGAACGAGCAAACGTTGTGGCTGCAAATGCAGCAGCTGCAGAGGCGGCCGCCAAAGCTGCCCCGGAACAAGCGAAACCTGGTAAGAACAAGAGCAAGAACAAGAAGAAAAACAAGGCCAAGAATGCATTGCCGGAGATTGAGCTGGTGCCGATGATCAACTACCAGGAAGTGCCAGCTAAATGGATCGAGGTCCATACGCGTGGGTCTCGTCGCCTTGAAATGTACCAGGCAGGAATGGAGAATCTCGTCGTAGCGGCGAAAGCACTTCTTCAGATCACTGACAGCATTGGGACTCCAGCTAGAGCTTTACTGCCGCTCGATGACCTGGTGAAAGAGGGCATGACGAATCTCCGCATAGCTGGTGAGGCAGGCGTCGCAGAGGCGTGGTTTCGACTTGGTGTGCTTTACAGCAGCAGCGTGCGCAAGGGTATACCGCTTACAGCTGATCCTCACAAGATGATGGAGTGCTTTCACAAGGCAGCCTCGTTGCGTCCGTTTATCAGACCGCCTGGAAACCGTGTGTTCCCGCATCAAGGTGTGGCTGAAGCGGAGAACGAGCTGGGCGTGTGCTATCGCGACGGAATCCCGGCTCCTGTCGTGGAAGCTGATCTGAAAAAGGCATTCCACTTTTTCCTAAGGTCAGCAGAACATGACTACCCCGTGGGGCAGTACAATGTGGCTATTGCGTATTCGACAGGTAGCGGAACGCCTGTTGACGCGTTTGCAGCACGAATGTGGACATCGCGTGCAGCACAGCATGGCCTGCCTGAAGCGCAGCAGTACCTAGCGCAGCTATTCGAAAAGGGCTATGGTGGGAGACGCGATGAAAGCCAAGCTCGAGAATGGTCAATGACGGCCAGTCAGAACCGGATCACAGATCTGTTGATGAAGCATGATTTTGCTGACGTGGGCGTCCATGTTGTGGGAGGAGGCGACATTGCAAACAAGTTTTCGAAAAATCCTGCCGTCTCACAGCGCGGAAAGGAAGTCTTTCAGGAATTCTACGACGCTTACTTGGACGAAAAAGGTTACGACAGCGGCCCGGACTTCAGCGTCGGTGTAGATACTGACGACGAAGATGAGATCAAGATCACGAAGGTCAGCTCGTACACACCCAGCACTACATCTTCATCCGACCACTTTGGGAGAGCGGGAATTTACCGACCACATTCTGCGGTTATTGATGCTGAAATTCAAGCTCGCGCAAAGGCCGGAGGTATTACAGCTTGCAAGTACCTTGCATCCCAGAAACTTATTGAAAGTGCGGAGAGACTGCTCGCCACTGGTGACATTAAAGGCGCCTTGCGAGATATGAAGAAGGCAGACTTGACGTGGGAACGACCGAAGAGCGTATTTACGACTGCCGTCGGTCCAAAAGAATTGCTGGCCAAGGTTCTCAAGGAAGCTGCTGTAAGCTTCCAGATTAATCCGAGAGATATCGACGCCGCGTACGTGATTGGCAGGTGGGAGATGATGAGCGACCAAGACATCATTCTTCACTGGAAACGGTGCGTGAAGATGCATCCGAACGAAGCTTCTTTCCACTTTTACCTAGGCACCGCGTATTTGACGCTCGAGCGCTACAATGATGCCATGGACTCAATTGAAGCCGCATTAGCCATCGAAAAGAAACCGGATTGGCTTTACTGGTTCGCTGCTCCGATGATCGGACTGGGTATGATTGACCCGGCACTGTCTGTCTACAAGGAATACGTCGACAGCAATCCCCCCGACGAGCGATTCATACCAGACGCGTGCTATTCTATCGGAGCGCTGTACTTCAAGAAGTACGACAATGCCATGGCTACTGTGTATCATGAACTCGGGCAGATGGCGGAGTCGGTTGCTATTCGCTTTCCTGCCTTTTATCCTAAGGTTCTGTTTGACACCGCGAAGGAATCTCTCCGCTCTGGCATGAAGAAGAACGGGTACATGGAGTCGTCCGTGATTGCGAGCGTCATGGCCCAGAACATGATCGAGTGCGAATTCTGCAAGACAAAGATCAAGCCTACCCAGTTGTTCAGCCACAAGTTGTCCAAGTGCCCGCGCCGTACTGTCGTCTGCGAGCTTTGCGATGATCGTATGGTCTTCGATGCTCTGCAACCTCACCGTCAATCTCGCCATGCCGTCGCGGGTAAAAGCAAAAAGAAGAAAAGCAAGGGAAAGAAGCGCGTCCAGACAACCGCTCCAGATGCCCCGGCCCCGCAACCCATGGTTAAGACTGAGGTCAGCGTCACGAACTCCGCTCCGACGCAAAGCAGTAATCTGCAAGAATTGGCTACGCCCAAGTTTCATTTCGCTGGCGCCATTCTCGAGATCACAGAAGCGAAAGGCACCTCCAACCAGACAGTGCTCACACTTAAGACAGTCCTTGATCAGCGCTGGACGCTACGTGTAAATCACAGCTCGCCTCCGGCAGGATCAAGTGCGCTGTTTGACGTATCGAAAGCCATCGAAGGAGCCGCTGCGGACAACTCAATCCTGGTGTTTTGGCGTCGTCCTCCCCCGCTGGAAGCCATTGACAGACGTGCGCTCGCTGTGCCCATGGAAGGTGAGATCTACGGCCAGGACGTGGTGATTTACATCTTGACATGTACATCCCAAGCGCTTGGCTTTGAGCTGTGCCAGCTTAGACACAACAAGTACATGGAGAACGGGACCATGTGCGCTGCTTGCGGCAATCCAGCGTATCCGGGTGAGAAGCTGTCAGCTTGCGGTGCTTGCAAAGCAGTCAAGTATTGCTCGCGAGATTGCCAGCGAGTGCACTGGAAGCGCATCCATCGCCACATGTGCCAGAACGCCACGCTGTTGAGTAGCTGTATCACGATGAGTGAAGACGTCACTCCAGATGAGAGGGCTGGCCCCAGAAAGCAGGCAGCCGAGCGCCAGCAGCAATCAACAAGCAAGGAGAAGAATGCTGCTCCCACTAACGTCAGACATGAGGACGCTGTCTTTGTCGATGACACACTGAAAATCTTGGAGGACATTCTGAAAGATACCAAGGCGAAGGGCGATCACTGTAACGGTGAAGACGTGATCGAGTACTGTATGCTACCGCCCCGCGATCCCTCGCGACCTGAAGCCATTTCAGGCAGTGTTCGTATGTTCCGACGATCTGTCGCCGGCGCGAATGAGTTTGTGGCCGAGATCGCTGTTGGCTACTTGATGTCCTCGCCTACTCTTCTACAGCAGCAAGAGCTGCACTACTTCTTTCAGATCCCGCCGCACAACCCGCTGAAGCTCAAGTGCGACGGAACCCTGGTGTACCTGGACACGTGCACCGTGCACACGGACGACAGATCTGCCAGAGGTTTCCGACTTGTGATGCAGATGCCGCTCGCCACGTATTCGCTTCGCGCGATCGCCGAGCTCCTGGACTACCTGCTCTCAAACACCAATCTCTACCTGACGTGCTAGACGCCAACCGTTCGTTACCTGTGGTGAAAGAATCGCGAGGCTTCCTAACAAGAAAATACGACTCCAGCTATGCATGGGTGCGTTTAATGGTGCTCTTGACATTACGTTTGCTGGCCTGTTGACCTATTTTGCGGCAGTTTTTAAACATCCTGCGTCCTTACAGGTAGCTGTTCGCGATCGTGTTCTGTGAATCGCGCACTTCGTCTTGCAATGACAGGTTCCCACTGGGCAGGATCGCAGCTTTGCGAATAATACTGGTAGCAGCATCGCGGTCTTGCACAAGTGTCATGAGCGTTGACGAGAGATCCACCCGGGACTCCATCTGGAAGATCACCCCGTCCGCGCTGACGTGTGAGAAGATGGTAAAGTTGAAGCTGTACGTCTTGCCGATGAGGTGCTGCACTAATTGCTCGTCGTTGAGAATGTGTGGGAAGATGTTCTCAATCGTCAGGCGCGAAATTCTGAGCGTCGTCGTGCCCGTGCTTTTGACCACGTAGACCGCTTCATCTCGATCTCGTCCAGCCAAGCTCGGGTACGTCTTGGCAGCCCCCTCCATGGGGAAGAGCTGCAGTCGATCAGCGCGAAAGTCAACTTCGGAATGGAATCGTGACAGGAAGTCCCATTGCTGCATGAACGTCTTCAGGCCGATGAACTCGGGGGTGATCATGTCTTCGGCCAGGACCGAGCCCACGAAGTCCTGGATCTCAATTGTTCTCGGATGTCCGATGTCCATGGCGAAGTATCCGTGCTGCAGCATCTTGTGATACGTGGATACCAGCCTCAAGGCCCCGGCTTCAGCGTTGTGGCGAGCCACGACCCGCGACGCGCGCGCCAACATCAGCGTGCGTTCCCACTCCTCGGTGCGCCGTCGCCTCTCCTCGTCCCGAGCGCGCTCCGACCGTCGGTGGAGGGCCGCGCGGTGCGCCTTCTTGGCGTTGGCGCAGTTTCGGGATCGCACAACGCGTGGGTCAAAGCGGCTTCGAGGCTGAGCCATAGCTCCGTGTGGCACGCCGTCCTCCTCCTCATCGCTGCTGTTCCAGGGCTCAGTGTTGAGCTGCGCGCGGCGCTGCGCTGCTCGTCCAGCGCACACGAACATGGGGTGGGGAAGACTCCTGGTAAACCAAAACTGACGGGGGGCGTCCGTGACCAACGATGCAGAAAGACGCTCCACCGGCAGAAGGCAAACTGAACGGCCAGGTCGTTGTTGCCGTCCAGAGCTCGCCGGACGCTGGACGCTGCAAGTGTAGCTCCATGCGGACGAGAATCCTGCGGCGCTATAGACACCACGCAGCAAATTTCTTGGGGGCACGAACGCGCTGGAGAAGACTCCTGCTTCGACTTGAAGCTCGGGTGCAATACTCTTCGTTCCTCTAGCGGGCCGGCAGGGCTTCCGGGCAGCTAGGATGAATTCATGGTCGATTGGCGCCGCGCTGCCGAGTGTGCAACCCGTCAGCCATGAGAGCGGTCTCACCCTGCAGTTTCTCGCGAGCAGGTTGTGCCCAGAGCGTGTAGCCACCCCTGCTCGCTATACCACTTGCACCAATACCATTCCAGGCAGCGGTTGGGCTGAGTCAGCAGCACCAAGGTAGAGTACGTGTATTGTTGCCTTCTTGCAAGACGACCAATCTCCCCATGACGAAAAGCTCACAAACTCATCAACTGCAGATTACCCGACGAGTGATTACAAATCCTTGTCGGCTGGCAATCACATGTACGCAGATCGCAATTGTCTCCACTCGCCTCACTTGACAATTTTCCCCGTTTACCACAGACCCCATGACCCCCAAGACCGTCCTCATCACTGGCAGCACTCGCGGCATCGGCCTCGAGTTGGCCAAGCACTACACGACCGCTGGGTGGAACGTCATTGGAGTCGCTCGCAGCGCCAACACAGCCGACAAGGTGCGTCTGTTTCCGCCTCCACTCAAGACAAGAACTGTTCTCTAACTCCCTTTGTCTTGTCTTACTGAGCGTCTGTAGTTGAAGGCGCTGTCTCCATTCAAGGTCGTGTCGTTCGACTGCACCGACGAGACGTCGATTGCCCAGGCGGTGCAGGAGCTCAAGGGGGTCCCCATTGACCTCCTGATCAACAATGCAGGCATCTACATGGCCGGCAGCCTGGAGACGACGACCAAGGACATGTTCATGCGGCAGTTCGAGGTGAACACGGTGGGCCCCTTCCTCGTGACGCGCACGCTGCTACCGAACCTCAAGCTCGGCGCCGAGAAGAACGGCAAGGACGGAGCTCTCGTGGTGACGGTGTCCTCGCAAATGGGCAGTATCGGGGGCGAAGCGTTCGCAGACAACTACAGCTACGGCGCGAGTAAGGCGGCAGTGAACATGGTGAACTCGAGTCTGGCGGCTGACTTGAAGAAGGACAACATCGCTGCGATCGTTGTTCACCCCGGATACGTGGTGACGGACCTGACTGGTGGACTGGGCGACGTCCGCACGGACGAGAGTGTGCGAGGGATGACGAGTGTGATCGAGAAGGTGACAATGAAGGACACCGGCAAGTTCTACCACTTCAAGGGGCGCGAAATGCCCTGGTAGAGCGGTGTAGAGCACGTCAGCAAGATTAAATTGGAATAAAGCAGCACACACATCATTCATTAGCCACTAAGCTGAGCGGTAGAGTATATCTCATACTCTGCTCTACCACGGCAATTCAGGTCCTTGGAAGTCAAAGAACTTGGCCGTGTCGTCCAGGGTGAGGCCCGAGATGACCTTGGCCATACCAGCGATGGAATCTTCGGGCAGCACCACGCCGTTGTGCTGCGTCAGGTCCGTCTTGACGTAGCCCGGCTGCAGCACAACCGCGACGATCTTGTCCTCCTGCAGGTTCATGGCCAGGTTGGCGTTGATCATGTTGAGCGCGGCCTTGGACGCGCGGTAGCTGTAGATCTCGCCATTCGGCAGCTTGTGGTTGTCGTAGTAGACCTTCTGCAGCGGCCTGCCGAGCGCGCCGTCCAGGTTCGCTTGGATGCTGCCCAGGAGACTCGTGACGGACGCGACGATGGCCAGGCCGTTGGCGTCGGCGGCCAGCTTGAGGTTCGCGTGCAGCGCGCGCGTAGTGAGGAACGGCCCCACCGAGTTGATCTCAAAGTGGCGCATGAACGAGTCCTTGGAGACGCTCGCGTACGAGCCTGGCTCGAGGATGCCGGCGTTGTTGATGAGCAGGTCGATGGGGACGCCGTTCAGCTGCTTGGCCATGGTGATGATCGAGGCCTCGTCGCTCGTGTCCAGCTGAAGAATCTTGAACGGCGAGAGCGCCTTGAGCTGTCGGCAAGGTATATCGAGTTAGTAGTTGGTACGATGGCGAGAAGACCTCAAGGCAGGAAACACTCACATCGTTGGCCTTGTCAACGTTGCGCGCCGTGCCGATGACCTTCCATCCAGCCTTGGTGTAGTACTGAGCGAAGGTGAGACCGAGGCCGCGCGTGGCGCCCGTGACGAGAACCGTCTTGCTGCTGTTGTTGCTCGACATGGTGCACGAGGTTGGTTGCGCGAGTTTGTGGCTTGAGAGGTTGGTAGAGTGTTGGAGAATGAGGTCGAGTTGGCAGGTAGGGTGAAGCTCATCAGCCACCATGCAGATTACGCACGGACTCGGCCAATCAGCGATCGGAACGGCGTAAGCTTCAACGTGGTTGAGCCGGTACGCTTACTTACGCACGAATCGAGGAGGCCCGAAGGTTTTTAGCCAGCTGCGTCAAGATCGTGATAGCAGGGCGCCGTGGAGAGCAGATTACGAGCAAGGTTCACTTCCGTACAACCTGCACAGTACATGTAGCCACGTTCTCCGTACAAACAAAATATCACGAGGTTATCGGGAACATCCATTTACGCCAAAAACGTTGACACTACGTAGAACACAGTCACTACAGGTACACTTAGATCACTACATCGTTACTCAAACCACTCGACGCTTTGGCGTCGCCGCGAACTCGAAAACGAAGCCCATCATGGTTTCGTTCAGGCGGTGAACAGCTCTTGCAGGCTGCTTCACAGCACGCCCTTCATCGATGACGCTAATCATCGCAGCCTTCGATCTTGAAGGAAAAGGCTCCTTCGCGGCGGCAAGGTAGTCGCCGTTGAGCGATGCGAACGTGTCCGCATACGCCGCTCGACGTTGAATTGATCGAGGCACCGAGATCTCCAGCACTTCAAGCTGGTAAGACATTCGGCAGCCGGGATCTCTCAATCTGTCAGCCAAACCAGTGATCGCGTCGGAGCCGTTAATAGTGAGCTTTCGGAGCCCCCAGTTGTCGAGTCCTTCGTGCGATGAAAGAACCACGTCAAAGTTTGTAAGGTGAAGCTCATCGAGATGACGGCAGGCGGCTGCCACCGCATCGAGCGCTAAGCTGCGATGCCTGCCACTCCAAAAGATCCCCATCTTGAGCGAGCGCAGATTTCCACCGATCGATCTTAACAGTCCCGGCACCAAGCTGGGGTCTTCAATCTGAAAGAATTCCAGGGACAGACACTGCAACCCCTGGGAGTGTTGGCCCCGATGAAGTGACTGAATATCACTTGTAGTGAAGTTGCGAGTTGTATCACCGAGTTCGAGATCACAAACTCCATAGCCAGGGACTATCACTTCAGCGCGGTCCCCCATTACGATAGGGTCATAACGAGCGCGGAAGGGGCAAGCACGAGACAGCACGAAGCTGTTGTTGTCACCACTTTCATCTAATCCACGAGGTCGGAGGTTCGTCCCTTCCTTGACGTCGATGAAGCCATACCTGGTGTAGTCGATGGAGGGTAGCACTTTGTTATCGCTGTAGCAACGGAGGCAACGGTACTGGCCGACAAGTGGATATTGGTGAGCCTTGCCGATTGAACGGATGAATTGGTGGCTTCACTCCACAACGCGTACGCCAACCACCCCCAGCGCACTTCGTTTAGCCACGGGATACGGTCGCTGAGAACTCCCATGTTCAAGGTCAACTTCTGGATTGGCACGGCCTCAGTAATCGCAGATAGGAATCCAGCAGGTCCTGCACATGAGCTACTCGAAAAAGTCACCTGCAAGTCTGAAAGCTGCCCCTGTCCTGAGAGTCGAGAGGCACAGGGATAACCCTCAGGTGGTTCGCAAAGTGAACGACCACACACTAGCCCACTCAACAGGAAACCAGCACTGGATGTGGCATCTCCCGTTGCCTCCATGCCCACAATCTCGTCCAGACTGACTCGGAAAGCCGCCAAATTCATTCGAGAGAGTGCAGCGGCAACATTCGCTCCTCCAGGCGCCGTAAACCTTGGCTTCATCGTCTCCACCGTCATTGCATCCGAGTTCGGGGGCTGGTGCTCCCACGCTTTCATCAACTTAGCGCTATCAGATACAGCGCACAGCTGAACAACCGCTGGGACATCCACATCCAGCAGTGATCCAAATGTCCGCGAGAAAGAATCCACCGATGATGCTGCCACCTTGCAACTCGCTGCGTTTTGGACACCTTTCGTCGGAATGGCCACGTGCTCCGCCGTCCACTCGATAACGTTGCACCCTTCGCCCCACTCCGCCGTCGCCTGTCGCCCCATGAAATCACACAGCACCCCCGTCACTTGACGTCGCATGTCCTCTAACCTCTGCATCCCCGCGCAGAACTCAGTCGAATACTCCCTCGGGTCATCCGAACATCCAAAAAGAGCCCCCCACGACACCGTCGCCCCCTCCGAGACCACATCCTCCGACCCCACCGTCCCCACCAAGTAGCACTCCCACACTGGGAACACGAACATGAAGTCCGGCGTGTACAGATCGTCGAAGTTGTCGGCGACCACCACAAAGTCCGCCAGCAACTGCAGAAACGCCGGTCGACTCACCGTCGCCAGCACGTTGAAGAGCTCCATGGCCTCTCGAATCCGCTGCAACTTCCCCCCCATCACGTCGACTGGCAGGGAACGGGATCGGGATCGAGCATCTACCCGCTAACTGCTCGTAGCCCTTGGGCAGCGACGGCCAGCACCGCAGCGAAGCGTGCACTGGCAAGTTGGAGGCTCGAAACTCGGGCGAGTCCACGACGTCGAGTTGTGGTGCAGCGCTTTGCACTCGCCGAGAACTTCTCGCCACGGCTGCAGGAACGCAAACTTGTGCTTGTCCGCCATCGCGAATGTTGTCAAATGTGCGGTGGAGAGAGCGTCTTCGAACTGAGGAGCCGCACATCGCCCATGCGCTTGCATTTCACCGTATGGAGCCCGTCCTCAAGTTGACATCGACACGCTGCATTAGAGCGACATTCGCGTAACATTTACAATGAAATTGCTTGAGATGGCTACATTTGCATTAGAAAACAATCGTATTGTGAGCATCCCTCAGATGCAGTGAATTATTCCTTAGCTCGTTTAGCTTGCATCCCCCCCCGCGCGCTCTTGGAGTTAACGGAAAAATTGGCGCTGGTTGGGAATCGGTTCGCAATTCATCGGGATCGGTGCCGCTTCCATTTCGGGGGTATTATCCATCGTGGCAACTTCACCACCACGCCATGGCGGATGTTGGCGAGGCAGCGCTGGATGAACGGATCCGTCTGGACTTGACCAAGGAAGACGGCGACATACGCCAGTTGACTCACGGTGTTGGGCGCCACGCACACCTTTTCCCAAACTCCACCGCCGCGACCGCCATGAAGTCCCTTCACAAAGGAGTGGGCCGTGATCTGCCCGTCGGGTCGAAAAAGCCACCACGGATCTGCGATATCGGAGACCGCGTTCGTCATCCCAGTCCAGCAAGACCGCAGCGTAGCCCCTTGGTTTCTCGTCCGTCGCCATACTTCGCGGGTTTCTTCGCTTGTAGAATTTTTCCGATTGAAGAGAACTCACAATGTCACTTTACATCACTCTTACTGTTAAATTTTGCTATGCATTACAACGATGCAGCGCAAGGGAAATCGATCGTGTAGCGGGATTTCGGGTCGACGGTGTACTTGCGCACGTTCTTCTGCATCTCGTCGCGGTGGTGGCCTGAGAGGCGCTGCATGATCCGGTAGGTGAATTCGCGATCGGCTAGAAGCTGGGTATCGGGCATTTTGCCTATTTGCGCCACCATCCACACGGCGTCCAATGCGCCGAGGAAGCCTCGACAGGTGCCCACTCCTTCGTGCCACACGGGCTCGAGCAACGAATCGCCAATTAACCCGACGTACAGTTTCTTCCCATGTGACGTGAGAATACTTGCGGCCTTGTCGGCACGGGTGAGCGAGCTGAAGTCGAAGATGCTGACGCGCGCGAAGTCGGCCTTCCTCGGAATCCCCACAAAGTTGACGATATCGTTAACGAACAAGTGAAAGGCGTCCTGGTTGATGTTGTCCGCTCGCACCAGGTCCTTCGAGTTCGGATGATTCTTCTTCACGACTCTGCGCACCACGAGGTTATGGCGCTTTGGTGTCATCACGAGATAGTGCATCTCCCCGCGGAAATACACGATGTTCTCCAGATCGATCCCCACTTCGCGCATCTTGTTGAGCATCTTGTGCTTGAGCTCGGTCGTCCACGAAAACTCCTTGACTTTGGTCTCCTCTAGCGTCTCCAGGTTGGGGAAGTAGCAGACGATCCCCAGCGACTCCTTTTGGCAGAAGACAAACCGCTCAATCCCTGCAGGCTCAGCCAGCGCATTGTTGACCCCTGACGCCCCCAGAACTGCTGTAAATTCCGTTTCTTCGATGTGTGGCTCCGTTTTAATGGAGTAGGGGGATAACCCGTTGTGTGGAGTCAACTGAGGGGGGACGATGGCCTCAAAGTCCGTCGCTGTATGCACCTCCACCCCCACGAGCAGCGCCACTTTGAGCAGGACAAGCTGCAGTTGCCGTGTACTCACGTGGAAGTACGTCCTCGACTTGCAGAATTTCGGGAACAACACCTTTGCCCCCAGTGCCGCCATATCCTGAACAACCCACGGCCACAAGTGGAGCATATTTTCCCGACTGAACCTGGTTCGCTTCTCCAGCACCGTCACGCGACTACCAAGCAAAGCCAACTCCACGGCTGCGCGCAAACCCACGGGACCCGCTCCTACGATGCAAACGCGCTTCGTGGCAGCGGGTTTCTGCTTGTAGACGTCCACGTTAAAGCGCGCGTCCAACAACTTGAAGAGATGCTTCTTGCGGAAGCCCAACTTGCTGTACACGGCTGCCTTGATACGAAAGTAGAGGTGCCACGGCTCCTCCAGCTTCACCCCATCAAGCCTGCAGTCTCTCAACAAATCCTTGAAAGCTGCCAACGTGTCGCCTAAATCTGTTGCTGAGACGAAAGCCTTGAAAGTGCTGCGTACTGTGGAAGACACATTTGCTCGAGGGTATGAGAACATGGGGGCGTTGACTCGATTGCCCCCGGATGCGTCCAATCTGTCTCGACAATGGAAGTCGTAGTCGCTCGCTTCACTGGTGCCCTGCGTACTCGATAGCCGACGAGACCGCCCTTTGATCTGGAGGGTATCAGTGCCCGTGTCCTCCCGCATGATCTCAAGGATCGAGACCAAGTGCGACCTAAGCCGCGCAACGCACAGCTCAGAGAGATCAGTGCGTTGGCAGGCTAGAGTGATCTGCCCCAGCATAGCCAGCAGTGACAGTTGATTCCCGGACGGCGGAGCTGACTGGGTTTGTCGAAGTTGTGATCCATTATTGCTCCCCACTCCAGTGACGAATGCTCGCGATGGATACTTCACGTCGGGCATTGATACTTCCTCCCTCCCAACTCGTACTAAGGAGTCCAGCAGTCGGATGTTGTCGTAGCCGCTGACTCGTACTCGACGTGTTGGGGGATTGTTCACGGGGTTTGAGACTGGTTTCTTGTGCGTTGTGGTCTTGGCTTCTTCCTCGATCAGGAGCTGTCGCACCTTCAGCCACGCCGTCTCCTTCCCTCGCTGCCTCCAGTTGTCCGCCTCCTCCTCCGCGATCAGACTCAGTCGACTTGAGTCAGCCTCGTTGAGTTTGATTGGCGTCGCCTGTACGCTCGAGTGCTGCCAGATTGTCAGCGTTGGGTGTTCGGGACCCGGTTCCTCGCCGCTGAAGATGTCACGGTCGCTGTCGGTGCTTCCGTCGTCGCTGTAAATGTCGTCGAGGTATTTCTCACCGACGTTGATTGCCAAGCTGTCGAGGAGTTGGCGACGTGAGTCGTGGTCGACCTCAGTATCGTTGAGATGGTCGAAGGTACTGGGGCCAATCAGACCTTCACCGATGTGATGGTCCATACTCAACAACCACGGACGGGAGGCTTGCGTTCGACTGAGCAAAAGTAAGAATGAAGTCGTGGGTTGGCTGACTGCGTGCAGGCAGCGAAAGAAAGTAGAAGAAGATCGTTGTTGACTCAAAGACCTTGAGTCATTGAGCACTAGCTGTGCTGGAACCCATGCCTAAGGAGCTCACAATGTGGTACTCGCTTCTAACGTTATGCATACAGCCTTGCAGTGAGTTCAGAGTCAGACTTTGCGAGGACAGCCTTTGTTAAAAAGTCTGCCTAACTTCCCCCTGATTGTTGGGGCGGAACAGTCAAGTCAGAAAGTGGACCTTCGAGAGTATAAACGGGTGGATCAACTACGATCGAACTAGTTCATTAGTTGAAGGGCGACAGATGCAATGATTCAACTCTTGGCGCAAAGTTCTTCCAGCTACTCGCAGCTACCTTAGGCACGCCATTGAGATATTATTTCAACCAAGAAGACCAGCGTTGCGTCTAGATTTCAGTCAAAACTTGCTGCATTTCGAGTCAATCCCTAGTGCTGAACATCAACGGACTTGAGGCTTTCTCGCGGTTGCGGCAGGCAGTCGGCAACGCAACTATAAGCAACTAGAACACCAGAAGTCAGAACGAGAACAGAGCTCTATTTCGTTGTTACATTCATATTCCGACCTGTCGGCAACATTTGACTGACGATCACAGCTAGCCTGCAGCCAACCTGCTCTCTCTCTTTACTGGATGAAGGTCTCGTACTTGGCCGGGTTCCAGTCCGGGAAGTACTTGGCCGCCGTGGCCGCCACCTCCTCCTGCGTGCCCACGGCGCCGCGGCCGTCCTCGAAGATGGTCGTGAGGAAGGCCATGAAGTCCGTGTCGAACTTCTTCTTGTTCTCCTCGAAGTCGACGTAGCGCACCTCGATCTTCTTGTTGAGCTTCTTCTCGGCGAGGGCGCGGATCGGCATGGGCGAGAGGCGGTCGGTCTCGAAGCGGAAGCGCGCGCCCGCCAGCTCCGACTTGGGCGTCGTCGACAGCACGTGCGCCGCGAAGCGAGCCAAGTCCCTGCGCGCCGTGATGCTGAAGGGCGTCTCGCCCTTGCGGACCACCGTCATGTAGCCCTCGGCGTAGTGATAGCCGAAGTACATGGCCAGGAACTCGGCGAAGACGCCCGAGTTGAAGGTGGCGAAGGGCAGGTCGTGCTGCTTGAGCGCGTCCTGTACCTCCTTCTTGACGGCGTTAGGGCCCTCGGCCACGGGCACGCCGTACTCGGTGGGCACGAAGAGCTACACGCCGGCCTCCTTGGCCGCGGGCACGATGGCCTTCTGCACGTGCATCTGGAAGCCCGACAGGGCGCTCACGGCCACCTCGCTGCCGCCCAGCGCGCGCTTGATGGACTCGTGGTCGTCGTACGAGACCTGGAGGAGCGTGGCGCCGCGGGCCTTGAACGCCTGCAGCTCCGGCTTGGACTCGTCGCGCGTGAGGATGGAGACCGAGACGGTGTCGCCCTTGTTGAGCAGCTCGTCCACGATGTCGCCGCCGACGCCGCCGGCTCCGATGATGGCGAACTTGGTGTAGACCGACATGACTGGGTAGTTGAGTTGGTTGCGTGTGCTGGACTTGTGTCGTGCGAGGAGTTTTGAGGAATGGACGCTGAAAGATATTTTGCAACGGGCCGCTTGCATCTTTGATTAATCTCTTGTAAGTTTCCAGGACCATGGCGTTATGCGGCAGATAGGATTGATTAGAGAATCAAAGGGAACTAGTAATCGCCAACCGATTGCGGTGAGGACGATCTAATCATCCACATGGATATCCAAGATATCAGTCGAATTTAATCCTTTGCCCGAAGTGAGAAACGTTTTCTTTCGTTCTCAATAAACGGATAAGCGTATAATTGTTGTAAAGCTTCTTGAAATTCTCAGCATCCGTTTTCATGAGCTAGACGTCAGTGCTGTTGGCAGTCTTCGGCTTCGCAGGGCAGTAACTTACCAGTACCAACGCATCGTACATACACAAGACACATGAAGATGCGTTTGTTCTACAAATCGCTTTGCACCATTGTTCACAGGATTGCTATAACGCGAAACAAGATGACACCAAAGAGATAAGCGCCATGAAGTACCGTCATTTAAGTGCATGCTGTTGTAGGTGGATGATGGTCTTGTTGGCACCAACGGTGTTAATTGCTTATATTGAACACGTGTTCCCGGCTCTCGTGCTGAAGAGACCGTGAAAATCTACATGTATAGTGAACCAAGTCCACACTCGCGATACACAAGAGTAATCAACCATAGGTTTTCTTGATCCGCGCATTATCTCCGACAAACCCTACAAGGCCATGTATATCATTCTCCGGATATTTATCACTACATGTACTGACCTTGATTTCGTCGTAATTTATCGCTAGTAACCTTGAAGTCAAATATTGACCAATCAGATGCAATCGAGCCTAATCAGCTATTCTACCATGTTGGCGCACTCTACCATGTTGCACCAGCGCGGCTTGCGCCATGAGCACTCTACCAAGTTACACTGTGAGCTGGCTACCATATTACACTGCGAGCACTTTACCATAGTGATACTAAATTGCGAGCTGCCTAGTCTACCATGTTACACTGCCTACGGTAATTAGTCTGACGATACTATTTTTGATTGAAGTTCATTGCTCTTAGACAATAAATAGTCTGACCTAGACTATATTTTTGCTAAGACTACTTATGAAGCAACACATCTTACCGTACTCAGAGTTTTCACCGACTTACCTTCGAAGTGCTCGCGGTATTTCGCGATAATACCTTGAAGATGCGGGTAGAGCTGGCCAACCGACCAGGTACTATCGATTCCAAGTGAAAGTCCACATCGAATCATCGCCTTGCGCGCATAGGACATGCCATTTTTGTCCTTTTGAAGCTGTAGGAAAAACTTTTCCCCTGGATTTTGAACCACAAACAACAGCAAAACTTGCAAAGGAGAAAAAGGTGTAATGGGTCAGTCGTGGTGATTAGAGCCTTGCGCCCTTACCCGCATGGCACGCGAGAGACTAATTTTGAAGTTGAAGTGGTCAGACTAATTATGAATTCTACATTTTGACCAGTACAATAAATAGTCTGACCAAGACTATTTTCGAACATAGACTATTTCCGCACACAGACTAATTACCGTAGGCAGTGTACACTGTGAGCTATCTACCATTCTGCCTACCATATTATACTGCGTTCACCCTACCACGTTGCGCTAGGAGCTATCCACCATATTACACTGTAGTTGCCTACCATGTTGCAATGCGAATACTCTACCATGTTACATTGCGGGCTGTACGTTACACCGTGAAAATCTAACGTGTTGCAACGTGAGCGCTCCACCATGTTGTAACACAAGCACTCTACCGTGGTGCACTGGACGCCTACCAAAAATAGAGAAATCACCAACATAGATACAGCAGATATTCACAGGTCGAAGACCTGTGCTTGGCCCCGACAAAACACCTGTAACTTTCCAAAACCGGGTACCAAACCGGGTCTCTCTTTCTTAATTGTAATGTTTAAGCTAATATCTGCTTGAATCGGGTATCCGTCGATAAATGCTAAGATTTATGCACATTATTTACCAAAGGTTGATATTAATCGTTTATTATTGACCAAAACCTGCATTCAAACACTTACGGACGCTCCAGCACACTATGAGAGCGTCATGGCTTCGCTGAAGGCGAATCAATTTGCGCCATAATCGACCAAGCTTAGCTGAAGATGAACAACATGACTTGTCTAGCTGCAGGCTGCATTTTTTTACATGTCAATTCGCTCAATACCCAATCACTCCAACCTCGTGTCTGTCGTCAAACCAATCAGCTCAACTCGACAGTGACACGAGCATCGTTCGTTTGAACAAGACTTTTTCCCCTGCGTTGAAGCACCCACTTCCAAGGAATTGACCCATTAGCGTATATCTCATTCCGCAATTTATCCCCAAGCCCTCAAGTTAAAAGTTTGTTTGTTTGTTTTGTTTTTGAATTGAGGATCATTATTGTCACTTAGCTAACATCCTCAAGTTAAATGGTCAAGATCAGCGCACCATGCGCCTCTCCTTCGTTCCGCTACTGTACTTAAGTAGTTCTCTCGTCTGATCGTTAGCACACAACATAGTACAAAAATGAGCACGGTATACCTTACTTGCAAAATGAATGAAATAGCTCTCTCGTTGCTGGCGCCAACGCAGCCATTGGACGCTGACCAGGTGTTATGTCACCGATGGCCTCATCAGACCAGGCAACCTCAATTGGTGACTTTTGGTTCCTGAGAACCCACCACGATAAAGAAGAGCGGGGCTTGCTGGTTACCAGCCTCACAAAGGTTTGGCTGAAACATCATTTCCGTGTCGATACACTTCGATGTGCGCAGCTATTTGTTCAATTACGCATTCTCGGGCAGATGCTGCGCCTGCTTCGCAGCCGCAGTAGATGCCCTAGGCAACCCGGAGCGTTGCTCCGGGAGGGTACACAGGTCGACGAATAGTTTCATGGACGATGATAACGGATAATAATTGAGTAAATCCCAAAGTTGTTTTGTTTTTAATCCTTAAAAGCACTACCAGCCCAACTCTCTAGTTGATTCTAACGTGGGAGGCATCAATCTTGTGAGACGTAAAAATCGTCTCGATAAACAGCCTTACCCCTAGGTTTATTTCGTGTAGCCATCTTAGATTTTAATGCTGAAATTTGTATAGAATATGTAGACCATCACTCTGCACATGTCGCTACCATATATCACCGACATAACTCATTCCGTGCGCCACCAGCTTCAACCTCTCACTTTCGAAAAATCGTCGCTGGGTGACAAGTGCCCGGCAGCGCTGCGTGCAGCAACAACGAAGACAGGTAAGCGTCTACTTAATACGTTGGCTAGCGAGCAAGTCGAGTCTATTCTAACTTCTCTAACGTGCACAGCAACCATGGTTCATCTCGTCCACTCCGCCGTGCACTGGAGCATTGTGGACACGTCGAGTGACGACGAGAATGTGCCGCCCAACTTGCAGCGCGGCGGCGTCCATGCGCCGGCGGAGAGCGCCAAGTCTTCTTCACCCGCCAGTACCAGCTCCACTGGGACCTCGACGCCGCCGTGGATGGCACCGCAGCGCGGCCTTCGCGTGCCAAAGGAGGTTTCAAACCCTCCGCCTGCGAAGCCTTCGACGGCTGGCGCCGCAGCGTCCACGCCGCCCACGACGGATCCTCGCCCACCAGCTACCCCGCCAGTCACGAGAAACCCACGCAGTCCGACTACGTCGTCGCCCGTCCTGCTTGAAGACCCGCCTGCTTCGCGCCCACAGTCTCCCTCGCCGGTCCTGCCTGAAGCTGCGTCACCTCCACGAACTCCCGACCCATCACCTCGACGGCCGCTTCGCGAGCGTCACAGTTCTCGGAGGGAGCGTCGAGCGGTCGCCGCTCCGTATCAACGCCGTTCTACATCGCCGACGGTGTCGCCCAACGCTGTCATGCGTGCAACCCGTGGGTCCCGTGCTGCTGTTGGGCTACGTGCTGCCCGACCTCGTACTGTTCGACGCCAGCAGCAAGGTCGATTCGTTCCTGCACGGTGGCCATTTGCAGTGGTGCACCTTCGCGAACAGTTTAACCCAACAGGGGTTATCTTTCCTGCGGTTCCTCATTTTGGCTGGTGCGGCTGTGTGGACCCATGTCGCGTTGGGCGCTGCCGTAACTCGCTCATGCAGCTGTACTGCAACGTTAATTGCTGCCCGTACGGCGGCAACTGTGGTAACGGCCTGGTCGAGTCGACGAAGGTCGCGTTGGTGAGGAACGCGGCGACCCGCGAATTGGCCGTGGTGGCGCAAGAGTTCATTGATGCGGGCGAGGTACTGGGTGAATACCTGGGCGAGCTCGATCACGTGAGCGTCTCGCACGCGGCTCGACCGCGCAACGAGGGCTACCGCCTGATCATGACGCAACGGCCCGAGAGGCCGAGCCACCCAGTCCGCGTCGCCATCAACGCTCGGCACAGGTGGCTTGATGCGCTTCGTCAACCACTCGTGCGCGCCGGTGGCTCAGTTCCTGGAAGTGGCGAATGGACGCAGGACGACTGTCGTGATTGCCACGACGCACGCCGTGTACGAGGGCGACGAGATCACCGTCGACTACGGGACCGACCTGTGGTTCGTATGTCGCTGTGGCCACCCCAATTGCCGCCATCGCGACATCCAAGATCAACAGGACCCGTAGGCGTGACGCGCGTGTCGAGGGCAGTTTGCAGACGTGAGGAAGATAGTGGGAGCTTGGCATCATTGGTAAGCCTGGTGTTTGTATGCTGTATTCATGTTAATCTGATCCTGTCGTTCAAGCTGACTGCGTTGAAGCTACCTTAGGGGCTAGTGTGCTTTGATACCGCTGTTGCCGTGTCAGCGGAGAGACCTTGGCTCCAAAATGAACGCGCTCTACTAACTGCAAGCGCGCTCAGCTTGCGCGCGAATTCACCCTGCAGGTTAGTCCTCACGACCATCCGGTTCGAGGCGAGATGGGCTGGCCTCGTTTGGGCCTCACCCGCCAGAGCGGAGACCAAGCTAAGGTGGCTTTCATTCCTGGCTTTACCAAGCCTGCAGCGAGTCACCTCCTCCGCACCTTCGAGCTCCCGTCCGACATCATTCCTGGTACGCTACACGCCTGTGGATACCATATTCTCTGCGTACTGTAACTTACGTGTTCGTGTTTTCTGTATAGATGCCGAAGCAGACCGGAAGCACTAACTACAAGCTCTCTGCAGTGCGTCGGCTCGTGGCGCTCGTCGAGCACTACCTGCCGCTCGGCAAGGACGAGTGGGAGCGACTTGCCGTTGCTTACAACTCCAACCGAGGGCGTGGTGTCACTGAGCGCGACTATGAAAGTCTGCGCCGTAAGTTCAAGGTGCTCTACGGAGCACGGAAGCCTACCGGTGTAGCTGACATGCCGCCGCACGTGAAGCAGGCGAAGCTGCTTAAACAGGCCATCGACGCCAAGGCCAGCGTGGTCGACATGGACGATGGCGCTGATGTCGACAATGAAGTTGAGGAAGAGGGCGTGAATGAGGAGGAGGGGGAGGAGTATGAAGTCGACTTGTGCTTCGACTTCGACGGCGATGAGGGGCTCGATGACAACTCGCGCGCGAGCGACGACGCGGACACGAGCGAGAGAGCCTCCACCAGCGACTCCATGCATTCTGGCGAGACGCAGACATCAGCCGGGGACAACACCAACATGAACAGCGGCGACTTCTCGGAGTTGCTGCCCTCGACCGGTGTTTGCGAGGGGTTAGAGGCTTTTGCTACGCCGCGGCCGTCTCCGCCGGCTGCGCAGCCGACGCAGAGAAAGTTGCGATCTTCTACAACAAAGAAGACGGGTCGAGGCCCGAGTGCGATGGGGGTGGCGGCCGCTGCCGCGTCCACAGCAACCACAGACGGTGATAATGTGGCGAGTGCTTCTCAACCAGCCACCGCTGGACGTTCGCAAGGCAAGAAGTCACTGAAGCAGAAGCGCTACGCGACTTCCTCCAACAGACTTGGTGGTATCAACTTGGCTGAGCTCCGCGATACCGTGGGACGCAAGCGTGCTGCGGATGAGGACGAAGAGCTGGCTGAGGCTAGCTACGCCAAAGTAAAGCGCGTGAAGGCTGTGAGGGCGACGACAGAGCTGACGAAGCGCTTGTCCGATCTGGAGAGTAGCTCCAGCAACATGGGGGGCACCATGTTCGAGATGCTGCTCATGATGCGTGAGGAAAACGAGCGCAAGGCGGAACTTTGCCGTGCTGACGAAGAGCAGCACCGTCGCGATGAGCAGGCGGCCCGCGAGGCACGCTACCTCGTTGACAAAGCAGAGGCCGAAGAGCGTAGCCGTCTTGAGAAGCAGGAGGCGGTGGAGCGTCGCCGTCAAGAGAAGGAGGAGGCGGAGGAGCGCGCCCGTCGGGACAAGGAGGACGCTCGTGCGTGCACTCAAGAGCTGTTGCTCATCCTGGGCGCGCTAACGAAGAAGGAATGAGCTGTGAGTGCCCTTGCGCGGTGAAGGCAACAGCGAGGAAGATCTAAAGAGGGAGGAAGTGCATTTAGTAGCGTAACATCTCAATACAGCCCTTTGTAGCGATGATCAAAGCAACACAGTCCATTTACGAGCTCGAATCTCGTGCTGTATTTGTTAGCAGCCCCGCCGATGCCTTCAACGATAGCTGTGCAGTACGATAACTATGAAATCAACTACGAAGCTTTGTATTGAACCATCTTTACGCAAAAGCAATCATAGAGATTCGAACATGTCTTGGTTTGGCATCTCCATGACGCCCGCGAACGTGGTCTTGATCTCGGAGATGCCAACCGCGCGAACTCTGTAGTTCACCATCCTGAATAGGTTGTTGAGTCGCATTCCTCGTAGATCCGGGTCGTAGGGCAGCGGCAAATTGAGGCGACTGTAAACTTTCTGGACACTGCCCATTCCCCATTCGGCAGCCTGTCGAATGGAGGTGATCGCATTGTGCAGTGTGCGTGCGGCGCTGCGGAGGCAAGGCTCAATGCGCTCGATGTCCCCGTCCTTCAAGGGGGTCAGGATCTTCCCTGTCATGGCTGTAGAGCAGGGAAATGCAGAGTCCGACACTACATTCATGCGTTCGTCGGGGCACAACTGGGGGTCCGTGAGCTTGTTGCGGAACTCCAAGGACGTGTCCGAGTCGTTCCACGACCCCGGACAGTTGTGCTTCGACCAAATGATGCAGCCGTCAGCGGCAAAACAAATCGTACCGGTCACGAAGACCGAGTGTAGCCAGCCATTGTACATGGCATTTTGTAGGCCAGCGTTACAGGGCTGCTGGACCTGTGCACCCACATCACAATCGAATTCAGTTAGTTGAGATATCCTAAAAGCCGTTAATACCAATATCATATACAGTACACGTACACGTAAGTTTTTACCGTCGATGAACCCGAACGTGTGGGTCAGCAGCGGTTCGCGCTTGTTGACCATGCGTGCCAGCTCCGCCTGACGCAAGGGAGAGGGCCAGGAGATGCGTGCAGGTGCGTAGCCAGTCAGCGCTAGCGACAGCGCTTCCTCTGCCCTGCGCAGCGTTCGTGATAGAGTGCTCGGCGGCACCCCGAACATGATGCACAGCGAGCTCTGTTCCATAGATCCCACGTAGAAGCTCAGTACGAGCCCCAGCACCTGGTGTAGATAGCGCAGCTTTGGGGGGCGGCCTCGTGATGACGGAGGAGGGAGGACGTAGAAGCTAGCAAACCTAGACAGCAACTGATGAAAAGCCCTTCTACAGACATGGAGGCTATAGTGTTAACGCAGGAAACCGCGTCAAAAATGACGATGCTCGAGGAAGACGAAGGCATGCTGCTGCTCCTGTGCGAGGCCTTCAAGGCGCACAACGAGCGCGTGCGCGACGCTCACCGCGAAGCTGATGCTGGAGGAGGAATGGCGCATCGCCATGCGCACGCGCCATTACCTGACTACACGGTGTCTCGATGCACCGTGTGAGTCCGCATGGATGACCCTCTACAAACGAGTTTAACCTGCTTAAACTCGTTGCGTTCAGAAAATTCACATCAGAGCCGTGCATGTAGAGGGTCATCCATGCGGACTGTCATATCTGCTGCATCTATGTTGGGTGATTTCTCTATGTTTGGTAGGCGTCCACTGTGAGCTGCTGCCTACCATATTACACTGCGAGTGCCTACCATGTTATACTGGAGCTACCTACTGTGCTACATTGCACTTAACGCTGACTCCGCAGCGTAACTAAACTCAACCGGTGACCTGCTCCTGCTCGTCTGCTCAGCAAGCTCCGGCAGCAGCGGTTACTATTTTGCATGACGATACTCGTGTAGAAGTGCACATCGCGAGGCTCCGTCGCACACCACCAGGTCTGTGCTCATAAGTCGCAACCACGCACACTTTGGCGCGGGTCTTTTCATAACGAGGCGAGTTTTATACACGAGCTCGGGCTCTTTGTAGTCGTTGTAACCTACTAGCAGACACAGTGGAGACGCGCTATAAGCAAGGAGGCGAGCGTTAAGGGCCTTCGGCTACCCGCCCAGGCAAAAAAGCCCAATATATATCAAGTGAGGCTCATTCTCGTTGATCAGGGCTGGAGTCTTGGTCAAGGCTAGAGATAACTGACGCTCGATGCCACAGGCCTAACATGGTGTGCAATGTAAACGGTAGCTCGAACTGTAATATGGTAGGCGGATCATAGTATAACATGGTAGGCAACTTGCAGTGTAAAATGCTAGACAGCTCACAGCGCAACACAGTAGAGCACTCATGTTGCAACATGGTAGTGCAACATGGTAGGGAGCTCACATGCATCCTGGTAGGCAACTTGTAGTGTAACTTGGTAGCAACTCACGGTGCAGCATGGCAGGTAGTAGCTCGCTGTGTAATGTGGTAGAAGCTCACAGTGCAACATGGTAGAATAGCTGATTACCTATGTGGTCAAATATTGATCGCAGCTCTGGTTCTCTCTTGATTAGTCAATATTTGAATTCAAGGTCACTAGCGCAGGGGCTAATGTTAACTCGAAAATGGGTAATATTGATATTGATATAATATCGAGCACCTTCGGTTTTGATATGTAAAATATTATGTGATATTTTGATGCCTCGGGAAAAGTAGCAATATTAATATTACTATATTATATGATATATTAAGATCTCATTAAGTACGAAATGATGACGTTATCTAGTATTTTTGGCCAATCGTTAGCTCCATTTTGTTAGCGTCATTATGAATATCAGGTTGATATTAGGTTGATCCGGCAAACCATTGACGCAGCGTCACATTCTTTGTGTACTCAAGCATGATGATAGCTAACTATGGAGCAAATGCTAAAGCTACCAGTATTTGGTACGTTTGAACCATTGCAATACTAACAAGTATTAGAACAACGTATTAACGAGCACATGGTAACCAAGGTATCTGATTACTCAGACCGGGTATTTATTTGGATTTGGATACAGCTGGCGCTACCCGGTCCAGGATTCAGATACAGATGTAATTGCCCATTGGGAGCCTGGTGCCCAGGCTGGCGGCTTCTTCACCAATGCGAACGGGAGAATATGTCGCTGCCGGGACATTTCCTGTAGGAGGTGCAGAACCGGCTGTTCGTCGACCGCAACGAGGTCATCGGAGCTCGACACTCGCCGCTGTGGCGCGCGGTGGGTTTCTTCGCCGCCGCGCTGCAGCCACTCTTTTTTTTAAAAAATAATATGTAGTGACTTATAAGTCGTTGTCATCCTAGCAACTTCACCCCCGCAATTATCAGTATCAACCGCTGGAGCCGTGGGCTTGATGCGGTATCGTAAAAATATGACCGAGATCACACCGATATCGCCGCCTTAACCCAGCACCAGGCTAAGGTGTGAAATTAGTAAGGACAAGAAAAGGGAACAGTAGCTCGTAAGATCAATGTTTTTCAGCTAAGCATCTAGCTGAGTGATTTATGATTTTGCAAAAAGGACATTGCGATTTGTGTAAGTATTCAATTTAGCCCAGAGCCTAAGTACGTTTAGGTACTTAGAGTATATTCACGAGGCTTATAGCCTGCGTCATATATTTAACTATTTTCGTAGAGAAAGTCACGACGAATAGGTCTGCGAATCGGGACCTTGCGGTGCATAAGATTCCCTAATATATTAGATGATATCTCCCACTGCAGTATCTGATATCGGAGCAGGACGTGCGGTTGTTTTCATACCGATTATCACAAACCCAGCATGTGCACTAGGGACCCACAGGGAGATTGGACATAATGGGTTACGTCCGCTGTCTGCGACTCTACTTATCTTACTCATCTTTTAAGTGCGTCCCGCCGACTTCTATTGCTCTTCTCGCGGGGCTGAGGAAGCCGTTTGTCAGTTGTAGTTAGATCTGCAATTATCCGAGTTCCTATAATAATATGAGCCAATATGAGATAGTGCGTACTGGGCAGTACCTACTGGTCCACTTCCAATGAATATATTAACATCTTACGAAAGATCAAGTCGTAAACTGGGTGCAACTATCTCGAGACCCATAACAGTTGTCGAATATCAACTCTGCACATTATCCCAAAGCATTTCTTACTTCAGTAATATTGTGCTTCAACTTGGAAGCAATAATACATGTCAGCGTGCACGTTTAGATATCGAGTGCATCCAACTCAAATATGAGATTCGTGGGTAATATTTTTACGTGGGGTCGAGCTAACAAAATATCTTACACGACTGCTAGCACAAGCTCTAGGTGATGTTCATTGCCATGCTGAGAGAACTCCTACCGGAGGAAGCACACTCCTTAGAGGCAAGAGGCGGAGGTCTTCTGGAAATATCATATAAAATATTTGATATTCGGTGAGATTTGAAATGATAAATGAAATATCGGATTGATATCGGGGTTGTCTACCTAATATAATATTTATACCGAACATTATCAATATTATATTCAAAAAAATCATCAATACCAAGTTAACATTAGCCCCTGCACTAGCGATAAAGTACGACGAAATCAGCTGCTTATGTGGTCAAATCTTGATCGCAGCTCTGGTTCTCTCTTGATTAGTCAATATTTGAATTCAAGGTCACTAGCGATAAATTACGACGAAATCAAGGTCAGTAGTGATAAATATGATATCTTGGATATCCATGTGGATGATTAGATCGTCCTCACCGCAATCGGTTGGCGATTACTAGTACCCTTTGATTCTCTAATCAATCCTATCTGCCGCATAACGCCATGGTCCTGGAAACTTACAAGAGATTAATCAAAGATGCAAGCGGCCCGTTGCAAAATATCTTTCAGCGTCCATTCCTCAAAACTCCTCGCACGACACAAGTCCAGCACACGCAACCAACTCAACTACCCAGTCATGTCGGTCTACACCAAGTTCGCCATCATCGGAGCCGGCGGCGTCGGCGGCGACATCGTGGACGAGCTGCTCAACAAGGGCGACACCGTCTCGTCTCCATCCTCACGCGCGACGAGTCCAAGCCGGAGCTGCAGGCGTTCAAGGCCCGCGGCGCCACGCTCCTCCAGGTCTCGTACGACGACCACGAGTCCATCAAGCGCGCGCTGGGCGGCAGCGAGGTGGCCGTGAGCGCCCTGTCGGGCTTCCAGATGCACGTGCAGAAGGCCATCGTGCCCGCGGCCAAGGAGGCCGGCGTGTAGCTCTTCGTGCCCACCGAGTACGGCGTGCCCGTGGCCGAGGGCCCTAACGCCGTCAAGAAGGAGGTACAGGACGCGCTCAAGCAGCACGACCTGCCCTTCGCCACCTTCAACTCGGGCGTCTTCGCCGAGTTCCTGGCCATGTACTTCGGCTACCACTACGCCGAGGGCTACATGACGGTGGTCCGCAAGGGCGAGACGCCCTTCAGCATCACGGCGCGCAGGGACTTGGCTCGCTTCGCGGCGCACGTGCTGTCGACGACGCCCAAGTCGGAGCTGGCGGGCGCGCGCTTCCGCTTCGAGGCCGACCGCCTCTCGCCCATGCAGATCCGCGCCCTCGCCGAGAAGAAGCTCAACAAGAAGATCGAGGTGCGCTACGTCGACTTCGAGGAGAACAAGAAGAAGTTCGACACGGACTTCATGGCCTTCCTCACGACCATCTTCGAGGACGGCCGCGGCGCCGTGGGCACGCAGGAGGAGGTGGCGGCCACGGCGGCCAAGTACTTCCCGGACTGGAACCCGGCCAAGTACGAGACCTTCATCCAGTAAAGAGAGAGAGCAGGTTGGCTGCAGGGTAGCTGTGATCGTCAGTCAAATGTTGCTGACAGGTCGGAGATATGAATGCAACGCCTTCGTTGGATAGACTTGCATTTCTTTTGAGTTCGTAACCACTTTTCGTTCCTGCAGAGGAAGATTATGCAGTCGTGAGTTTTTTTAAGGGAGCGGTCAGGTTAGCGGTAAAACTAGTGCCGTCGGGGTCATTCTCAATGAAGCTTCGCTCTTCGTACACTTCACTACGTTTGCCGTTGGAGCCATGCCAAACAAGACCGTCTTGATCACCGGCAGTAACCGAGGTCTGGGGCTCTCGTTCGCAAAGTACTACGCCAAAGCGGGGTGGGACGTCATTGCGACAACTCGCAAAGGAGCCAACCTTGACGAGGTGCGCACATTCACTTACGTAGCTCCTTAAGATATATTCCGCGCGATTTTCCTTGACGTTTGTTTTGGTATGTGACCAAGTTGACGGCGCTGTCGCCCTTCAAGATCATTTCCTTGGACGTGCGAGATGAGTCGTCGGTGCTTCAGATGGCCCAAGAGCTCGAGGAGATGCTGATCGATCTTGTCATCAACAACGCTGGCACGTTTACCGGCAGTGGGAACATGACGTCGACCACCAAGGACGCGCTCATGACGGAGTTTGAAGTTCACGCCGTAGGTCCGTTCCAAGTGACGCGTTCATTGCTGCCAAACCTGAAGTTGGGGGCGAAGTGGAATGGCAAGAACGGGGCTCTGGTGGCGCATTTGCCGTCGGTCTGGGCCAGCATCGAGACTGGCAGCGGTCCGTACGCCTACGCGGCGTCAAAGGCGGCCCTGCACATGATCAACCACCGCATGGCTGACGAGATGAAGCGCCACCACATCGCTGCAATTCTGCTGGACCCAGGCTAGTCGCCACAAACCTGCCGCGCAGCAGCTACGAACGCGAGGCGGATCGAGTCGTGGCCGCCATGGCGCGTATCATCGAGAAGTCGAAGCTGAATGACACCGGCAAGTTTTTCCACTTTGAGGGGCACGAGATCCCGTGGTGAAGATGCTTCGCTTCGTAGATTTTGGATCTTGAGTTGCTTCAAAACTCCTCAGTTCGGGTTGTAGGTTCCAAGCTACTAACAAAAAAATGTAAGAAATATTCATTCAAGAAATGCGATGCAGTCACTGTGATGAACTACAAACTCTGACCGCAGTGGCACATCATCAAGACCTCAGCATAACATTAGACCTACGGAGTTTATGCATGTCTAGGAAATTCATAATCGTAGCAGTTGACCTATTCGCAAAAGTGGAGAGCCGACCACAGAGTCATTCCGTCGACCGCCAACCAAGCCCAGCAATCATGGCCAACAAGACCGTACTCATCACAGGGAGCAACCGCGGACTCGGACTCGCTTTCGCGAAACACTACACGATCGCCGGCTGGAACGTCATCGCAACGACACGAAAGGGCAGCAACTCCGAGCACGTCCGTCCGAAAACTCTCTCAGTATTGTTGTGCATACGCATTGATGCTGACAACAGTTATGCCTCCGTATTCCGCGGGTTAGCTGAGAGCATTATCGCCATTTAAGACGTCACTCCTTGACGTTCAAGACGAATCCACAGTACTCCAGGCCGCCGAGCAACTCAAGGACACCCCCATCGACTTGCTCATCAACAACGCAGGCACCTTCACAGGAGGAAACACCATGGCTTCAACTGTAAAGAGCGACATGGTGAAGGAGTTCGAGGTGCACGCGGTTGGGCCTCTTTTGGTCACGCGCGCGTTGCTGCCGAACCTGAAGCTTGCGGCAAAGGCTGGCAACAAACCCGCCTTTGTCGTGCAAATGTCCACGATTTACGCCAATATTGAAAGTGGTGGCGGCCCGTATCCCTACTGCACATCGAAGACTGCACTGCACATGGTCAACCATGTTATGGCTGACGAGCTCAAGCGTGACAACATCAGCGCGATTCTGCTCGACCCGGGCATGGTGTACACCAATATGCCCCTGAGCAGCTACGAAGCGGAAGCGCTCAAGTTGTCGCGAACGTGATCGACCAGGCGACGATGGAAGACACTGGTAAAATGATGGACTACAACGAAACGGTGCTGCCTTGGTAAATCGAAGCATGCACTGCTAAACATCCCTAGCAAAGTGTACCAAGGCAATACTGACGGGACATCCGTACTTTGATAGCATTCATCGCAGCAGTCTTTGTTTTTTATGAAATCTACACATCCATCAACACATTTTCTCGTCTAGTCTGTGCTGTTCCGGACGTAGTACGGCTCCTCCTGGAACTCGGGCGTGCAGTAGGGGAACGTGGTGTCGTCGTCGTCCGGGTTGAAGAGGTTCTTGCCGGCGTAGATCATGACGTAGATGCCGCAGACGGTGCAAATGACGGCGACGGCGACGCAGAGCAGCTTCTCCCAGGCAGGGACCTTGGTCCAGAAGACCATGAGGTAGAAGATGATCGGCAGGATGAGACTCGACATGGTGATGGCCGTGGCGCCCGTGAAGTCGCTGAGGTCGAGGAAGTGGTCGCGCAGCAGGATGGAGAGCACCACGAGGATCACGATGATGGAGATGCGCAGGCCGATGTAGCGGAGCACGTTGGCGCCGCCCGTGTACTCGGACAGGTCGTCCTCGTCGTGGTGGTGGGCGGCAACCGACGCGCGGGTGAGGCGGTTGTTGCTCTCGAGGTCGGCGGGCGTCGACGAGCGCATGTACGACGACATCTTCTCCTCGATCTCGATCTCGCCGTCGTTGGTGATGGGGTCCGTCTTGTGCATGCCGAGGATCACGCGCTCGAAGAGGTAGAAGGCCGGGTGCAGGAACGTCGAGAAGGCCATCGACAGGTGCAGCTGCATGAACAGGTAGGCCATGATGACGGCGCCGCGGTCGGCCACGAAACCAAGAGTGGTGGTGGCGAACGGGTCCGAGGTATTGGCGACCGAGAAGAGCAGGTTGCCCGACATCTGGCAGCCGCCCACAGCGTAGCCGGCAATAGCCACAGCGATGAAGAAGGCCGACGCAATGCCCAAACTGACCATGATGACACGGGGCATGCGCTCGGGCTGCGAGTGCTGGCGCTGCAGGTCGGGGATCACCGTCGCAGCGGCGTACGCGAGCGAGAGGTTACCGAACGTGGTGATGACCTGGTGCGGGGTGACGTCAGCAAGCGGCGGCGACGGGTGTCCGCGCTCCTCCCAGATGAGGATGGAGATGCCGATGACGTCCGCCACAATCGTGCCCAGGCAACCGGCCAGGGCCATGCCACCGCTCTCCTTCATGGTCGGAATCAGAGCGACCGGCACGACCATGAGCGCCATGAACATGATCCACACGGACTGGCTGAAGCTGTCCGGGAACAGCACGTCGAGCAGCGAACCGCCCAGGACGAGGAACGCGCAGGGCAGCAGCAGGCACACGCCCATCTGCGAGATCGTCACCGCCCAGCGACCAACCCGGCCGCCGACCCATTCACCCAGGTCAGTGTACGTCTTGACCGCAGCGGGGGCCGCCATCATTACCTTGGACAGCAACACAGACGAGTAGATGTTGGCGAACGCCATGAAGAGCAGCGCGATGGTCGCGAACGTCCAGCCGGCGCGCGCGTAGTTGGAAGGCATGCCCAGCGAGCCGATACCGCAGACGCAGCAGAAGATGTTGAAGGCGGCCTTGGAATCTTCGAGCGTGAAGAGCGCAGTCGACGGTTGGGGAGCCATGGTCGATGTGGTTAGTTGGTTGTTCACCGACAAGGCAAATTGGCTAATGAGCTCTTGGTTTGGTTTGATTTGGTTTGGTTTGGGTGTGCCGGTGCCTTGTCGGCCCCTGCACCGGCATGATCGGACAGCTCAAAGACACGTTGTGCCCATCGCCATTTTACACAAGCTGTTTCCGGTAAGGCAACGCGTCCTGGGCCTGCATGGCTGGCTGTTCAGGACTGAGTGCCCCCTTTGCGTAATATTTTTCAGGTTACTTCGACGTGCACAAATGTCCCCAAGAAAAGTTCACAATCGCTCCCAATCCCATCCTTTAATTTCGGCGAGGAGATCCGGTTCTGATTCTGCCTACAACGTCGAAGTTAAACTGCAGCAGCTTGAAGAGGCCCCAAAACGATCCACGTGTGAAGAGATCTCGTCGCTGGTTGGCAAGCCAAGATCCTCCAGCTCTCTTGTCTTATCCCTACGTACAGTGTACAGCGTACAATTCCAATGTGCAGCAATGCCTCACATCTCCAGAATGCCGGATTGTGGCTTTTTGGGCAAGTTTTCGTGGTGAATGGAGAACCGTGGACTTTCTAGACTGCAGACTCCACATAAACAGTCTGCTGGGATGAGGAAAAGCGCGAACTGTATAGTTCTCGTTGTGCTTCCAGTTCTTCACCACGGTGGCCTTGAAGTGGCCGACCGCAAGGTGTTTGTTTACCTTAAGGCCTCCAAGACCTCCATGGGGCTCGATAATTCAGTTCACAACTGTAGCATCACCTTGACGACTTCGAGATGCTTCGGCCGGCGGCATGTGGCTGCCTCATCACATGCAACGGGATGCTTTTGTCTGAAACAGCGTTAATCGAGACTGAAGGATGGGCCGCCAACTGGGATCAAAGGCTCGGGATCCACGACAATTGGGATCCGATTTTGGCTCAACATTTTTGAGCATTCGTCCCGGTCGTCCGCATCTAATCTAAACATTCGGAGCGCAATTGCTCCCACCAAATCCTTGTTAAAGCGGTGCAGAACCGGCAAAACCTCCATAACCCGGGCGTTGGGGACACTTCCACGAGTTCCACACGAAAATTCGGTCCCCACACCTGTCCCCAAGCGGTTCTCTGCGCTGGCCGTCGTCCGGCTCGCTGCTTCGGCCGCAGAGCTCCGCCGTGTTCAAGCTCGAGGGCGCGAACGAAGACAAACGTCCATCGAAACGCTACATGACGAAGACTTCCTCGGAGTTCTGCGTTCCACATCTAAGCTGCCTGTATTAATAGAGCGTACAGTAGTGAAGTCTCCACACCTGGAGGTGTTGCCGATATAATCGCTCCGATTACAGAGGGGATGTATGGCGCCTCGCAAATCAACGCGGGAACGCTGCTGTAGAGCCGGCGTTTGTCAACGGCGTCGACACGGAGCATCCCCCCAAAATGCTGCAACAGACCTGCTTTCCCGAATGCATTGTGTTGTTGAGCAGGCCTGCACGATCGCAATGAGGATGCCACGGTGCAAACGAATCGTCGACACGGACCAACCGCGAGGTCGTACGGTGGGTGGATCGACGCCTGTATCATACATACAACAGTGTCTCCGAGCTTGCGTTCTACAACAAGCACTGCTGCTAGGGTGTACAGAATTCTGCCCGAATAAGGAACGGGTGTACAACTGATAGCCTCACATATTTAATATTATTTTCCAGTCGATGTGGCGATAGGGGGATGTGCAAGGTACTGCAAGGTACTGAGGTACTAAGGTGAAAAATCCAGTGCCAATCATCAGCTCTCCACCCTCGTTTGAAAAATGGCACGCATTTAGCGATCTTACTAGACTTCAAACTACATGTACCGTAGTGGTAGACTCGCACTTTTGCTTTTGCACCTCGCCCCACAAGCCCACCTCCTCCCCCACTCCACCCATGAAGTCCACACCGTCCAAGCGTCTCCGTCTCACTTGGTCTGAGAAAGTGGGCATCCTCGACAAGGTGAAGGGCTAGATAATCCCTACGAGGTCGACCAGTTGACAGCGCTGTTGTGGTGCGAGGATGCCTGGTCAAAGGTTAGTGCTTCGACCATACGCCACTGTTGGAATCATTCCGGACTCGTAGGTAAAGCTGCTCTTCAGTTCATTTTGAAATAACTAAATCAGTACATTGGAAAAGTATACTCAACTTAACATCAATTTATATATTCTGCGTCTTTATATATATCAGGCGTTCCTTACTCGGGCAGATTACTGTACTGTACACACTGAAACTGGTCCGGGGTTGGTCAAGTTGATCTCGGGCAGACACACAACTGTGCGTGTACTTCAATGTACGCAAAATCTTCAAGCCGGCCACGCTGTTTGTTCCAACCTGTGCCTCTAATCTCGACCGGGCCGCATCTATCCAGCGAGAGCAGGACCTACAGCAAACACGGCGAGGTGGCGTTCCATGCATTCATAGCTTGAAGCAAATGCTCCTGTTGAACGAGTTATGTACACGTATCCAAGAGCTGACTGCAACGTACATTGCTGTTTGCGCAGTGTACGGTATCGGTGTTGTACAGAAGGCCACGTGGCTGCTGCATGATGCATGAGCGTCGTCATTTTGCTAAAGGATCAGTTACGGGGGGTGATTTTCACTTTGCGCTTCACCAATTTGTTTGCTCTTGCTGTATTTCGATGGTACCCCTCGAATTACACCCGATAAAGCTGTACATGACCATCGAAGAACGAGTGTGTGTGTGTTTGGGGGGGGGGGGCATTTTTTGTTTGTCGAGATCGAACGGGTCATTTAAGAGTTAGCCAAAGCAGAACAACACTGACGCAACCAGTAACTGTGTCAACGTCGAGCTTGTAGGTTTATTTCCTCGGTAAGATTTCGCCGAAATGTTCGCTAGGTGTCTTTATTCCGCATCCACTCGAGCTGAAAGGTGAAGTCTGATCCTGGTTGTTGCAAAACACACCACCAACAACGTTAGATTTTGTACTTCACTTACTGCAAGAATCGGTAGAATACCCACCAAAATGCTCCAGAGTGAACGTGAGAATGAACGCGGTCCACACAAACATCCGCCCCTGTACCTGCATCGCGTGCGTCTCCAACACAAACGCCAACTGATGAAGGATGGAGAACCCAAATCGACGCTGGATCACGAGGTACAGCACCAGCAGTGACAGCACCTCCAGCCACACGTAAAGACCAATTTGATCCTCGATCGTGGCACTCGTGGTGGTGAATTGATCTTCACTTTCGTATAATGATGGCGCCGTAGACGCAACCGGAATAATCGACATTGTTGTCTGCATCTTGGCCGTATTAACCGGAGTAATTCGGTGCTGGTAAAACGGAACTTGAAATTTGCCGAGCCCAACAGTATTTCTCTTCCCATTCGTTGGTGGAACGAGGTTTCTCGAGCTCTTACGTGCTGGATTCTCGGCCTTACTGAATGAAGCGACTTTGGCCAGTTCTCGCTGACTGTCCACGGACAGCCGCACTTTCAATGGAGAGCAGAGCGGACGCGTAGTCCTGAAGTCGCAAACGCCGCACACGACGCCACTTTCGGGTTTTAGCAAGCCTGTTTCACCTCTGCGATGAGCTGCGGCTGCTCTCGGTTGACCAGCAATTTCTGAACGGTTTGTGTGCTTCGGTAAATACTACGAAGCGACAGTATAGACGACAGCGCATCGAAGCTGATGATCACGACGGATGCGAGTGGTGACCTCGCCGTCTGCATGCACGTGGCTGCGAACAACGCGTGGGCTAACTCGGCTGAGAACACAACGATCCCCGATACATATTCTTCGAGAAATGACGAGACGGAGGCCACGGCATTCTTGAACACCAACCTAATGAGCGGCAATAGAGCCACAAAGACGATCTGTGCGTGGTCGGATAGCGACGCGAATGCGGCGCTTAGTCCGGTGTAGAAGATCGCGATGTTGCCCTGTGAGACGACGACTTGGATCAACCCTTGGAGTTGACCTTTTACGTTCGGAGCATTGGCAATCGAACGAGAAGAGACAGGAACGGAGGCATCGTGAGTACGAAGGAGAAGGGAACCGGGTACGCCCAGAAGTTCGCGAACGCCACAGTGACGCACACGTGGCAAAGGGAAGTGGCCAAGGAGATCGCCACTAGTTTCCAGAGATACCGACCGACATCCCCTTCATCTGGACGGTCAGCCCCACGCCGACTGTGAAGCTGATGACTCCAAAGCGCAGCCAAGCCCCGTAGTTTTTCTCCCATCCGTCCGTCGGGTTTTGGAGCGGAATGAGCTCAAGTGCCACGACCAGCAAGAGCGCGGGTAGCGGAGTGAGTACGCACACGGCAATCATCCGAGCTCGAGACACGCTTCGGCTGTAGTCATCAAGCGCGTATATCCTCTCTAGCGAGTACGTACTGCGATGTCCGATTTGAAGTCGATTCCATGAGTGCTTTAGCCACTTGATAACTCCCCCTCGACATGCGCTCCCCTCCTCTGTCTTTGACGGATGAGTGGGCCCCGCTTTGACTACCGCGTCTCGCTCTACTTGCTCCACTGGAACAGAGTGCATCATGGCGACCAGAGTTGAGCAGAGTTGAAAGTCTGGACAGCTAATTTTAAGTGAGCGGCCATCGACGAACTTGATGCTCATTTCGATCAACCAAAATCGTCAAACATTTTATAGGAATAGAAAGCGTTGCCAAAAATCACTATGTGAAGGAAACTTTAGGAACACTTGCACGAGTTTAAGTGATCACCACGGGGCTATGTTATCAATAATTAAGTTACAGTTGTTCTGCCTTCGAGCTCAGTACACGTTCTCTTCAGCGTCGTCAATATCGGCGGTGACCATGAGCTCAATAGGCTCCGCAGTGGCCAAAAGCTTGAGCCTTTCAATCCGCGACGTCAAGAGCGGGTGGGTCGTGTCCCCCAGGTAGTTCCCCCTCTCGTCGATCATCCACGTGTTGAGTGCCGAGCGCATCTGACAGTTGCGGGACAGTTTCCGCTGGAAGCAGTGGATGCCTCCACGCGCGAATCCGCTCTGTGCCGCCACTTGATCCGCCTCGTGCTCCAAGCTCCAGGACAGGTACAGGTTGCCCCCAATGACTCCCATCACGCCGATAACGGCAGCGACCAGTTTGTTGGGGATCTTGTGTATGGCGAAGCAGCTGCCGACCAGCGACGCCGGCAGGAAGGCGCCTGTGAGCATGGCGTGGTTCTTGGCGATGTGCGCGCTCTCATGGGCCAATACGAAGTCGATCTCGTCGCTCTTCGGGAGGTCGTACTTGTCCTGGATGTGGGAGGGCGCGTAGAACGCGTCGTAGAGTTCCATGGTTAGAACGATGCACGCCCCACGCTGACCGACAGTGAGGTTGGCGCCCATCGAGGCCCCGGTAGATTCCTCCCCGACACGGATGGAGATCCGCTCCGGGTTCTTGACACCGACCCGGGCCGCGATTCTCCGCACGTTGACTGCGAACGGGTCCTGGCGGTCGAGTTCGTGGGCGTCCAGACCTTGAGCCAGACGCAGCGAGTGCGGGCTCGTGGGCTCCGCGATGGGGTACGCCGCGTATCCGTAGAGCAGCAGCGAGGCCGCGCCGATGAAGCGCTTCGAGTACGCAGCCGTCGACATGACTTGGGTAGGTTGGTAGGGGGTAGAGTGTGTGGTGTGTGGTGGAGTTAGTTCACTAATGGTTTGATACGCAAAGAGAGAACTTTGCGGTGGTGGCGAGCGCTTAAGAGTTAATGCAGTGCGTGTCTCTCGTAGCTCGGTTGAATATGCGACTTTGTATGGTGCTTGCCTATGCTGCCGCCGCCCGCCTTTGCTGCCGATTTCCGTAGATTTGAGCGTTTAGATTTCACTGCCGACGGATGAATGGAGGCTCTCTGAATGCTGAGCAATCTAGAAGCGTTGGAGTGGTGCTTCTTGGTGGATGTAAGCTAACGTTAGCTGGGGCCTGCTAATAGCCGCACACTGCTGCAAGAAGATCTCAATTATGCACGCACAAGCATTATGTTGACGCTTCGCTTGTGCTCCATGGAACGTTCGGATTGGCTGAAAAGACGAGTTGTCGCAAATGTAGCCATTTCGGTGGTCTAACCATACATTCCTACAACTTCAACTCATGACGGGAAGTTTGTATGGGTCTGCAACCAGGCTGCCCCAGGCTCCACGCCAGGGCTTTGATCCTCGGCTTCGAGCTTTGGAGACACATCAGAGGGCAGACTACGACGCGATCGTATCTGTCGCCTCAATCTGACCGCGTTGCGCTCCTCCTGCGTGTGTTTGAGCATGTCGCCGCTCGTGTTGCTCCTTTTCCAGAGCAAATCCGCCAGCGTTTGGTTCCGTGCAGCTCTCGAGCGACTGGAAAGGTTCACGGGGTACCGGTCGACGTCCACTTGGGGCGTGGGGGACTCAGTCGTCGTTGAGATTGGAACCACCTCCGTCCGTGGAGACCTCACAGATCTTATCGAAGTTTTCTCGCGCTTTGAAGGAGGCGGTTGGTCCACCACGTCCGGGTCTTTCGAGTTGCTGCGGATCCGGCGGAGAATTGTGATCGGAGCTTTGTAGTCGTTGCTGCGGTGGGTGCCTCTAGTTTTTGATGGTGGTGAAGACCGAGGAATTGCGACGAGCGAGGCCTTCCGAGGTGCTTGGGCTTGATACTCTTCTTTCATGACGGGGTTCTGGAATGATGCAACTCGGGGGTCTGAAGGCGTAACTACGTATCGTTGGTCGAGCATTGGCGTTGACGCTACGCGTGAACTTGTGCGAGCTTCCGGACGACCGCTGTTGCAGTTGGGACATCGACCGCCGTCCCGATTTCTCAATGCCTTGACGTCTTGCTGGAGCTTCTCCATGTTCTTCGCCATAGTTTGTACCAGCTGAAGCAGCGATTGGTCCGACTGGTTATCTTTTACTGCTTTCGGCGAAGGTTCGGATCCCAAGTCATCCGTGGACGTTGCATCGTCGGCACTTTCGGTCCGCGACGTGCGGCTAGAGAGGCCCCTCCCAGAGCGAAGGCTGCCACCTTGGCTCAAGAGAGGCGAATCAAGAGACGAATCCTCAATAAATTCCTGATCAAAGTTCTGGAAGCCGTACTTGATGGACTCGTCCGGCACGTTAATGTCGATCGCCTCTACCAATATACGAGCGGCCTCTGCTGCAGTCATGGTTGCGACCGCAGTGCCACGAGAAAAATCGTTCTTGCCACTCTGTCGGCGTTTCTCCGCCACCATCTGTATAATATTCTCCCAAGGGAAGGGAATCACGTTCTTTTCGATGCAGCTCTCCAACATGGCAGTGAGAACGCGTCGACGATCTTCAGGGTACCGAGAAATAATACTCTGGAACACCTTGCGACTCAACACGCACATCTCCACAAACGTAATCGCTCGAATGTTGGCTGTTCGCTTGTAGTTCATGAGCAAACTCATCTCTCCGAAAGCTTGCCCCGGGTGTAAATACTGTCGATATCTCCTCGATTTTTTCGCCTCGGTTCCCTCCGGATAACTCGGTCGTCTTCCATGAGCGTTCCTAAACCGGCGTACATCGGTGAAGTCACTGGGTTGGCCGCCTATATCCGCAGTAAACCGACTGGAGTTTATTGAGGCTCCGAACATCCCACCTTCGAATATCTCCTGCTCATCGTCGTCGTCAGAGCTTAAATCCTCGCTGCTATCGTCTTCATCCTCACTAAACTCATACATCTCCATCCCAGCTTGATCATCCTCATACACTGCAGACGGCTTGGTCAGCTTGCAGTAGCCACGGTTAATCATCATCATCTCGCTTCCGGTCTCTCTTCGACGAACCACATAGTCGTCTGGCATGTACACGCGGACGTCCAGATTCAGCACGATCTGCGTGAGGAAGTCGGGCGTGCAGTCCTTCCAGAACGGGACCATGACCACGAGGTTCATGTGTTTGTAGAGTCCGATCTCAATCCCGAGCGTGTGAGTCAATTCGTGCTGAAACTTGTTGATATTCCCGTCCAGCGCCTCGTACTCCACCCACGCGTGCTTGTAGTACTCGTTCACGCGCTCTCGGAGTCGGAGGGGCAGGTCCATCTTCTCCATCGTTTCATACACGGCCTCCATCTTGCGGTGGTAGTTGGTTTTGTTAGCGTTGAAGTTCGATACGAGCATGGCAACATTACCGAAAACTATCGCGAGGATGACAGAACCCACGATAATGGCTACACTTGAGAACAAATTCTCTTCGTACGTGCCAATGAGGTTCCCTTGACCCTGAATTAGACTCACAGCGTAGTAGTAGTCCGCAACGTACTGTTCGCCCACACTTCGAGACTGACGGTCTTGAGTGCAGGAAACAACGTGCCAGAAGCACGCCATGTAGTGTGCAATCAGCAGCACGAGCCACATAAGCTGCGCAATACCCAGGAGATGACAATAGCGGGAGTACCGCAGCCACTCGACAAAGTGGTTAGCGACTCTCATAACGCGATTCAGCAACACTCCCCTCTCAATCACAGCCACCCGCAGTAGTTGCAGCACCATGAGCGCGATCTGGATCCCGCGAACCGCATCGTGGATATACTCTCCAGTGGCAGCGTAATAACAAATCTGGACTGGAATGGCAAGGAAAGCGTCGAGTGCGAACCATGATCGAATGTACCTCTCTGCAATTTTACGTCGTGATGTGACCAGGTTGCCTTGATCCACGTACGCAGTGTTAAAGTTGAGGAGTACATCCAACAGGAAGACTGTTTCCAGTATCATGACAATTGTTGCTGTGTCCTGGGAGCCAGTCGGGTAGTAACTAGCGAAGAATGGCAGGTACAGCAGTTGAAAGTGGTAGGCGATAAGCATCAGAGCTCCGTGAGCAGTGGAAGCCCAGCTTCTTGGCGTAATTGGGGACGTTAGAGCTCGAAAGACGCTATTTCTTGTCTTGACGCTGGTCATGTACCGTATCGAACGATGGAGCGAGAACCGACGATTGCGTTGGTACGGAGCCCCGATGGCCTTGTCAATGACGACTTCATTAGCGCGACCGAACTTGGACGGGAGACCCAAACTGTCGGACATCTTGCGGAGGTTGAACTTCTTCATCATCGCGTCATGGTTCGCAGCTTTCTCCGCCATTTTGTACAGGTTTCTGGTTGAGGTCTGTCGTTTGAGCACAGCCATCGCCTTTGGTCGTTTGGACAGTGCTTGGGGGTGTTTAGCAACCGGAGGACGGCTGGCAGATGACTGAGAAGGCAACGATCGCGCTGACATCGTACTCAAGGTTGACGAGACTCGAGGAGGATCGGCTAATAGTAGTTGCCGCAGCTCGCTGGGCATGGCTTCTTTTTTTGCAGGTCTTTACTCATTTCATGGGAAGTTGCATTACTTTTTTGCGATGCGTACTATAGTTTAGCAGAAAGCAGGCTTTAAAAATGGGTTACCTCGCCTGTTGAAACAGCATTTCGTCTGCAGCATCCCATATCTCTGTCAGGAATAGCTTTGAGTGCCAAATGGCATGACGCTTCTCTAAAATTTCATAGGCGTTTTTCATCTTGCTGCGCGAGTCCATGTATCGCCAGGTTGTACGAAGCCTTGCCATTTGGGTTTTACGTCCCGAGCTTATTGAAAGCCAAACTACCCACAAGCAGAGAACATGGTTTGGTCTTGGCGTAAACGTGAGTTACGGTGTCATTTATTTCGTGAGTTTCACCGGAAACGCTTACGTTAAGGAGTGAACAAAGTCATATCTTCACGATTTTGCTGGTACATGTTGGGGCTGGTACTTATACCGTCGTGGGTCGTCAATGACGGGCTCGAAGATTTGGCAACAGCAATAAGTTGTTGCTGTTATTAAATACCACAATGGTCTATAAATCGTTCTGCACTGCGTTTTGCTACGCAAAGACGCAGAATCGACGACTGTAGTAACCCAAGACTGGTCGACCGCATGCAAGTGAAGCGGCACCAGGTCGGCAGGACTGAAGTAATTCTGCACTGGAGTTGAAGCGCATTCAATCGGATCCCGAGCTCACTGTCACACCAGTTATAAAGCCTCGCATCATTGCGTCCACTGGAATTGGAAACTAAAATCTGTTCCTGCTCGTAGCATGAAAACAAAACTCGCTGTTAATTTTCAGGAATGAATTGGATAACCAAACGATACTCTGCGTACCGAAATGCCGAAGGGTGAGAGGGACCGTGTATGGAATCCACACGAACAGCCTCCCCTGCACTTGGTATGCGTCCGTTTCCAGCATAAACGCCAGTTGTCGAAGCATTGATAAGCCAAAGCGACGGCGAAGAACGAAATGCAGTAGCAAAAGCAACAATACTTCCAACCACACGTACACGACCAGGTTCCCGACTGCCGAGTTCATCTTTTCCAGCGTCAGGTCTCGAGTCTGAGGATAATACTCACGCGCGTTGCCTCCGAAGCGATACAGCATCTGCATGTACAGTCCGTAGACAACTGGGATCACACATCCACCAGCACTAGGTACTCGCAGGAAAACATCGTCTGTGCTGTTTCGCGTACCAGCTCCACTTGTTTCTCAATTGCGGCAATAAAACTGGAGCTTTTAGCGTTCAGATTAGTGGTAGGTTGTGCAGACATTTGTGGTTCGGACTTGATCTCTCTAGGCGAACCGATTGGGTTTGGATGCTTCAAGGGCGCAATTTGAAGCGAGCGGACGGAAAATCTGCCCAAAATGTTTGTAGCGACACCCTTCTAGTCGCCTTACGCACCAAACCTAAAATTCGTTCATAGCGGCCCATCTCATCGATCTTTAGTCGTACCGAAGGAGAAAGTTTCAGTTCCAGCGGCGAACGAAGGCGAAAGTTGGAGAATTTGACGGCTGTGGACGCTAAAACCTCCGGATTTTGGCAAGTCTGCAGCACAGTCGGCACAATTCGATTTGCCTGCTCTTTTGGTCCCAATGACCCTTGTAGCGATGTAATAATTGTTGCACCGTCTTGGTATCTTTGTTCAGTGTACGTATCGAAGCTATTGAGTGCATCGCGTCGAAACTTATGATCACGACCGATGCAATCAACGACCTGGCAGACTGCATGCACGTGGTCACGAACAACGCGTGCGCTAACTCCACGGAAAACACGACGATCCCTGCCACCCCCTCTTCTAGACGTGCAGACACCCACGCCATAAAATTCTTCAAAAATAATTTAACGAATGGCAACAGCAGGACAGTGGCGATTTGTCCGTATTCTGACAGGGTGGAGAACGCAGCTATCAGCACAATGTACGCCATCGCGAGGAAGCTCGGGAAAGTTGCCACCATCACATAGCGCTGGAATTTTTGCGATAACTTTGTTGTAGTGGTGGTGATCCATTGCCGACCGACAATTACGAAAGTCCAAAACACTAAAAAGAACACGAAGTGGGGAAGAGTGAGCAGGAAACTGAAAGGAATCGGAAATGTCCACGAGCTCGCAATCAGTAGTGAGACCGCCACGAAGCACGCGGAAGTGAGCGATGAGATCGTGATACATTGCCACAGCGCGATAGAAATCCCCAGACTCATGCCCTTCACTTGGAACGTCAAACCAAGCGCGATCATGAAGGTAAGAAACGCATAACGCAACCAAGTACCGTAGTTCGCCTTCCAGCCTGCAGTTGGGTCTTGGAGTGGGATCATTTCGTATACTATCATCGTCAACAGGGCTGGAACTGGAGTAAGTATGCACACCATGATAACTCGAAGCCGAGACGCCTTGTGGCAATAGCTATCCAGAGCGTGTAGCCTCTCAACGGAGTACATGCTCCTGTGTCCGACTTGCGCAGTCATCCATTGTTGCTTCAATAGTTTGAACCACCGCTGGAGACGCCCTATGCATGATCTATTCACCGGTAAGTGTGCGTCTTGACGAACAGAGCCGTTATCGTTCTGCTCTGGCGTGGACATTCTCTCTGGCTTCCCGTCTCGATTCTTGCCGTGACAAACAGTTATAGCTAAACTTTAACTCAACCTCATATTTATAGACGGAATATACACCACCACACCCCAATTCAAGACATTTAGAGGAATCCGTTCTCGATGACGTTCTGGTCCTCCAGCACCTCCGTCGTCAGCAACAAGTTCCCATGCTTGGACATTTTAGTGGCCTCCACCATTTTCATGGTCACGAACGGGTCCTGCAGTAGGTCCAACAAGGCCGAGGTGAGGTCGACCTTGGACTCGATCTGGAACACGCGGCCGGTTCTCGCGTCCACGTACGCGATCAAAGTGAAGGAAAAGCTGTACGTCTTACCGATGAGCCACTGCACGAGCTCCTCGTCGTTCAAAATGTGCGGGTACACATGCTCGATCGTCGTCCGAGAGATCTGCAGCGTGGTCGTCCCATAAGTTTTGACCACATTCACGAATTTCTGAGCTTCTTCCTCGTCTCCAGCGCCGAAATTTGTATCCACAAAAGGGTCCACTTCAATTCTTGACAATTCACACTCGATATCTGCGTGGTACTCGGACAAAAGCTGCCACTGCTCGATGAATTGGTCGAGTCCCGTGTAGTCGGGACTTTTCAGATCTTCGGCGAAAGTCGCTAACAGGAAAGTTTTGGTAGCTTGAGCTTGCGTGGGGTATCTCGCGGGGTTGACCCCCCTCTTAATGTGGTGGAAATACTCGTTCATTGTATGGAACGCGGCGTCTTGGGTCCTCGGTCTCAGTTCCACCGTCCGCTCGTTCATGAGCGTCAATTGACGATTCAATTGTTGAATTTGTTCCTGGAGCTTGGCCGCCGCTTGTTTCGCCTCTTTCTCCAGTCGACGACGCCGATTTTTGGCGTTTATCTCGGCCTTCTTGGCGTTGGCGCAATTTTTCGACTTGCGCGGGAGGTTCCGAGGGCGTTTGGGGCCAATTTTGCGGGTTTTGAGCGGGAAACTTCGCGGGTTCAACGATGAGTGGTTGCCCGGGGATGGTGGCTGCGTTATGAGCCGCGCGTGCGGGTTCGTGAGCAGGAAGAAGTGCATTATGCGCGGGGCAGAAGAGCTCGGGGACGTGCAGGGAAGGGAAGATGCACAGTTTCGACTTATGAACTGTGAATTTTAGGATAGTGGCAAATTAGATGATAATTAGATGTTGAAGCGCAGCGATTGGCGGAGAAGGTTGAAGTGGTTGCTCGTGTGCATTGCACACGTCGAGCGGATATTTGTGGTTGAGTGAACGCACCGGCGAGAAACGTGGGGACAGGCGTACAGCTCCATCTGAACACCACCCAGGAGACCAGCGAGGGGCGGGGGAGACGCACATTATTGAGCGGGCGGCTGCGTCCAAACACTGGCAACGATCTCGACTGCTACGCGCTGCAGCTGCATCCCTAAAGCGAATAGCTGAATGGTTCAGTGGGAAGCATCTTCCGGGGGCTGCTCCTGTACATGTACCGCGTTTGCAAACGCTTGCAAATGCTTACTCAACGCTGTCATTTAGCGCGCCGTGCACTGATGAAGCTTGAAAGCACCTCTCTAAGGATGTCTTCTCCCTTCCTGAAGTCGACGCCACACACTTGTTAAATCGCCGTGTAAAGTCAATGGATCTACACGTGTCGCCGCCACGTAAGCTGAATGAACTTCAGCACCCGCACGAATCCATATCTGCACCCTCCCCCCTACCAATCCCGGCGAAGCAGCGTTCAACCTGGCCGCCACGGATACGCCCAGTCCTCTCTGCATGGACGACTGGCAACAACCTCGCCCCCACGGAGAGACGCGACCCGCACAAGGATGACGCTAGACTGTTCAGCGGTCCTCTGTCCCTTGGCGGGCGCGTATTTCGCGCCCCACTGCCGCTCTCGCTCATTCCGGAATCCGCCCGCCACCAACTGAGATCGTCGCCATGGATTTCTTCTCGCTCTCGAACGCGCGCTTTCTGCGTGACGCTCCACCCCTCAATGGCTCCGTCATCCGTCCGTCCTGCGCGTTCCTGCGTCGCGCAGCTCTAATCGGACCAAAGCGTCCACCAGGTCTCCGTCGCCATCGCCGTCTGCACTCCAAGAGCTGCGCCAATGCCAAGAAGGACGCGGCCAATGACCGCAAGCGCCGACGCAGACAGGAGCTCGCTTCAGCTCGAGATTCCGAGCAGCTGCAGGCGCAGATCCGCCACCTGGACGAGCAGCTCACGCTCATCAACGGGCGCGACGTCGTGGCGCGCCAGAACGCGCAGGGCGCCGCGTTCAACGTCATGCGCGTGTACTTCGAGCGCATCGTGCGCGGCTTCGACCCCGTGCGGTACCCGGAGCAGGCGGACGCGCCGCTGCAGTTCTTCAACGCGGCGTTCGTCAAGGACCTCAAGACCAACGACTTCACGGGCAGGGACAAGTACCTGGAGCAATGGCAGCTCGTCAACGAGTGCTACGCCCGCGTCGGCTGCGAGGCCACGAGCATCGACGTGTACCCGCTCACGGACGAGCGCTTGGCCGACGACGACGAGGAGCTCGAGCGCCACGTGAACGTGGTGGCGCCACGACGCTGCAGATCTCTCGGACTACGATCGAGCGCATCTTCCCGCACATTCTGTCGGACGAGGTGCTGGTGCAGTCGCTCATCGGCAAGACCTACAGCTTCGCCTTCACGCTCATCGCGTACGTGGACGCGCGCGACGGCCGCATCTTCCAGACCGAGTCCACCGTCGACCTCACGTCGGCGCTGCTCGACATGCTGCAGGACCCCTTCGTGACCATCAAGATGGTGGACGCCATGACCAAGCGCGGCAACCTGCTGCTCATGGACGACGTGCTCGAGGACCAGAACGTCATCGAGAACGGCTTCCTCTGAGTCACAAGCCCAAGGAAACCAACCCAACTGTATATGAAGCGTTGCTGTCGTGAATGCTGCTCAATTATCATGAAAAATGGACCAATTCCTCACAGAAATCCATGCTCAATGACGTTTTGGTCCTCTCGGACGTCTTCACGCAGTAGCAGGTTCCCGCGCTTGTTCATGGTGGTCGAGTTGACCATCTGCACGGTCACGAAAGGGTCTTGGAGCAGGTCCATGAGCGCGGACGTGAGATCGATCTTGGACTCGAGCTGGAAGACGCGCCCAGTTCCGACGTCCACGTACGCGATCAAAGTGAAGCTGAAGCTGTACCGCTTCCCCATGAGCGACTGCGCCAACACCTCGTCGGCCAGGATGTGCGGGAACACGCTCTCGATAGTCGCTCGCGAGATCTCGAGCGTCGTGACGCCGTGCGTCCTCACCACCTGGACGTCCCTCCCCTCTGCCTGAAGCTGCTCGTAGTGGTCTACCAGCTCCACGCTGTCGAGCTGGCACACGACGCTCTTGTGGTACACGGAGAGCAGTTCCCACTGCTTCATGAGGTGCTCAATCCCCGTAAAGTCCGGCGTCTTGAGCCCTTCATCGAACGTCGAGAGGAGGAAGTTCCTGGTCTCCGCTGCCTGTCGAGGGGCTCCAATGGGGTCGTAGCCTCGCGCCATGCAGCGGTAATACGTCTCCATGACCCGCAACGCCGCTGCTTGTGCGTGCTGATGAGTAACTAGCCCCCGTGCGTTGAAGAGCGTGAGCCGTCGGTCCAATTCGTGGATCTGCTCCTGAAGTCGTCGGGTCTGTGCGAGTCCCTCTTTGATCTTGCGGAGCCGCAGCTTCTTGGAGTTGGCGCAGTTCTTGGACTGCACGCGACGGTGAGCGTGAAGGGCCTTGGTGCCTACTGGCACAGGCCTCGCCTTCCTGCGAGGAGAGCTCGACAGCAGCCACTTGCTGAACATGACGAACGTCGTACTATGAGAGACGGTACGGGAATGGCCCACCAAGCATCCGTTACTAGACCCATCGAAGGAAGGAAGGATCTCATGAGATGCGAATTGGCGAACGACTTTAAGTCCATTGATCATCGACGTCTTTCACGCTACGTGGACACGCACTGGTCTCTCCTTCTGGATGCTGGGGGCTCTAGCCAGCTGCGGGTAACTATTTGGCCAGGGGGCTAACTGACTCAGACCCACTGGTTCTTGACGATGTCCAGGCGACCATCGATCACGGTCTTCCGGTACGGGAGGTGGCGTGGAGTTGATGAACCTTCAGCGTCTTCGTCGTCGCTGTCGTTGAGAGGCAGCGCGTTGACAAGCAGCAATCGCTCATGACTACCGCAAGTCGTCTCGGCGAATCCACACTGGCTCGGCTTCCTCTTGGTTTGACGCTCATCGAGGGAAAACTCTGAGCGCTGGATCTCCTTGCGTCGTTCCTCCTCCAAGTCGGTGACGGAAGACAGCGAGCTCGATATGCTGGTGCCGGAGAAAGCGGGAGATCGCGAGGTGGCGCGTGGACGCTTGAGATCGTGGCTCTGTCGTGGACTTGAGGCGCGATGTCTGGTCGGTGTTGTGTCGGTCGCAGCAGACGCCACCTTGGAGCGGTTCCTCCAGGCCGTCAGCTCTTGCTGGGCAAGCGTGTAGCATCCTCGAAGAGTTCTCGCTGCGCTGTTCGTGGCTTGACTTCTCCACTGCGTGAACTGGTGACGACGGACCGCAAACACTCGTCGGCCTCCGTCGAAGCGCAGCCTTACGCGCTTCTTGCCAAGTGTTGTCGGCCGATCAGCGCTACCCTCTTCCTGCTCTCGCTCTACAAAGCTGTCGTCTAACACGCATATCTCGCTGTTGATACGAGTCGCCTCCGCTGTCTCTGGCGCTTCTTCGCTGGTTGCCATGCTCGACGCGCGGTTCCTCTGTCGCTTCGACCGCGCTAGCTCCACCATTGCTCGCAGCGCTACCACGGGGCCTACCATCCGCATGCTGAAGGAGTGTTGCCACCTTGGTCAACGGAAGGGAAGTGATGCCGAGCGCGAATAAGGATTTCGAGGAAAGGACGCAATGCTGAGGACTTGGTTGGGGGTCCTCGCGAGACAATGCACAGCATGGCCAGCCTCTCTCTGCAGTCAGGAGCAAGAAGATGAAAGGACGACTACAATGACGTAGATAAGCACGCACGGATCAAAATTCCATAATGAGTTGGCGTTACCTGAAGCGCAGTAGACATCTACGCGAGCATTGCTAGGCGCTTGGCGCGGATTTCCAGTACGTTCGGTAAACGCAGCGATTCTTCCTCATTGTCTTCTTTGCTGGCAGCTTGATGAGCAGTCATTTGATTTCGTCTCTCAGTTTGAAGAGCCTTGGCGGTGCCATTCAGAGCTTCTACACTCGCACTGCCACTGCTTGCGTTACTTGCCACCTCGGGGTCCAGTTCGCGACGCACACCACGCTGTCGGAGACTCTCCTTGCTCCGACGCAGCCCTTCGTCGAATTCCTCAGCCGAGATCGTGAGTAGCGATCCGTCCACCTCCTCGAGAAACGCCACGCTTGACACCAAGTGCGTGAAAAAGTAGCCAGGCTCTGACACCAACTTGCTCGGACTCCGGTACTCCAAGATGTAGGCGACGTTCCGCTTGAGCTCCGCCGGGTTGGCGCGTAACACCACGTAGATCAGCGCGGGCAAAAATTCGTCCGCGGACGGGAACCGGCCTCCGTTCTGCGACTTGAGGAAGATCGTCAGCTCCTGGCACACGCGCAGCACGGCGTCCATCTTGCGTCGAGGACTGGGGCATAGCGTCATTGCTTCCAATTGGCTCGACAAACGAAGCCATGTTTGCTCCTGCTCTTCAGTCTTCGGCACGGGCAGATCTAGATGCTTGAAGGTGACGAAACCCAGCAAACTCAGGCGTTCATGCAGCGCTTCATCTTGCAGCGCAACTTCGTCGGACGGAGTCAGCGTCTTGGCATACAGCTTCTCCATCAAGAACGCCTCCAGCACTTCGTGCAGCAGGCCCACTCCGTACTCGTCTCTCACGTGCAGGAACCTGCTCTGTGACTGCATCTGCGTCTGCACCTGTAACTCCTCACCCTCCTCATCTCCACGCAGCAGCTTCCTGAGCTTGCCACTGTGCTTGATCTGCTCCACGAGCTTCTTGACAAAGTCCTGCACCTTCCCGCCGGGTCGATCTCTGGTCGCGATGGCTCTCAGCATGAGCGGCAGGTCCCAGAGCTCCGCGCGCTTGACGAACGACTGGATACGGTACACCAGCTCGGCCGCCTGCGTGTTCTTCAGCAGCGCCACCAGCTCCCTGAAGCCCACCAGAAAGGCCATCTCCCGGTCGTGGCCCGTCAACTTCCTCGTCCTCGGGCTGTGCGAGCGCTGCCACTGATCCAGCAGCGCCTCCTGCTCGCGCAGCTCCTGGAACAGCGTGCAGTAGCGTCTGGTAGAGTTCGGAGCGTCCGCAGCGGTCTCTGCCGCCTCTTCCGTGAGCTGCATGTCGTTGGCCAAGATCTTGAGCTTGAGCTCGTCCAGACTGGCGAAAAACCTGCTCAGCTCCTCGTTGACGCCCTCCAGAGCGTCACGACAATGGCTGGGGATGGCTGAGACTGCTAGAGATCCAGGAAACTCGCTGGAACCAGCTGAAAGCGCCTGGTTTCGTCGTTCTTCGGCTCCGTCGATCCAGGAGACGCGGTTTGTGCGGGCAGCTAGCAATAACTCGCTCCGCCGCTGCTCAGACAGCACGTAGGACGGCGTGGAGAGTACGGTTGGAGCCGCCGCGATCTCAGCGTTTTGGGACGACCGGCGAGACGCGTCCGCGTGCCCTGTAGCCGACGCATTCGACGGCTTCGCGCCGCCGCCAAGACCCCAGAACATCATTGTGCTGCTTGTTGGGACTATGGATACTTTTGATGATAAGGTATGAGATTCCAAGAGTATAATATTTGAGATCACCCTCCGCTTAAGTAACTTTAAGTACGACACACCAAAGGTATCGTATTTTCCAGCTTGACGCGAGCATCAAGACCATGGCGTTCTTCGGCAAGCTCCTGATCGCTGTGGGCGCGCTCCTGCTGGTGCACGCGGGCTACTACTCAGTGCAGTGTACGCTCCCGTCCTTCCTCTCTCTAACGCAGTCTCTTTCCCCGCATTTAACGCTGTATTAACCGCGTTATTGGCGCTGCAGATGAGTCGTACGTGAAGCTGGCGGAGACGGCCGACGCGCAGATGCCGCCCTTCGAGGTGCGTTTTCGACCAATCCGAGATGAGGGAAGCGGATTCTGGGGTGAACTGATTGGGTAAAAATCTATTTTTGACACTTGCAGGTCGTCGTGGAACTCGTGGCGTCCTTCCTCATCTCGCTGGTGGGCGTGCTGCTCACGTCTGGGGAGATTATGCCCATCCGGTCCAACGACGCGATGCACTCGAGGTGCGGCCTTGAAACTTTGGCTGAAAACGAACAAGTTTTGAGCTCAGGAGACTAAAAGTCATGGTTGTTATTGCTGCAGGTCGCTGGCCACCGTCGTCTCGAGCCCGGACTTCTACGTGTTCAACCACCGCGGCAAGGCGCTGCACAAGCGCATTATTTCATAGAGAGGAGACAAGGGTCAAGGTTGGGGACAATAGCTGGAGGAGACTTTCTTCGAGGATACCAGCCTGCAACACCCAGTCGACGCAGACAAACAACATGGCTACGTTAGATGAAGTGCACTGCTTTCGGTCTCAATTTCGTTTCTCCTCTCGTCGCCTTCTTGCCAGTCAAGAAAGATGAGTGTGCGGGCAGCCCTGATGTACGGCATCGTCGAGAACGTCGCTAACTCCTTGCTGCAACCTTGCTTCACCCCACGCTCAGCAATTTCTCACACGACACATCTTACGGTCTGTGCGTGTCACAATTAGCAACTGGCCTGAAGTTGTGTCGTGGTGTCGAATGCGTCGAGAGTGTGGAGCGTTAATCTTTGGAAGGCGAGGGGCATAGCTCCACCGGTCAGTGCTAAATCCACGGACGCGGAACTGAAGGCCAGGGCAATGGGTCTGGCGGCAAGCCACATGGACGACGAGTACGCCAAATTGGCACTGGGACTGGGCGGGCTTACCGGAAACACACTGAAGCAGCACCAGAACTACAGGTTCTACCAAACCTACTTGGATGGAATAGCCACGCAACAGTAGCGGAGGTATCGAAGGTAACATTAGTGTGAAGCAAAATCAACACGAGATACCGTGTCGCCAATGCGATCTTGAACTTCTACAAGGCGTTCTTGCATTCCACTCTTTTAAACGGATACTACGTAGTATGAAGTTTTGGATTGGCAAGTACTTGCGTACTCGCTCCCAGAGCAAAAGTGAGCAGTTCTATTTCTCCGTCTCAGTTCTGCGTGGACTGCCGTATTGACACGATGCTCTCTACTCGGATAACAGGAACTCGGCAGCACCATCCAGCACCTTCACCACGTCGTTGACGTGTGCCTGAATAACCTCCGCACTGTCGTGGAAGGCGATGCCGTCCGCCAGACCCGGGAACGCTGTGCCTCCGTAGCCATCGTAGAATCCAGGGCCAAACACCACGTGCTTGTACCAGCCACGATGTGGTAGACCAGACTCCAGCGTAAGGTGGCGCTCCAAGTACATGAGCTTCTCGTTCCAGTAGCTGAGGTCGGATCCAGGTTGCAACTCGTCCAGCTTTTCGTGAAATTCCTGGACGTTGGCGTCGAATTTCGCAATAGCTCGACGTAGCTCGGTGAAGTCGACGGTATCAACTCCATGGTAGCGCTCCGCTTCGACCTCCAACGCTGCCTCGAACGACGTCACAGCCTCATTCATCACGAACGCGTACGTAGAGAACTCGAACGGAAACACGGCGTTATCTGCGAGACGCAGAGCCAGGAGCCCCCACCAGCGGCCAGTTGTCACGTGCGAGATGTAGTCCGGATCCGCGAACAGCTCCGAGTACATGATACTGTCCATGGTGCTGTGGTAGGTGCCGTACGCTCCAGGCAGGTTAAAGCCGATGTTGGCAGACACCACGCCTAAGTGGTGGCAGAAGGCTCCAAAGTCACTCGCAGTCCCCAGCACAGTCAGGAGGTGGTCTGGGCCGATGGTGCCGCTGGTGGCGTTGCTGAGACGGTAGGACTCCGTTTGAGCGAGCCACTGCTGGTACAGCGTCTTCTGTTCGACTGCAACGCCCCCGAAAGCGTTGGCTGGGATGGCGTTCGCAGTCTGGAAGAGGAGCTTGGCGATCGATGGCGACCCACCGGCTCCTGCAAGAGGGCCTAGTGTTGTGTCGACATTGAGGTAGGCGATGGCGTCGTCTTTCAGCTGCTCTGCGTTCTCCTCGACGAACTCGGTGCTGCCGATAAGTCCCTGCTCTTCGGCATCCCACGACGCAAGGACGATCGTGCGTTTGGGTCTCCATCCAGTCTTCAGCATCTCCCCGAACACGCGTCCTAGCTCCACAAGTACCGACGTGCCGCTGTTGGGGTCGATGGCTCCGCACACCCACGCGTCACGGTGGTTGCCCAGGATGACCTGCTTTTCCGGCTCCTCAGCGCCCTCAATAGTGCCGATGACGTCCCAAATGGGACCAATTGAGTTGTCCATTTCCAAGTCCAAGTTCACCACCGTGGAGCCATCGTCACCAATGTGGTAGCCATCAGGGAACGACAGGCCTCCCTGCCAGCTCGCAGGCGCTTGTTGGCCCTTCAAGGCCTTCAGAATGTGCTTCGTCTGGCCGTATGACAGCGGCAGCGACGGCAAGTGCGGGATCGTCTTGACATCTTCATACTTGAGGTACTTAGCACCAAGAACCGACGCCCACCCAGGAGTCAGGGGATCTCCACACTCGTTGTAGATTGACCCACGCTGGAACGAGTTCTCCGGCCGCCACGGACCTTCAGGGTACACGGGGCCCTTGCTGTACCCGTCATCTAACGGATCAGAGTAGATCAGCACCCCCGCCATGCCGTGTTCCAGCGCCGCTAGCACCTTCAGGCCTCGGTAGTTGGTCCCATAGCGAACCAGCGCGATCTTCCCCTTGAGGTCGATCCCTTGGTCCACCAGCCACTGGAAATCCTGCTGCGTACCGTAGTTCGCGTACACGACCGACGCCGTCATGTTGCCCGATGGCGAGTACGCCAAGAAGGGCGGCTCTGCAGTGGCATCCGTCGTACAGGCGTCTACTGCCACTGAGCCCTCGGTCAAATCCAGCTCCTGGGCGGCTTCTTGCGGCTCGAGGATGGCGAGACGACGACGCACTGGCGTGGACAGCAGCGTGTAGTACTCCTTGATCTCCGTCTTGATCCCAAAGGACTTGAGCTTCTCCACAGTGTACAGCGCCGTCTCGTAGTCCGCCTTGGAGCCGGCAATGTGCGGCTGGCGCGAGTACACGTGAAGATACTCGCGGATACGCTCAGCGTCCACCCCATCGACAAGTTGCCGCTCCACGTCGTTCAGCTCCGTCTCGAGTGCCACGCTATGGAGCAACGGACTGTCCCCAGCGGCGGCTGAATTCACGCTCTGCAGCGTCTGGAAGCCGCTGGACGTCTCGTACCCGGCCACTAGCAGCACACCAGCGAGCCCCGCGACGCGAAACAGCGAAGACTTGAGAGACGAAGTGGATGGAAGGCTTGGCAATGCATCGGCATTCACTTGGCGGCCGTCGAAGGTGCCGTAGATGTCGCTGGAGTCGCTGTCCATGTGCTGCGGACGTCAACGGAGACTTTGCTGGACGCGCGCAAATTCGGGAATGACAAGCGTATCTTCCGCACGAAAGGATGCGTCGACATCATAGGTACACTCATCATGGGTACAGCCGGGATTGCTCAACATGGCTACAGTCTAGTTGAAGTGAAAAGTACGAAGTATTCTTTGATACGTTTATCTTCATAACCCACAGACGGCATACACACGGGCAATTCCTCTCTTCCTTAGGCGGCGGTGGCCTGTTGGTGCTGCTGGTTCTCGTGGACTTGCAGCTCGCGTCGCAGGATCTTGCCGGTGGCGCTCTTGGGGATCGCGTCGATGAACTCGACCTGGCGAACCTTCTTGAAGGGGGCGACCTTGGAGGCCACAAAGTCCATCACGTCCTCCTCCGTGAGTCCCGCCGCGTTCGTGGGGTCCTTGAGCACGACGTAGGCCTTGGGGATCTCCTCGCCAAACGCGTCCTTCCCTCGCACGCAGCAGGCGTCGGAGATCTGCGGGTGGTGGTTCAGCACGTCCTCCAGCTCGGCCGGCGCCACCTGGTGGCCCTTGTACTTGATCAGCTCCTTGACGCGGTCGACGATGAACACGAAGCCGTCCTCGTCGATGAAGCCGATGTCACCGGTACGCAAGAACCGGTCCTCGGTGAACACGCTCTTGTTCGCCTCGGCGTTGTTCGTGTAGCCCAACATGACCTGCGGACCCTTGTACAGCAGCTCGCCGTGCTCGCCCACGCCCAGATCCTTGTCGGTGGCTGTGCATTTCACGCGAAGCTGGGTGTTCGGCAACAAGCGACCAACACTTCCCTGGATGTGGCGAAATGGTAAGGTGTTGTCAGTAAACTAGCCCCAGTAAGTGCTCAAGTATTCGAATCAATCACTAACCGGCTTGCGATACGCATCTTCAGCGTAGTTGACAGCAGGAGAAGCTTCGGTCATTCCGTAGGCTTGCTTCACAGTGACCTTCAGTCGGTCCTTGACCAACTTCTCTACCTCCTTGCCCATCGGCGCGCCGCCAGACACGAGGAATTCGGTTGACGAGATATCGTATTTCTCAACCAGGGGGTGGTGAGCGAGGAAGAGTGCAACAGGCGGGGCAATGTGTGCCGCTCGGATCTACAGAGACGATGAGCGATTCGATTAGTCGTCATTGCAACCCGTCAAGCATTGTGCAGCGCCAATAACGCACCTTGTACTTGGACAGCGCGTTCAGGAACGTCTCCGGCTCGAATCGCGGCAGCACCACCTTGGCAGCGCCTTGGTACAACGACAAGTGCAGCAGCATCATGCCGTAGATGTGGAAGAACGGCAGTAGTCCGAGCGAGTATCCGCCCAAATCCTCGACGTGGTCGACTTGGAACGCGTTTGACAGAATGTTCTTCGCACTCAATGCAACGCCCTGATGTACATCCGTACAGCAATGTCAGTCTGAAGTCCTCATGGTTCAACACGTTCCTAAAATCACATTGAGCCCACCCACCTTGGGGACGCCAGTCGTTCCGCTGGAGAACGGCAGGAGCACGTTGCTCTCCGGGTCGATCTTCTCGAACTGGAACGAGGGGTCGTCATGCTGGACCAGGTCACTACAAAGCAGCACAATTAGCCAAAGTTTACCCCCAATTCAAAGAGGCTGGAGACGTACTCGATGCTGGAGAGTCCTTCCTCCGTATCTTTGCCGTGTCCCATAGTATAGATCAACTTCTTCTCAACGCCGCACAGCTCCGCCGCTTCAACAGCTGTCTTCTCCAGCTCCTTGTGCGTGATAATGTACCTGGCCTTGGCCGCCTTGATCTGCACCGCCAGCTCGTCGGGCAGGAACATGGGCGACGCGGGGGAGCACACGGCGCCCAGCGACGTCAGCGCCAGCACCGCCGTGGGGTAGTCCAGGCAGTTGAACGAGTGCAAGATCACGGCGTCGCCCTTCTTGACGCCGTCCTTGGCGAGCGCGATGGCGAGCCTCCTGGCGCGCTCGTGCAGCTGCTGGAACGTGATGCGCTCGTGCGTGAGGCCGTCGATGAAGGCCGGCTTGTCCGCGTGGACGCTCAGCTGGTCGCTCACGATGTCCCAGATGGTCTTGTCCGGGATGTCCACCTCCGGGTGCGGCGACTCGTGCACGATCACGGAGAAGGAGCGGAACGTGAGCGGAGACGACGACGCAGATAGCGGCCCGGGCCGCCGCAGGATGCGCGGGGCGGCGGCGCCACTGCGCAGACTGGAGCGAGCGGACGCGGCGCGGAGCAGACGGCGAGCGAGCATTGGTCGGAGGAGGACAAAGGGGCGGGATATGGAGCGACGTGGGGGCTCGGGGGTGAATTCGCGACTGAAATGACGCACGTCGAGCAGTGCGGCGACTTGTCCGAGTTGAACTTGGCGTGTCGGTTCGAATTTGGGCCAATCGGAGCGGAGAGATTGAGGGTAGATTGGTAAATATTAGGGGTAGATATGTAGTTTTGGCGTCTGTTAAACAGGTTGAAGTTGTCGTGATATCGTTAATCAGCGCCGTTTGCAAATCAATGTCACCGGGACAAACCGCCAAATGGGACTCGGAGCGGTCTCGGCATCTGCGAACTGGAGCAATTTGGAGCCCGGCTGGCAAAAAGGCTTCGTGGTGGCTGAGACCAAGGGGCGCTGGAGGCGGGCGGTGTGGTGTGAGCTGCTGGCGCAAATGACGGCGTCTGCTTTGGAAAGGAGCATGATGCTAAGTTGCTAGAGTCGGCTCCGGCGGGCAAATGGATCCAACTGTGCAGGGGCATGTACAGTGTACAGTGTAGCCACCAGGAAGCAGAAGATGAGCGAGGCGGGCTCGTTTAGTGTTAGCGTCGCAGTCGAGGCACATTGCTAGGAAGGAAAACCAATTCTGAAGTCGAACGCAGATCCCATTGATGACATCGCCTGGGACTCGTCTAGAGTCTCCCAGTGCATTAGTTTCCCCAACCAAACACCAAACAGCGATAAAGTTCATTGATTACGCATGGTAGCAGTGTACGTAGACCACACCGAAAAGGTCTACGTTGACGTTGTTGAAGTTGCACTGTTCCCGCGCAGTCCATTTGTGCAACGTACATCTCATTGCTACATGAAGGCGCTCAAGAACAGAGAAGCAGGTCATCTTGGGTGACCACCGCGATGCGTGGTTGTGTGGATCTATTGACACTAACAGCGGTGCACTTTGGTTTTCCTTTTCTATTATCATAAGCTTAGGTATGCGTAGGGTATTTTGTACGGCTCTATTCTACGACGGACTCCAGCTAGCTAACTATTAGCCTGGCATGGCCCCGCGACGCTCAGTTGGACATGAGGTCGAGGTCGTTGCCGATGGCCTCCATGGTGTCCAGGTAGAAACTGTCGAGCTCGTGGTCGATGTCGGTGAATTTGTACTCGTCCATCAAGGTCTCGAACTCGGGCGGGTGCTTCTGGTCGCGAGGCGTCATTCGACGCCGCGCCGCGGATGCACCGGGCCGAGACGAAGACCCGATAGGAGATGGCGATGGCAGCCAGGACGAGGAGAACGGCGTGGACTTGCCACCAAAGCACTCATCTACCACCGCAGCTGCAGCAGAGCGTGGGGTCGTGCCACTGGTGAAGAAGGAGCCCCCTCCGAACGGAGACTTGCGAGCGCTGATAAGAGGCGTCGCTGCAAGCTGGTAGAGCTCGTCCCCGTGGCCACCATCGCTACCGTCGAGGTTGGTCTGTTCCAAGAAGTGGCTCAAGCCTTCCTGCTCGATGCTGCTGGTGCGAATGAGTCGCGGGTGGTCGAGTTTCGAGTCCTGTTCGTCGTTCGACTGCCTGCTGCTGTTGCTGGTGGTTGAGCTGGCGTTCGACTGCTGTGAGGACGACATCAAGGGCATTTCAGCGAGTCGCGGAGTCGGAAGGTCAAGGAAAGTATCTGCGTAGCCCCCTGCTCCGGTCAGATCGAAGTCCTGTCCCCAGAGATGCCTCGTGCTCGTACATGAAGCGTCCACACGGAAATTGGACGGCGTTCCTACCCCCGGGAACCCTGAAGAGCCTGACCCCACGCTGTAATCGAGATCAAAGTCATCAAACGTCGCTGAGCCGCAGTTGAGCTTCCGGCGCGGAGTGCGCGGCTTCGGTTGATCGATATCAAGCGCCAGGCAGTGCGTCGGTCGCTTCTTTGATCCTGCTTTCGTGGTCCTTTTCGGCCGAGCCTTGGTCTTCTTCGTGGTGGTGGCGGCTACCGGGTCCGGTGAGGCTAACGGGAAGTCTCCGTCGAGAGAAGACGACATGAGCCGCGAGAACGACGGAGACTCGAGCTCGAAGCAACCTAATCCACTGAAGAGCATCGAGGGCTGCTGCAGTGCCAGCGCGTCCGCATCGCTCATGGCAATCTGACTGTCCACGATCAAGCCCGAAGACATCGTGGCGAACTGACTGTGTCGGTGCGCGTTGCGCTGGTGAGCGTTCAAACTCTTCTCGAGGGCCGCAGCACTCAGCTGTGTGGCATTTCGTCCGTTCTTCGAGCTTGTTCGCGATGCTCCACTGCGACTCCGACTGCCGCGTTTGGCCGAACTGCTCCTACTGTTGCTGCTCGACCTGCTATTGCTGTTGGACCTGCTGCCGTTATTCGAGTGGGTTCCTGTGGCTGAAGGGGGCAGCGGGTTTCCGTTGCCTATCGGTCCTCCGAGTCCTGCTGCTGCGGCCATCCGCCTCTTTTGCAGGTTGGCGACCCACTGGTCCCGAATCGCATTTCCTGTCGAGGGCTTCCCCGCAGCTTCGGTCTCCAGCATCTGACTCTGCGATTCACACAATGTGAGCTATTATCTCCCGAGTTATCCCGTGATCAAGCTGGAGAACGCACCCTGTGAGCGACGGAAATGGGAGACAGCAGAATCGGCGCGGGGGCCGTCGCTCCGTGAACATCGGGCGTGCTCTTCGAAGCACTTGGCGGGGCGGTGACCATCGTTATTCTGTTTTATCAAGAGCTTGCTTCCGTTTCTTTACTCGTCGCTCGACGGCTTTCGGTGCAACTCAAAATACAAGTGGCAGTCCGGCGCGGCAGATAGACGATGAGTTCGGATGTGAGCGAGGTCAACGGGGCCGAGTGCACAGTGCAAAGCGAGGAACTGCTGGCTTGAGGATTCCGATGGGAAGTTTCGGGTGTGCGCCGTCCCATTGGAGCGCTGCTAGTGACCATGAGCGCAGGCCTCGTTTCACACAGGGAGGTGAACGAAACTTGAAACGACTCGATGGAAAAGTGGCCTCGTCGCGGGCAAGTACTTCTGCAACACGCACAACTACACGATAGATAGGGCGGTAATGCTGGCCGATCCGTTACGCCGCTGCTTCAGTTCGTTACGTCGACTTTATGGGACCTCGCCCGAGTCAAGCCGTTGAGATGCAGGCAAGAAGTAGGAAGCGAGGGCTCAATTCAGGACAGTGAGCATGGGGAAGGAAACCGGTGTGTTTTCTTCCGAGCTTTCTGTCCTCCTTCCCGGTCGGGGCCCCTGCCACTCTCTCGACGTGGCTTTCGTGGCTTCTCATGGGCCCCCAGACACGCCACTAACGAAGTTATCGTTCGCCTTTGTGGTAGGTGTTAACGGCACTATCCTGCGGGTCATTAGGTCAAGGGATAAGATCTCACGCGCACCGTTGAACGTTGGCGCTCGATCAAGACCCGAGCCGGGCCGGCTGAGCGACGCGGCACCTGGCCCACACACGGGGAATTCAATAGTCCACGGCGCTAGACCCACGGGCTGCACTTGGCCGAGGCCGTTTTCGCCCCGGTACTTCACCAGCAGCAGGCCGTTAGTAGAGCCGCTCGAGGAAACGATCCCCTCACCACTCACCAGTTCGTTCACTGGCAAGCAACGTGACATGGAGAAGGGCCGCCCCAGTCACTCACCTTGAAGGCAACGGCGAGCGCTGGTAAGCCAGCGCTGCCACACGGGCACACGCTAGCGGAATGTAGCAGCGCCGGACTAAAAAGTTCGTTACAGCCGAGAGATGGCTACATTCCGACAACTTCAACATGCTCGTCGAGCATCGAAACGTCGAATGACTACCCTGTAGGAGATTAATGACTGCCAGGTAGTCATGTGAGCGCCAATGACTACTCCGTAGACAAGACTTTACTTCCAGGTAGATGCTACCCTACAGCTTCTCCAGTCGCCAAGACCCCCCCCCCGTCTTGACCATGCCAGGCCTGACCCCCGAGCAGCTCGCGGCCTTCGAGCGCGACGGCTTCCTCGTGATCCCTCGGGCGCTGTCGCACGCTGTCTGCGATGAGCTGCGCGCCAAGGCGGGCGAGTACGTGGCGCAGTGCGACGTGAACGCGCACCGCTCCATCTTCACCACGAACGAGCAGACGCGCCGCATGAACGACGAGTACTTCCTCGAGTCGGGCGACAAGATCCGCTACTTCTTCGAGGAGCACGCGTTCGAGGCCGACCGCAAGACGCTGGCCGTGCCGCTGGATGTAGCCATCAACAAGATCGGCCACAACCTGCACAACCTCGACCCCGTCTTCCACAAGGTCAGCTACGCGCCGGAGGTCACGGACATCCTCAAGTCGCTGGGCTACGTGCGCCCCATGGCCGTGCAGTCCATGTACATCTTCAAGCAGCCGAGTATCGGCGGGGAGGTCAAGCCCCACCAGGACGGCAGCTACCTCTACACGGAGCCGCAGTCCGTCGTGGGCTTCTGGTGGGCGCTCGAGGACTGCACGCTCGAGAACGGCTGTCTGCACGGCGTCCCGGGCTCGCACTTGACGGTGCCCGTGCGTCAGAGGCTCAGAAGGACGACCAAGGAGCAGCAGGAGCAGAATGGTGGTTTGCTGCTGGAGAACGTACCGGAGACAGTTGAGCCCTTTGATGTGAGGAAGAGCCAACCGCTGATCACGAACAAGGGGGACTTGGTGCTGTTGCACAGCTCCTTCGTGCACTACAGCGAGGCCAACAAGTCCCCGCACTCGCGCCACGCCTACTCGATCCACGTCGTGGAGAGCCACAGTGTGGCCTACCCCGCGGACAACTGGCTGCAGACCACGGGCAACGTGCCCTTCAAGCCCATGTACGAGAGCTAACATCTTACGGTATGAATGTGAGTGCAAGTTTGAGGAGTGGAGCAGAGTGGTTAATGAGAAACACGAGCTCACTTGAGGTTTTATGCTTCTAACCCTTTAGTAACCATTCAGCGGCGTTGTTGACGATCCGAGCCACTTCATCAACGTGCTCCTGGATCGTAGTCGCGTTGTCCTTGAAAGCCACGCAGTCAGAGATGCCGGGGAAAGCTGCTCCAGCGTAGCCCTCGTAGAATCCTGGGCCGAAGATCACGTGTCTGTACCATGGTCGGTGAGGGAGGCCAGCTTCGGCGATGAAATGGCGCTCCAGCTGCACAAGTTTCTCGTTCCACACTCGGAGAACACTTTCATCGAGCTCAGCAGTCGAGTTTGTCTCAAAGGCGGCGAGTTTCGAGTGAAAATCGGTTGCACTGCCACTAAAGCGGTCGATGGCTTCGTGAAGCGCAGCAAAGTCGACGCCAGTGATCTTCTCTTCAAGTCGAGCGAGGTCTTCCTTCATAACGACAGCGTACGTCGTGTAGTCGAAAGGAAGAACTCGGTTATCCGCTAGACGAAGACCCAGCAGCCCCCACCAACGAGCAGTCGAGACGTGAGTGGAGTAGTTCGGATCTCCGTACAGCTCAGCGTACATCAGACTGTCCATGGAGCTGTGGTACACGCCATACTGCGCGTGGTTGGAGATCGCAAAGCCCATGTCGACCGAAATGATACCGAGGTGCTGATAAAACGCCGAGTAGTCCGAGCCCGAGCCCAACAGCTTGATCAGATGATCCGGTCCCAGAGTTCCGTCGTCCGCACCGTTGAGTTGTGCACGCTTCACTTCAGTCTGAGCGACCCATTGCTCGTATAGTGTCGACTCCGTCTCGTTCCCGTAAAACTGGTTGGCTGGTAAATCTTTCGCGGTGTTGAAGAGGAACGCAGCGATGGACGGACTCGATGCCGCATACACCAACGGTCCAATAGTCGAGTCGACGTTCAGATAGGCAACAGCCTGCTTGGTTAGAGCTTCGGTGTTGTCCTCCGCGTACTCTGTGCTGCCCAGCAGACCAGGCTCCTCGCCATCCCACGAGCCGAGAACGATCGAGCGTCGAGGCTTCCAACCTTGTTTCAGCAGCTCGCCCAAGCCTCGAGCAATCTCTAACAGCACCGACGACCCGCTACTCGGATCGATCGCTCCACAGACCCAGGCGTCACGGTGGTTGCCCAGAATCACCTGCTTGTCCGGTTCCTCTGCGCCTTCGATCGTCCCGATGACGTCCCAGATAGGACTGACCTTGTTATCCATCTCAATATCGAGATTGACGACGGTATTAGCGTCGTCGCCAATGCGATAGCCCTCAGGGAAGCTCAGCCCTCCTTGCCAAGCCGCTGGAGCTTTCATTCCGCCCAGTGATGCCAGAATGTGCTTCGCTTGGCCATAGGAAAGCGGTAGTGCTGGAATATGAGGAATGGTCTTGGCGTCTTCGTAGTCGAGATAGGGCACTAAATGAAATAATTAAACAAAATTCTAAAATAAAATATAAAATAAAATATTCTTTAATATTTTTATTAATTATTTCATAACTCTTTTAATAAACATTGATGTTTGATTTAATTTAATAAAGTAATTAATTATTTACTTAAAGAAAATGAAATAAAATTAATCTTAATTATTAAAAGTTCACTAAAAGATACTTTTTTTAATCATGAACTTTCTTTTTAGGAATTTCAAATATATTTTTAAAATTTAATTTTGTCGATATAATGTTTTAAAAAATTTAAAACAAAATTTTTTTAAAGTAAAATATCTTTTGCACACCACCGCGGCGAGACGACGGCCTGCCTGGACATGCGCACGGGGTGCGTGGGCGACATGCAGGCGCAGGGCATTCGCGAGGCGCTCAAGAGCAAGAAGCAGGTGCTGTTCTCGGCTGCCGAGGCCGCCGAGATGATTCAATACAATTATAATTAAAGGAATAAAATGTGCCATAAAAATAAAACTTTTAACATTTAACATAGTCCAAGCAAAACCTGCAATTACTTTTAATAAAGTATGACTTTGAAACAACATTTTTAATACTAAAAAATGGAATTAATATTTTTAAATTACAAACAAACGATTTTGGAGTTAATTATATTGATCCCACAGAGTAGTTAAATTTTGTTTTAATATTAAAGATTTATAATCTAATTTTTTAATAGTTTTTTTAACAATATAATTTCGTAGGTTTTATCTTAAGAGGATTTACTTCAAATATGTTAAATAATATTCCATATATTTTATTATATGTTATTATTTATATTATAACAAGTATTAATTTATGGACTTCTTATTTATCTTTAAATATTAATCATAAACCTATTTAATATTAAACCGATTTATTAAATATCACCATTATCAACTAATCTTTGTTTCTAAATTCTATTATTAGTAAACATTTCTTCAATTTCATCTAATCTAGTATTAAATTGATTTTTCAGGAAATTTTTAATAATAATTTCGAAAATATTATTCCCGAATTTTTTTTAACAACTAGAGGTACCATGTAAATTTTTTTTAATTTTTAATTTTTTTAAATGAAGATATTTATTAATTTTATAAACAATTAATTGAATATTATAGGGATTATTTTTTTTTAAATCTTGTTTTTTTTTATGATTTTGTTGACCATTGTTTTAAAAGATTACCATTATGTCTTGTTAAACTAATAATAGTATTTTTTAAACTAGCTGTAATATGTATATTTGCTAAAATTAAATGATTTGTTTTTTTATTTTTACTTTTTTAAATTTATTTCGTAAATTATATTTAAATTTATTCAAGAACATGCTTATGTTTTAGCTGTTGAAAAATTATTAAATTGTGAAATTCAATTACGTGCACAATATTTTCGAGTTCTTTTTTCTGAAAATACCCGAATTTAAATCACTTATTATCTGTTTGTTGTCATGCTTTAATAAAAATAAATTTAAATATAATTTTAGAAATTAATTTAAAAAAAGTAATAAAAAAAATCCTGCTCCAGATATGGCTTTTCCTCGTATGAATAATATTAGTTTTTGGTTATTACCGCCAGCTTTATTATTATTAGTTTCATCTGCTTAGTGGCGGCGTCCACGGCACCTTCGACTCGGCCGTTCCCGTTCACTCCACGCGGTCGAGACTCAATGGCTCGAGGGTGTTGAGACGAGCGGCTGGTGTCGCCACTCTGCTCTTCTTAGCTGTCGCCGGGTATTCAGGCGTAGTCTCCAACAACGAAGTCGTAGACGTGTCCAACATAGTGCAGGACAATGCCGCCATCGCTGCTGTGTCGGAGCTCCACGGTGTTGAGAAGACGTTCGTGGACGGCGTGGATGTCGCCCACCTACGCGAATTCCAGCACAAGTTTTCCAGGTGAGTGAACTGTCGTGAGTGGCTTTGGAAGCAGGTTGAGACTTTCATATTGATACATGAATGAGTTTAGTGTCCCCCACGTTGCAGGCAGTCGGCAAGACTATGAGACGGCCTTGTACACAGCCGAGCAGTTCGAGGCGTTTGGATTGAAGACCGAGATCAAGACGTACTACACGTTGCTCTCGACCCCTGTACGCCGTCATCTAGCTATAGTAGGACCTGTTGAAGCTGCACGAAAGCTCAACTTGACGGAGCCATCGGTGGTCGGAGACGCGTGCACTAGTGACGACGACGCATTGCCGCCCTTCCTCGTGTACGCCGCCACGGGGAACGTCACAGCCTCTGTAGTCTACGTGAACTTCGGCAAGCCCGAAGACTTCGAGTGGCTTGTGGCCAGCAACGTGGCACTGGAGGGCAAAATCGCACTCGCTCGCTACGGCGGGAACTATCGGGGCCTGAAAGTCATGGCCGCGGAAGCGCACGGCATGACAGGAGTGCTCGTTTACTCGGACCCGAACGAAGATGGCTTCGTCCAGGGACCAGTGTACCCTGACGGTCCGTGGCGACCGGAAGACTCGTTCCAACGTGGAGCGACCATCTTCTTGTCGCTAGCCGCTGGAGACCCACTCACGCCTGGTTTCGCTTCTGTTCCTGGCATATACAAAAAAAATTCAAAAAAATATTAAAAACTATCTTATAATAAAATTATAAATCATTTAAATTAATATTTTTTAAATCATAATATTAAATTATTTATTAAAAATGTTCAATTTTTTGAAAAACTAAAAGGGCTTTTTATTAAATAATATAATTATTATATTATTTAATAAAAATAAGAAAAAATCGATATGTATTAAAAATTTTGATTATAAAGATGAAAAAAGTATACAAGAAACAGGTATTGTTCTTTCAATGAGTGATGGTATTGCTAGATGTTACCGTTTAACTAAAATTCTTTTTTTATATAGGACGTAAAAGTTCTGTATTTATAACCACTTTAACAACTTTTTTTAGTTGTCTTTTTTCATTAATTATTGATTAATTTTACCATTAGCACGTTGAAAACCTTTTGTTAGAGATTTAATTTTAAAAATTCGAGATAAATTTTTTTTTTAATAAAAATCTTAATAAAAATTTAATTTAAAAATGAAGATTGATTAATAAAAATGGAAATCATTATTTATGAAAACGATTTATTTTTGTTTTAAAGCTGGACTTTTATTTCTTTTTTTTCTAAACGTTGTATATAACTTGATCTTCCCGAACTTTGCCCAGGCCAAACTTCTTCCACGCGTTGAATGTGGGGACGCCCACTTGTTGAATTTAGCAAGTTCGGTCTCGGACCTCCAGTAGATGTAGTTCTCGTGCGACTTGAGAGCCTTCCCAGATAGCCCGTACAGCCCCAACGCTTTCTTGGCCTCAACTTCGCCGGCCGTGTCTTTCAGATTCATTCTTGACAAAAACTTGCGCACTTTCGACTTGGCCGCGGACAGGTCGACCCATGCTCGCTCTTCGTCGTCGTCTTCGTCAACCTGTGTGTGGACCCGAAGTGATCTTACCCCATTGAGATCCCGACCAGCTTTGGTCGAATACGAGGTGGCGGACGATCCCGTCTTGGCCTCGAGTGCTTCAGTCGCCGAGAGCGCATCAGCGAGACAGGAAAGCGCAAATACTACCACAAGCATCGCTTGTAGTGCGTACAGATAACGATGGAAAAATACGCTCCACCAAAAAATACGCCATGCGACAAGTCCCGACTTCTGATCCGATACAAAACAATGTTTGTATTTTAGCCAATCAGACGAACACGAGCTCGTATGTCTTACCAACCATTATCACCACTGGGGTCCGGACCGGGACCGGTCAACACTGGTGGTTTTCGATCAAATCATTGTAGTTATCTCACGTTTTGGGGATGAAATAACTGTTTATTTGACGAGGGGTCTTCTAGATGCTGGTTGGGCAAAATTACATCAAATTTTGCGGCTAGGGGCCAAGCCGCTAGACGCGCGCCAAGCCAGCACGGAAAGAAGAGACTCGAGTGCAGGGGGCAGCTTGGAACAATGGGCAGCACGGAGGCAGAGACTCGAATGCAGGTCGCCCTGAAGGAGTCTGTCCAGCGGACCTACGAGAAGGCCACTACCCTTCGACCTAAGAATACGCAGAGAGCATACAGCAGTCGGCAGCAGGAGTTCTTAGACTGGTGCTCGGAAAAAGAAGCAGCATTTAATAACCTGACCCGGTTTACAGTTACTGGTGAGAAGCTCCATCTCTTCCTACAAGAGCGCGTAATTGGCCGGACCAAGCGCCACAAGAGTGGAAGTACACTCAGCGACAGAAATGAAACCGTCGGACGTTCTACTGTGAACTCCTACGTTGCTGCGATGGTTGACCTATGGAAGCAGCAATCTCGGGCTAAAGTGAACAGCAATCCCTCCCCCAGAGACGAAGCTGTGACGACTCTATTGAAGTTGACAGAGTACGAAGAAGACGAGAGGAAGCGGAAAATTTTTGAGGACCGTGGAGCTGATACACTACTGGATGGCTATACGACAATCGGTCAAGTTAAGGAGATAGCTCGGTATTTCTGGACACCGGCACGCGATTCAGGCAAAAACTTGCGGAATTTGGTTGCTTTTCTACTGAGCCACTACGCCCTTATGAGAGGAGAGTCGGCGCGAATGATGGAATTGGCAGACTTACACTCGATTGTTCTCGAAAACGAGGGCTACACGCCATGCAGGGCTCTGGTTATGGTGATGCGACAGGGTAAAACCAACCAAGTGGGGCGCATTGAAGTCGGCGCTTGCATGCGCAATAAGCATGTCGAGATCTGCCCCCATGGAATTCTTGGATTTTACTTGTTTTGGCGTTGGCATGTGGATGGCGAGGCATTTCCCGACTTTACGTCTTCAGAGCGCTGGTATCCGATAAAGCTCTTGAAAACAGGTAAACACCCCACGAAGCCAATGTCGTACAAAGTTCACAATGCAGCTATCACAGCGGCGTTGAAACATGTCGGCGTCCACAGCAACGCGAAAACTCACGTTGACCGCGGATCCGGATCGCGTATGGCGGACTTAGGAGGCGCAAGTGAGTCCCAGATCCGTCGTTTGGGTCGGTGGAATGGCCAATCAATGGAGAAATGTTACCTCACATCTCTTCCGAGGCAGGCGATGCACACACTTGCGGGTTTTGAACCGAGTATTGGGAGCTTTTTGTTGCCCGAGCTTCTGTTGATCCCCCGCTAGCATTACAGAGTATGGTATTTCCGCAGGTGGAGGTTTGTCAACAGGCCATTGCTTCAGGAACAGCGGAACAATCGCTCGCGGCCGGAGGTTTTCTCGAGTTGCTCCAATATCTCCGTAAGGTCGTCCTCCAGGATGCTGTATTTTTGCAGAAATCCGCACCAACACACCCAATTTGGCAGCACAGCATATTTCAATCCCAGGAGTTCACGGAATTTAACAGTGAGGTTATGCAAGCTGTTGACGCAATGGAAGATCCAACTGAACAGCGTCTTCAGAAAGCTGTACCGGTGTTAAACGCCAAAATCGAAGGGCTACACCAGGATTTCAAGAGTTCTTTAGCTCAAGTCTGCTCGACCATGCGGACGGTTCAAGGTAGCCTCAGTGACGTAATGCGCGTGTTGGCACCTCTGCAAGGCGGCACTGCTGTTGTACAAGTTCAGCTTCTATCTGGAGGGCGCGAAGGCGACGGCGATACCGCTCATGTAGTGCCGTTAGCTTCACCGATAGCAATTGACGTGCAAAGTGGTCGGCCAAAGTATAAACTTCGGCGGGGGTTGGCTACTGTGCCGGACTTGTGGAAAGAATGGTCGGTCGGCTTAGATGGCGCCAGAGCTGTCCGAGATCTCGAGGATCAGTTTGGCACAAAGTGGTGTAGTGCGGACGAACGACGGTTCTTCAATAGAAGGCGGCCAATTTACAGCTTAGTCGCTGCGGTTGCAGATGATATTCTCACGTCGGCTCGGGTGTCTGACGTCGATGCAACTAATCTAGCCGTGCAAGTATTGGAGGAGTACCGGCGTACCCATAACAAATCTCTAAACTGGATAGCGAAACATGCGGGCGAGATCAAAGATGCTGTCCAAGCTATTGCTTAAACCAATGTGTGAGCAGCGCACGCAGCATTGGCGATCGACCAACTGCTCCGCGAGAGGTACTACAATCGGCGTGTTCGGAAGGACACGACGTTCGAAGTTGGAGACTTGGTGTGGGTGCTCAAGCCTCCACGAGGCAAGGGCATCACGAAGTCGGCCCATCAGTGGGTGGGCCCGGCGAGGATCGTGCTGTCGGCAGGGGTCGACAACTGGGAGGTCGTGCGCGACGACACGGACGAGCATTCGATCGTCCACTGCAGCTTCTTGGTGTCGAGCCGCTGTCCGAGCGACTCGTTGGGGGTGATTGCGGAGAAGATCATCACAGAGCTGGAACTGGAGGACGACGACGCAGAGCTGCGGAGGAGCGACGGCGGCGACGAGGAGCAAGTCGCAGTGCAGCCCGGTGACGGACAGGACGAGGGACAGCACGATGGCAGAAGTGCTGTCGCTACAGCGCACGCGGGCGCTGCAGTCGACGGAAGAGTAGTGACTGAAGGCCGAGAAGAAGGCCAAATGACGTCGCAAGCGGAGGAGAGCAGTGTCGCACGGCGAAGTACGAAGGAGACGACTGGTGGCGGAGAATCCACGGCGGTTTTTGGGGTGCGGTTATAATTTCGGCGCGCACTGTATATCACGTAGATGCGGTACGTGTTTCTGGTACAAAACTGAGGGAAGAAAAATCCAACCGGCCATTTCCACATTTCCCCTCAAAGCCTTGTCCTGTAGCGCCACCGCCCACCGGGACTAGCAGGCATGCCCGCGCCCTTGCCAACGTCGTCATGATACTACTGCCGCATTGCTGACTGTGTACTGCTGTGCTGCTGCAGATGGACATGTCCAGCCAGTTGGATCCCCAGGCTTTGGCCGCGTTCGTGGACGACAGTGTCTTTGCTCAGATGAGCGGGAAGCTTGGAGCAGACGCATCGCCGAAGAAAAATCTTTTCGTTGCGTGGATGCTGGACGACTATCCCAACAAAGCCACACTCCAACTCGAGGCCTCCCAGAACCGGATACATGGATTGATACGGGTGAAGATCAGAAGAGCATACGGGCATACACGCGTGTCTCGACCTCTTGCACAAACTATTGCGGCCAAGACGGTGAAAGACCTCCTGGCAAAGTTTGTCCCTGAAGCCCGCTCCGGCACGCCCAAGTTGGATGAAAATGAAATGAAGCGAATCGCGGAGGCGTTCACCAAGGGCCGGTACCTCGGCGAAGCCCACCTCGACCTCGCACAATATCTGCGGGACTGCTGGAAGGCCTACACCCCCACAAAGTACAAGGCGCCATGTGTGGCGGTCGTGCAGTCGGATGGTGCGTGAACTCGCGATTGAGGCTCAAAAGAGCGCCTTGAACATGAAAGTCCTGTACATGTGTGCTCGTGTGCACGAGTCGACGGGGTTTCCCAAGGCTACGAGCGAGCTTCGTGGTTGGCTGTTTCAAGAAGGCTCCAAAGTGGAAGACATCGCCAGTCGATTGAAGACAATTTACGTCTACGCGAACAAGCATTGGGCAAACGTTCAGAAGGAATGGCTGAAGCTGTTTACCGAAAAGGCAGCGGACACCTCTGTAAAGGCGAAACTTTCGGATGAAACAGATACGCTGGAGGGGGATACCTCTACTGAGAAGAATCCAAATGGCAGAATCGTGGTTCTGGTGATCGATGAAGCGAGAAGTCTGCTGGCTGAGAAGGGAGGCAAGAAGAATGACTTCCGAATGTTGCGAAATGCTCTTAGATCCGTGAACAAAGATATCGGCCATCGTGGATGCATTTTCGGCGTGCTGATTGATACGAACTCCAGGATCTCGGACCTGGCGCCTCCGCTGTTGTTGGACCCATCATCTCGGCTTTTCGATGGAGAGTTGGCATCGTTTGCGCCAGTTGTGTTAGCTGAGACAATGGACGCACACTGGGATCAATACTGTGAAGAAAAACAAGCCGGCGAAGATGAAGAAATGAAAGAGGACATCCAAGATGTAGATGAAGAAATGAAAGAGGAAATACTAGATGCGGGAGCAGAAGATGAAGAAATGGAAGAGGAAACTCAGGTTGCGGTGGGAGCTGAAAAAGACGAAGAGAAGAAGAAACAGCAAGAACGTGCTAAGATAGCTATGTACAAGAGAATCGTTACCGGGGATGCGAGTCAAGCTTGGCACGCGTTGTGCCGCATGGGGCGTCCGATGTGGTACAGCACTTGCCCCAATCCTGCGGATAGAGAAGATGTGATCAATCTTGCGGCGAACAAGCTGCTACTGGGGCTCCCTCCTTCGCAAGATGCGTACAACAAGGATACCATGCTTGGTGTCGCCTCCATGCTTTGCCGTCTGGGCGTGCGCCCGCATTCAACGTCGGCTCTGGCATCTCGGGCGACTGCCGACTTCATGGCGATTCTCGCGTATGTGAATTTCAAGCGAGAAGGTTACGTCACCAGCTACGCTTCGGACCCAGTGCTCGCCTTAGGAGCGATGAAAGTGTGGTATGAACTGAAACATGGTTTGGCAAAGTATATCCTGCCGCAACTCAAGAACCTCCTTTTGGATGAAGCATTGGACACCGGTGGAGTTGGCGAAATTGGCGAGATGGTTGCTCGGATTTTGCTGCTTCTGGCGATGGACACGTGTGTGATGGGAGACAAAGACTTTTCCCAGTGCTACCACACGATCGGGCAATTTGTACCGGTGCAGGATTTCTTGGACGTGCTGCAAGGCAAGAAAAAGCTGCCGATATATCTCAAGCGGATGATCAGCAAGGAGAATTTGAGACCAGAATTCAACATGTGGTGCTCGAAGTGGGATGGTTGGTACATGGGGTTCACCCACTTTGTGCAGTTGCAGCTTGAGCCGAATGAGGACACGCTTTGGATTTTTGCTGGGGCGTCAAGCTGCAGGTATTTTCCCCCGTAACCAGTATGGAGCCGATTTGTTGATCCCGATGTTTAAGAAGAGATCCACCAGCAAGCCAGTCGGTGGGGAGACAACGAGGGGTGAACAAGAGGAGCAGGAAGTGTTGATGATGTTGATTCAAGTGAAGAATCGTTCCCCAGTCGATGATGGGTTTTCCAGGGCAGCGACGGAGAAACTATGCCCCTGGTTTGTGTTCGGAAAGAACAGTGATGGGAACTCGCCAGCGGGGAAATCTACTGATGAAATTGGTAGGGATCCGAAACCGCTGGGTTCCACGGATGTCCGTGATACCATTCGCATCTACATGAATGTGCGCGGTAGAACGCGTGACGGCAAGTTCATCTATGCCACGACAATGAAAGACAATCTTAAGCCCAAGAAGAAAGGCAACGCCTCTGAGGTGAAGGAGGAGAGTCAGACGATCGGGAGTCAGGCGAAGAAGCGGGCGAAGATCGAGAGCAATCCTGGCGTCTCAAGTGTGTCGAGTGTCTCGGAGGAGGATCCTGTTTTCACGATCTGCCTCCGTTTGCTCAACAGGGTCACCTACCCGTTCCTGAGCGAGGACGTGGCTTCCATTCTATCAAACATGGTGGAGTCTCAGTATGACCCGCTGGGGCTTGTGGAGGGCGACCTGGACTATCGCGATGAAGATGAAAAACGAAACAAGGACGTTAGTTCGTATGCAAAGTTGTCGCTTACCGCGACGCGCGACAAGTTGTTGCAGAACGCCCGTAAAGCACTAGCGTACGCGCCGGGTGACAAGGAAGAAGAGTGACGCTGAGAGTGACGTTGGTGGCAGTGGTGAGGGCCACTAGGCGATCAAGGTGGCGAGACGGAAACATCCAAGAAACGAGCACGTGAAAACCAAGAGGGTGAAGAAGGCCGTCCCACTAAACGCGCCAAGTGATCCAACAAGACGCCCAAGCCCACACCGAGGCAGTAACAGTACGTGCCTGGTGCCTGCAGCAACTAGTTTTAACTACCAACAATTTGTTTTACTTGAGAGTACGCAGCCACCTCCAGTACGCTTCACCTTGCAGTCTTACGGAAGTAGCACGTCTTTTGCTGTCTACGTCGTCTTTACTGCTCTACCTACTCGTCCTGCAGGAACGGGTATTATAGTCCATGTACCCGTGCGCGTCGCCGAGGTAGAACGTGTCCGTGTCGTAGTCGTTCACGGGCTTGTTGAGTTGGAAGCGCCGCACCAGGTCCGGGTTCGAGATGAAGTGGCGGCCGATGGCCACGGCGTCCGCCGCGCCCTCCTCCACGATATGCACGGCCGACTGCCGGTCGAAGCCCGACGCGGCGAGGAGCACGCCCTTGTACGTCTCGCGGAACTGCCGCGCCGAGCCCTTCTCGGGTGCCAGCGGGTCACGCACGTGGTAGCCACGCGGCTCGATCAGGTGCGCGTAGGCCAGGTCGTAGTTGTTGAGCCTGTTCAGCACGTACGTGTAGGTGGCGACGGGGTCCGATTCCTTGTCGCCGAAGCTGCCGCCGAACGGGGACAGTCGGATGCCCACCTTGGACGAGTCCAGACTCTCGAGGATGGCCTCCAGTGCCTCGAACAGGAAGCGCGCGCGGTTCTCGACGCTGCCGCCGTACTGGTCGGCGCGGTCGTTGATGCCGTCGTGCAGGAACTGCTCCAGCAAGTAGCCGTTGGCGGCGTGCAGCTCGACGCCGTCGAAGCCCGCTTTGAGGGCGTTCTCCGCGGCCGAGCGGTAGTCCGACAACTGCAGAAACATTTTGCCGTGCACGGCCTTGGTCACGTGGCGCCAAGCCTCGATCTGCTGGGGCGCGAAGATGTCAGGGGAGCCCCAGGATCCGCGGCCCGTGGGCGTGATGTTGGTGGCCTCGGCGATGATGAGGCCGCCGGGCGTCGCGCGCTGCTTGTAGTACTCGACAACTGCAGGATTTCTCGACGTTTTCCTACTGCGTTTTTGACGCAATACGAACGATGTGAAAGTAGAGTATCGCGGCGATATATACGTTATGGACACCAGGGCCTCAGAGTTTTAGTTTTTCACACTATTAGAACGCCTAGGCGTTGTATTCGGATAGACCGCCTAGTAGGCGTTCTATTTTATTTCAATGCCTGGGCGTCTGGTACGGGGTAAGACAGTAGCAGGCATGCCCCCATTCTCGCCACCGCCGCCATGATACTACTGCCACTTTGCTGACTGTGTACTGCTGTGCTGCTTTGCAGGTGGACATATCCAGCGAGTTGGACTCCGACACTTTGGCTGCGTTCGTCGACGAGAGCGTATTCACTCAGTTGAGCGAGGAGCTTCGGAAGACGAAGAATGGCGACGATCAGCCATTGGCGAAGAGAAATCTTCCTATGATGAATTATCTGAAACAATTTGTCGACCCCAGCAACCTCCGGGGCTCCCAAAAAAACGATAGATAGCTTAACCCTATCGTTACCAGAATGATACATCAAGTATCTTTTTACTGGTGATGCAGGAGCAAGATAACTGAAACAGCAATTTTCTGAGCCACGGCAGTTTCCTCGCCGTTTATGACCAATCATGCAGCTAAGAGGGATAGGTAAAAACCCACGCTATTGTGTCTTCTGTAGTATATCTATCAACACTATTGTGTCCCCAGGGGCACGGATGCGATCGTCGAGCACAACGCCAGCGGCAGCCGCACACAGGTCGCCGCCGGAAGTAGCGGCAGCAGTGCCGCCAGCGACATCGGCAGCAGGGTCTCGGACACGATGGAGGTGACCGTGGCCTTGGAGGACGCGGTCAGGGGCGTCTCCGCCGACATGGACACGGACACGGACGCGATGGTGGCGGGGGACTCGGGCAGCAAGCATAACGGCGGTCGCAGCGCCGTGTGTGCGCCGGCAACATCATGACCACGGACGCTTGGGCGTGACCGTTGTCGTGCTGGAGGTGGTCGTGGGTGCCTCCACCGGCACGGAGGTTGGCAAGGATGTGACCGGTGACCAGACAGCGTGCGTAAATGCATCGACAGTGCGGAAGGAGACCGTTGTAGAGGTGCCAGCAGTACCGTCAGCGGCATCAACAGCATGACGTCCTTTGTAGAGATCGTGTCCGTACGGGAGGAGATCGGAGGCAACTTCGTCAGCATGGAGTCGGACGCAATGGTAGCGGGCGACTCGGGCAGCGAGGGTAGCGGCCGTGGCAGCGCCGTCAGCAGCATGACCTCAGATGTGGTGGTGGCGAACGTGGCCGTGCTGGATGTGGTCTGAGGCGTCTTCGCTGACATATACACAGTTGGGAGTTATTGTTCGGCTTGGAGGCGCGTGGAATTTCTAATAGCATCCTGTCGGATTATACGCAGTGGAGTGTGGTTAGCTTGCCGCTATGGTGCACCAGTGGTAAAGCAGTATGTTGTCAGCCACGAGCTAAATCCGCATTTACGGCATCAAGACTAGCGGGGGCAGATGGAATAGGTGTGACTTAGTGCAGTGAAGTATAAATGGTTAGTTGACTTTGACTATCTTGAAAAAATGATGTGAGGTTACGCCTTGGTGGCTGCGTTAGCCTCCTTTTGGTCTTGGCGGGCCTTCAGAAATGGACGGTTAGCTACATAAATTGGAGAGGTTCGTCGCAAGTTGCCGTCGACAGTGTACACTTGCTTCGGCAAGTAAAACAAATGGTATTTCTGCCAGCAAGTCCAAGTTTGCTGTTGGCACAGATGCTGCTTCGTAGGGCCAACAGGGTATGTGCGCTTGCACAACGCAACTCGATGGGTCTCGCAGTAGTCGGTTTTCTCGGTAGGATCTCTGCCCTCGAACTTGCACACAGTGCATTTCCGCATTGAGCGACTCCTTCCCTGAAGCACCTCCGAGGACGCTCTTGCAACACACGTTTGTGCGTGATCGCCCGAAGACTCGGATACATCTGTCGACGCCGCGGTTTGGGTCGTCATCGGCATTGTTGTCGTTGTCGGCTTCGCAGCATACACCATTCCATGTCCCCTATCCAGAGATTTCTTCCAGTCCCCATTGAATAGTTCTCGAACCAGTGATGCCACAAATGCGCGATGACTATCGCGGGCTCTTGACCTCGATTGGGCTGTACCTCCCGTCGAACGAGACTCCTCGCTCTCACCACGCGCCAAACTATCGCAAATGTAGGCATTGCACCTGGCTATATCAAGCATGACCATCGCTAGTTTTTTATGCCACTTCTGAAATGAGTGGCCATCGGCTAGAGAAAATCGTGCACGCAGTTGGTCGAGCCGATCAACACCTTGCATCGCTGAATTATACTCGCCGACGCAAGTAGGAGCAGTGAAAGCCACACCCGATTCATTTATACGACGATGCACAGTTGATGTGGTCGAAGCATCGGCATTAGACACGACATTGACAATTGAGCCATCCACCCAACTAGCTGCGACAATATGCTTCTCTAAGCATACACCTTGCTTCATGTAGCCTCGCGGCTTCGCGTCCTCCTTACGAATCATCGTAAAATGAGGGAAATGCTTGCTAGATGTGCGTACAGTGCCACGCCCATAGAGACCAATCGATCGTAAAGTCTTCAACAGCAAACAGGAAGTGTAGAAGTTGTCCGTGTTTACAATGCGACTGGATCCTTTCAAAGATGAAGTAACCGCCATGACGTGAGAGCGGATTTCAGACGACTTCGCGGTTAGATCAGCGAATTTCTGCACTTCTGAGCGTGAAATTACACCGTCCAGCCGATCATCAAGTTCACTGGAGCAGTGCAACTTGAAACTCACCGCGTACCACGAGGTAGAACAGCAACACACGTATAACTTGAAATGATACTTTCCGGTGGGTTTTTGTGGGCTGAAGACTATAATGTGGCGGGCATACTGGGATCGGCAGGCAATTGTGGCCTCATCAACAGCCACGTTTCGACCGACTTCAACATGGCGCAGGCATCGCGATTTCAGAATGCTCATGAGTGGTCGTATTCTAGCTACAGGACCGCGCTTGATGTCGGAGGTAGACACCTTGGAACGAAAACTCAAATTTTTACGGATGTACAGGAATCTTCGCCATGTCATAATTGACTTCAAACTAGTAGTACGCGCTCCAGGAAAAAATAGTTGCTTCCTCGTCGTCCACCCAGTAATTTCTCATCTCACCCTTGTCGAACAGAGTCATGTACCAGAGGATCCCAAGGAATTTCATCAGTTCCTCTAAACTTACAGGAGTTGCCGATGGGCTGCCAGACGCGTCTGCATACTCGTTGGTAAAGACGACCACTTGGATCCAGAACGACAACGGAATAAACGCGAAGAACGATGAGGTTGCTGAATGCCCAAACAACCCATGACTTTCCGGGCGTAGTCTGGTAGTTGAAGACCCATCCGGATGTGTATATAGCCCTGACGGTTGGCCAAGCGATGCTGTGGGTGAAAATGTCATTGACGCTATCTCTTCGACTTCACCAGGGCACAAAGGGCGCTGCAATTCTTTCCGCCCGCGAAACGCAAACCACTCACGATAACCACGCTCGTCCATCTCCTCAAATTCATCTGTCAGTGCAGGAATGTTTGATAGTTTGGGGACCATGTTGCACAGGGACGTCCAAGACTCTCCAAATTGAAGTTTGTCTTTTTCCATGTTGGCAAACTGGCGGATACCACGGGTGATGATGGCTTCGGAAACATGGTGAACGTGATCTTTTATTTGAAAAGCAGTACACGTCCATTGAACCTGAAATTTGTCGTGAGGAACGCTAACATTGTCAGCATTTTTTTCGCTTGCCAGGCTGTAGCGAGTCACCACACT